ACACCTACCCTTTGGTACACACTCTACCTACCCTGTGGTACATACTCTGCCTACCCTATGGTACAGACTCTACCTACCCTGCGACTCACACTACACCTACCCTTTGGTACACACTCTACCTACCCTTTGGTACACACTACGCCTACCCTCTGATACACACTTTACTTACCCTTTGGTACACACTCCACTTACCCTGTATTATCTCCTTCTGTCTTAGTACTCTACCTTCTGTACCCCTGACACCTTCAGGCTCTTACCCTCTGTATTATTAGTATAGTCCTTCTGTATTTCAAGACTATTAGAGAGAGATAAAAACACTCGTCGCAAGCTAGCGTAGTTAGAAACAAATATAACCCAAACCTCAAACCCTACCCCGCACCTTCAGCACCTGCAGGCTCCAAGACCCCTGCACCTTCAGCACCTACAGGCTCTAAGCACCCTACGGCTCCAGGCTCCAAGTACCCCGCACCTTCAGCACCTGCAGGCTCCAAGCACCCTACGGCTCCAGGCTCCAAGTACCCCGCACCTTCAACACCTACAGGCTCTAAGCACCCTACGCCTTCAGGCTCCAAGTACCCCGCACCTTCAGCACCTACAGGCTCTAAGACCCCTGTACCGTCAGTACCTACAGGCTCCAAGTACCCTACGGCTCTAGGCCCCGACCTCCCTACAGGCACCCGAAGGATTCAGACCCCACGGGGTATTTGGTACTCGATTCCAGGGGAAGTAGACGCTATACTCCCAGCGTACGACGGCCCTACAGGCCCTGAACCAGACTCCCTCCCAGGCTCTCGACCCCCCACGCCTACAGGCTCTACGTCACCTACATACGCCCAAATCGTCGCTACAGGCTATATACCCCCGAAGCCGTCCACTAAACGCCCTGCAAGAACACCCTCCCCAGGGGCTCAACGCCCTACGACACGCCAAAAGATAGGCCCTACGCAGCCTATAGAGCCTATAATCAAAGACAGCTCGTCCGACGAAGATCTTTATAGTGCCTCTACAGCGCCATCGTCCCCTACCCCTAGCTTTGAAGACGCTATCTCAACGCCTATACCAACTACACCTACCGATAAGACGCCTACCACACCTAGCCTACCCTCTGATAGCCCCTACTTCCCTCGACTATCACGAGTAGGCTCCCCTATAAGCAACCGAAGCTACTCACCCCTAGAATCACCCCCTAAAGCTCCCCAAGCTTCAGCACCCTCTCACGCTAAAGAGCCTATAATAATAAGCTCTTCTCCCCCAACAACCCCTACAACACACCTACCCCTCACAAATCACCTACCCTCCAAAACTACCACAACTCACCTACCCTCTAAAAACACCACAACTCACCTACCCTGCGAAACCTCCACACCTAGCCTACCCTGTAACCCAACACTCCAGGGCCGTACTATAGGGCCTACAGCGTCTAAACGCCCTATATCAACACAAGGCACAGCATCTTCAGCGCCTAAACGCCCTAGAACGTCAACACTAAAACGCCCTACCGACCCCCTCACATCTGAGCTACCCTTTGGATTACAACAATCGATCCACTGCCCCCAGCCTCAGGCTACCTCAGCACCTACACCCCTACACCCACAGGCTTCCTCAGCGCCTACACCCCTAGACGAGAGCGCTAAAGACCACTTGAACGCTATAAGCTCAGCGCTAAGAAACCCCTATATGCAATCCCTCATGAGATATAGCACTATTAAGGTCCCTGAAACACGTCTCCACGCCAGGCAAGCAGCGCTATTTACAGAGGCCGCTAATCGAGCGGCTTTAGCGTTCTTACGGCAGCCTAGAGAGAAGCAATTACTGGACTTTTTACTGCTTCCCAGGGTTCTCGGCCTAGGATTACAGAAGGAAGAGCTCGCTAAAACGCTGAAAGCCTACCCTACGACTATACCGGATATCCCTGAAACTCAGGGACCTCCCCCTGAACCCCCTACCCCCTCAAACGACTCCCCCGCCAAAAGAGCGACTAAGCTTCTGGAAAAAGGCTATATAGGGCGTGCCTCTAGAGCCCTAATCGACCCTACGCCTCTAGCTCCTAGCACTCCAGAGACGCTAAATACGCTATACTCGAAGCACCCTATAGGGCATAATAACCCCTTCAGTAACGCTAACCCCTCCCCGGGGCAAAATATCACCCCTGAAACGATACGACAGGCTATTCGATCGATTAATAGAGAGAAAGCCCCTGGCCTCAGCGGCTGGACCCGCCCGCTACTTGATATAGCGCTAAATTCGGAAAACTCCCCTGTAACTATAGCGCTTACACACCTAGCGAATATGATTCGACAGGGTACAGCTCCAGGGGTCGACCTCCTATGTGCTTCCCGACTTATAGGCCTTCAGAAGCCTGACGGAGGTGTGCGACCGATCGCTATAGGGGACCTTATTTATAAGGTAGCCCTAAAAGCGATCCTTATCAGCTCCTTCAAGCCGTCTATGCTTCTACCCTGCCAATTAGGCGTTAGCACCCCAGGGGGTGTAGAGCCTATAATCTTCCTCCTTGACGACGCTATTACCGGCCCAAATACCCTAAAAACTCAGCAAATCGCCTCCTTAGACCTTATCAACGCTTATAACTGAATCGGACGAACCTCAATAGCGGCCGCAGTCGCTAAATACGCCCCTACCCTCTATCGGACCGCTAAATGGGCCTATAACCAGCCTTCAGTGCTAGTAATAAACGAAGGCCACACGCTAGCAAGCGCTGAAGGAGTACGCCAAGGAGACCCTATTGCCCCCCTCTTATTCTCTCTAGCGATCCGCCCCCTGCTAGAGCACCTCCAAAAGACCCTACCGAAGGCTACAATTATAGCTTATTTGGACGATATCTATATCCTTAGCCCTGAAACTACAGCACTACTCCCTGTAGTTATAGAAGCCTTCAGGGACTCTCCAGTAGCTCTTAACCGCCAAAAGAGCACCGAAAGCCCTATCTCCCAGTTATAAACCACTGGACTTAAGGCCTTAGGGACCTTTATAGGCCCTGTAGCACACCGCCGAACGTTCCTCCAGGGGAAAATCGACACTCTCGCTACAGCGCTATATACCCTACGAGACCTCCCTAAACAACACGCTACCCTACTCCTACGGGGTAGTATACACCTACTCCTACGACACTTACAGCGCCAATTGTACTCGGAAGACCTACTAGACCTCTGGAGGTTAGCGGACCTACGAATCAAGTACGCTGTACAAGCCCTAATCGCTAGGGAGCCAGGGGAGAAGACTACCCTAATTCGCCAGGCTTTACTCTCTCTTCCAGTGAGAGAGGGAGGCCTAGGGCTCCCTATACACGCCTTATTAGCCCCAGGGCTCTATAGGGCAGCTAAGGAAGCCTCTCGATCGATTCTAGTGGCTATATGCTCTAATCTCTACCCGGAACCCCCTAGACGCCCTGTACCGACAGCTTAAGAGGTCTTCTCTAGCGTTAACCAAGACCCCTAAGAGAAGATTCTACCTACCCTATCAAAACAAGCGCTAAAATCGAAGCTTGAGAACGCTAGCTACCTCGGACGATACTGGCTTAGAACCCTGCCCACGCAAAAACACCACCTTTTAGCGGATTCTACAGTTACCGAAGCACTACGGACTAGGCTCTTACTCCCTGTAAAGCCCCCTATTTCGCCCTGTACCGCCTGTGGAGCCTACCCTCAAATAGGCCACGAAGACACCTGTAGAGGTGCTGAACGACGCTGGATTATACGCCATAACCAGGTTACCCGTGCATTTATTACTACCCTTTCTAGCCGGGAAGACCTTAAAGTGGAATCGGAGCCTACGCCAGCTAGAACGCCTATAGCCCTAGAAAACAGCCAACGACCGGATTTTTCAGTGCTTATAGGTACTTCTAGGCACTATTACGACGTTCAAATAGTAGCAATCAACAAGGATTCAGCACGCGAAGAAGCCTATGCTACGCTATCAGAGGCAGCAAACGCTAAACGGCTTAAATACAGCGACTTAGGCCCTGTATTTCACCCCCTGATCTTCTCGGCAGGAGGCCTAATGGAAGCCGAAACAGCGAAGACCTATAAGGCCCTACAGGGCCTATTAGGGCACTCTAGGGCTAAGTGGTTAGACGGGTATATCGCTAGCACCCTAACTCAGGCTCGAGGAATCGCTGCAACCTCGATCCTAGCACGTAGGTAGCTCATAACACACGCTATACCTACCCTACAGCACATACTACACCTACCCTATAACACACACTACACCTACCCTACGGCACACACGACACCTACCCTATAGTACACACTCTACCGACCCTGCGACTCACACTCTACCTACCCTTTAGTACACACTCTACCTACCCTATAGTACGCACTCTACCTACCCTGCGACTCACACTACACCTACCCTGTGGTACACACTCTACCTACCCTGTGGTACATACTCTGCCTACCCTATGGTACACACTCTACCTACCCTGCGACTCACACTACACCTACCCTTTGGTACACACTCTACCTACCCTGTGGTACATACTCTGCCTACCCTATGGTACACACTCTACCTACCCTGCGACTCACACTACACCTACCCTTTGGTACACACTCTACCTACCCTTTGGCACACACTCTACCTACCCTCTGATACACACTTTACTTACCCTTTGGTACACACTCCACTTACCCTGTATTATCTCCTTCTGTCTTAGTACTCTACCTTCTGTACCCCTGACACCTTCAGGCTCTTACCCTCTGTATTATTAGTATAGTCCTTCTGTATTTCAAGACTATTAGAGAGAGATAAAAACACTCGTCGCAAGCTAGCGTAGTTAGAAACAAATATAACCCAAACCTCAAACCCTAACCCTAAGCAAGTCGATGAGGAGGGGTACCACAGATATAAGGAGGAACGATATGTAGAGTGCGATAACTCTTTTCCTTGGAGTATCGCTGGGTACATACCATAGACATGTTGCAAAACTTAGTGGCATTAGAAAGGTTTGAACAGGTGTGCATATTTGTCAAGAATTATGATCTTACAGTATCAGAAACATGGCCCACACTATCGTGAGCTGTGCGAGGTTAAGCCAATCACCAAGGTTTCGTGGCGCGCTGACGAAGAAATCAGAGTCCAGATTATGCGTGGCGATAAAGTAAAAGCCTAGGGCGAACTGCTCCGTGGCGGCTATGGTATTGAGCAAGACATAAGCGAGCGAGATATCTCTGCTGGACTTTGTTCTGACGATGCGCTGGAGTTGAGGGAAAAATGAGAGAAGGGAAAGGATGCTGAGGATACTGTGATTGGTTAGTAGAGATTCGCAGAGACAGCAGGGAGTTCTTACATTCGAAGCCAGTTGTAGACAGCCATTTGGGACTGCACTTGTTATTATGATTGTCAAAGAGAATGATGAGCGGCAGTATGAGCTGGGCTAAGTAGGATTGCAGATCAGGTAAGACAGAAATGATGAAGTTGAAGATAGGTAAAGATGAGGTTTAACGAGAAGCTCAAATATGGAAGCCTTGACGTTTGCTGCACTGCTCGGCTGACGGCCTGTTGGCACACTAGCCTGATGCGGGGCCGTCCCCCACTGCAGCTTTTGGACGGGTTATCAAGCTCAATCGAGGTATGTCGGCCGCCATGCGAACCTTCGCTTACCGACCACTGATAAGATCCTGCAGGTAAACAAGCTGAAGGCGGACGAAGATCTCGACCCTGACTTGTTTGGATTTGCACAATCTGGTGTGTATCTCCACAGCCATTTGACTAATTAGACGTTGATCAGTATCAGTATATAGAAACAGCTACTATGAACAACTCGTACAAGCACTGGGTGGGTCTACGTCACGAATTGGCTTATCTGGCGAGGAAGACTTGGCTCACTGTCCTCAGGTGCGAAGAAACCTCGCCCTTCTTTTCGTATCGAAAGCGCTTCTGCTGCTTCTTTAGCAACATTTATGCGCCCGCCGCAGTATGGCCGCAATTCCTTCCCCGCCACTCAGCCAGCCAGAAAACGCAACTTGAAAATATGGGACTGCATAATCATAACCCCCTTGGTATGGTCTGCCAAGCCTTAGGCAAAGCTAGGTGACATATTTCTTTCAATAGGGTTAGACACCGATTTGTGACACATGCTGATTTGACCTTGACGTTGTGAGCTTTCATCAGTAAGTTATGCGTTTAGCTGGAGTAACCCGGGACGCGCCTCTATTGCCACTCTCTCAATTGGTGGCAATGATGTCGGATTCAGCAGCCTGGTCACGTCTTGCGTTGTCACACCTAACACAGCACATTGGGGTTCGACAAATCGCGCTAATTGTGTTGCTGCTCAAAATAAAGCTACAAGCTACATGTCTGATCAGGGCTTGACAGGCTTGCCATACAAACTGAAAGAATTTTACCTTGATATCTTACGCAAAGCCAATCGCGACGTAAGTAAATCCGCAGTTCAATCAGTCAAATCTAGTGTGCAGCAATTGACATAAATGCAACAGAACCTACACCTCTATGTCACCAGCTACGTGAACTTCTTTAATGATGCTACAAGCGACTTCGAAGACACATCGTTCCACTATATGTGGGGAGGTTACAGGCCACCCTCGGACTGGCCAATAAGTCGTATTGTGTACCTCTCAGCTGGTCTCCGAACTGAACTAAACACACTCGTGTCCCGCCTTAATGGAGCTATTGCCAACGCTGTATTGAATGCCAATAGTGAATATGGTCTATCACAGGTCCACTTCGTCAACCTCGCGCCTCCTTTCTCTGCAGGTCATCGATGGTGCGGGAACCCAAATGGTGAATTCCACGAGCCCGATCAGTCTGGCACCGACACCTGGTTGTTCCTCAGTGGTCGGAAGGATATTAGTATTGAGTCCGCCGCGGACGTGACAGACGCTCTAGAGGCAGCAGATAGCATCAATCATCTCCTCGGGTGGCATCGTTTTGCCGAATGCGGATTCGTGCGAAAACGCGCTGGAAACCGATCCAGACCCGTATGCTTACGCGATGTGTCAAGTTTCAATATTAATTTCAGGAGACCCCACGGGACCAGAGGCAACAAGATATCAGGCAGCGCAAATGGCTATCGCAGCCGGAGATTTCAACAATCAAGAAATTGCTGGCTATTTGCCGACTAGACAGATCAAAACTTTTCACCCTAGAAGCCCTGGGATGGTGGCATACAGAGATGCAGTTCTAAGCGCTATTACAGAATTTGGGCAGTTGTAGCAGTCAAGTACCTCAGATTGTTTAAACATCAAAGCTTGAGTAAGATTATGTACGGAAGAGGCTTTCAGTCATTAGGAAAGGGAAGTTGCGCGTGAACTCAAAGTGAGTAACAACGAGAGCATTTTCCAACAACGCAACGATTCCCTCCCAGTGGGAATACAGTGAGAAGTTCTTGAACTATTCCAAGTCATTTCGCTCCTCCTTTTTTTTCTCTTCAATTATTTTGGCACGATCTTGCGGCTTGACCCCAGTAAGGTAACTGTGGTTTGGAACACACGTTCTGTCAGGGATGAAATCTAGCGCACATGCGTCGAAATACAGTACAGGCAGGTATCGCTCCCAAACAAAAACATGTTCACGCCCGCCATGACTCCGTACTAGGCGTATGAGCTTCAACCGACGAGTACATACTCTAAGCCACAGATCAACATCGCTACATAGCTGAACGGGAAGACAAAATAGCGAAGCCGATCAATAGATGAGATTGCTTATCGAAAGCCGGAGAGAGTTAGCAGACCAGAGCTCGGGCCTATTTGACGGGAAGTCACATAATGCAATCAATATTCAATATTTCATCAAACAGAGATTTGCCAGATATGCATCGCACAATTCACCAATAGGGCAGCAACGTCCAGCAACCAGTAGGTGTTCAAGCCATCAAAATGCCAGATAGCCATACACTATCCCTAGGCTCGTCGGATTTCCCTTCTTGTCCACGATTGCTCCCAAAGTAGACTTCGCGTCACACCAGAACCAAGAGTAGCGCGTGATGTACGACTGAGCATCAAGCCATGGGATCACAGTACGAAGGAATGATTCCTTTTCAGCGGAACTGCCTGAGCCGTTGAACTATTGAGGTCAGTGTTTCCATTGCCAATAGAACTTGACTTCAACTTCCTACCTCAGTAATCCACAAGTCATGCCCAGCAACCGCATGAGCATCCGCAATGTAGTTCTTAAAGTACCCAACATTGGTAGCAGAGTCATACCAATGAATAGGGACAAAGTCGATATGGCAGCCCGTGCAAAGCGACAAGAACTCCTTCAGCCATTTCATCCCAGATGGTCCGTTTGTCACAGCTGGTGCTCCAAGATATGCTCGTCCAGCGAACGGGACCATGAAAGTGCGGTAAGCGTTCGCTGCATCTTTGGGCGACATGCAAGACCCTCCGCTTGCACAACGGTCTGGCTCGTTGAATGAGAGAAGGTGGTAGGATCCACGAGCGATGGCAGCGTTGGCGTTTGTGACCCACTGATACTGTTAATGGCATGTCGGAGAGAAAGTCTATGAGGTACTTACCTGTCTAGTATGATCTGCACCATTACTCCACAACACAACATGGGAACATACTCGAGGTTCTTTGGAAAGCTTGAAGGCATGGACGAGTCCCAGTTGTAAGCCCATGAGACCTGACTTCCAGCACCGCCCCATTTCTGAAGGTAGTCTGTGTTGTGGAATGAGTGGCCTCGTTTTGGGTCCTTGGGGCGGATGGGAGGTAGAGCTCGCTCAACCAGGGACGAGTTTGTGGAGAGGTCGTCGAGAGGTTTGGATACTGCTCCGAGAATGAAAAGCATGAAGATGCATGTCAAGAAGCTGATGGATGACATCTTGGAGCCTTGAGAGAAGAGAAGAGTGAAAGCTGACGTTTTCTCTCTCGTTCTTTAGCAGCAGAGAAGGTATTTAAGATTGGACTCGACAAGCTGCTGGACCTAAGCGAGATGAGTAAGAGACCGGACCGGAGGTAAATGACTGGAAATGGAAGTTGTTATTCACCCACTCTGAGAGAAGAAGAAAGTTTTGGAGACCAGAGTGCCGGGATGGTCTTCGAAGTTCCCCTCTCAAAGAAATGTTCCCATTCCCAGCGCGATTGGAAGACCCAGCTTTGCATGGTCCGAGCAAGAGTACAAGGCATTGCACTTATAAAAGTAGTTTGATCCTGAGATACACGACGCTATTGGTGGCTTATTCTGAGAGTGTTTATTCAATGGAGAAACTCGGTACTTTCTCAGTAGTCTGATGTGTGGTAGTACAATATGCAGGCTTCTGCCTGTCCTACCATCAACCCGAAGTCGGATTTCTTCCACCGCTAAAAGGCCGTTGCTGGCGGCATTAATTTGATCTCTGTAGCACTGACAGATACTTGAAGATGTTCTAGACTGCTTTGGTTGCTGAACAGTCTGTATCCGTTCGGATGCCATAGTTCTTTTTCGTACTTCATGACTGCACAGTGAAGAATCTTTAGATCACCATCAACAGGAGGTTTCAACATTCTTGATTACGCAAATGGAGAGTTTCTACCAAAGGGTCTCTAGCTGCTGCACCACATTGACTTGAAGAAGGTTTTAAATTCCATTCGCAATTACTGAATGAGGACAGTCAAATCTTCCTTCCATGGACACAGTTTAACTCGCCATGAGATTGCGTATCCCTGAAATCTCGACAAGTTTTATTGGCACCACGTGAATCGTCGTTATGCCTTGTCCTTTGGCTCGCGTAGCCAAGCTGAATAGCCTATTCACGACTTAGGCTTTTGCCGTCTAGCTCTCCAGGTATTTATTCATCTACTTCCTCTCAGACAGTCCTTACTAACTAGGAAAATATGAAAGCCCTCCTGTTAGGCGCAACCGGGAACCTGGGGTCGCGCCTTGTCCCCGCTCTTCTGGCACATAACCACCAAGTCTGCGTGTTCGCCCGAAATCCTCAAAAGTTAAATGACCTTCTTCCATCTTCTGTAATCTCAAAGCTACAGATTATACAAGGCGATGCGACCTCAGAAACAGCCGCAACATCTGCGCTGACCGTTTCCGATGCCGAGGTTCTTGTCACTGCTGCTGGGGCAGCTCCACTGCTGGCTTGGCCTAAAAGTAATGTCATGGAGATCGACTCTGCAATTGTTGCCTCCTTGGAGGTTACTGGTACAAAAAGACGGATTAGGAGCTGGTTCTTGGCAGGGATGTTACTCTTGGATTTACCTGGGAGCGGGGGAAGCCGGAAATTGTTTGATTAGTGAGTCTTTGTTTTTGAGAGCCCAGTGAACTCGACTGATGGTCAATAGCCTGCCCTTGTATCCAAATGATGTGCACAAAATTCCACTTCTGGAACAGTCTAAGAATATACGGTGGTCGTGTATTTGTCCTGCGAAGATGTCGGCGTTCTCTAAAAAGGTTTTATCCGCAGAGGAGCATTTTTGAGTCCAGAGTGGCCGCACGCCCCTGAAAGCAATGGCTTCTGAACCGCCGGGTTGGAAAAGTTCGGCCTTGACACCACTCATGGGAAATTATGTGGATGTTCTTAGCAACTGTCTATCCTTGCGAAATGCAGTAAAGTTTGAGGATGTCGCAGAGTTCATTGCTAGTAATCTCGGAAGTGAAGAGCTTGTAGGGGAACGGGTAGGACTTATCAAAATTTAGATCATATGTTTATTTGGAATTTTGTGCAGCGATCCTCTGCCCTGGAAGTCTAGTCTTTTATTGGTCTTGGGCGGTGGTCACTTTATCATGTTCATCACAAGATACCAAGCCTTCAACCTCCTCGGTCTTTGGGACGACATTCAAAGGTAGATACGCATGTTCTCAGATGAGTGAAATACTCCACCTTCCACCTTGGTTTTTAGTCTGATTATGAACGGTTTCTGACGCCGTAGGCTCACAGATCAACCTTGTTGTTTATGCTTGCTTCATTTCACGATTATATGAAATAGAAGCAAAACGAAATTTTCCAAAGGAGATCTAATACAATCTGTATCCTAGCACATTTGGGCCATTCTACCAAATACTGTCTGTTCAAAGTCCTGCCTCTCTTTTGAGACATGCTACCCGTCCCCTGTTGCCCACCCTTAATGTTACTTAAATACAGCTCTATCGCGAGGACTGTTCAATGTTAGCAATGCGGTAGCATTTGCTCTTTGACTTTGACTTACTCCAAGAAGAGTGTAGCAGTTATCATCAGGCACCCGGCAGCAATAGTTACAGGATATGTCTTCTTAATCGCCTCCACAACAGCCTCAAGAATCAGCAACCTGGTCTCAGCGCTCTGCGTTTCGAGAAATGAATCATCGAGCCCCTGGATGACTGCTCTGATGATATCAATGGGAGTACCAGGTGGAAGCAAGTCAGTAACATAGTTTTGGGCGAAATTGTTGAAGAGTGCCCCAGATATGCAAAGGGCAAGTGTGAGCCCGGTGTATTGTCCGAAGCAAATGAAGCCAATGGTAGCTGGAATATCTTTAGGATCCACCCTGAACTGTGCAGCTGAATACGATAACTGGCCTGCTGCACCACCACCGATACCAATCAGAGCGCTATAACCGTACAGCTTGTCGGAGTCAGAAGAGAGATCGATATCCGTGACTTCCAAACGTTAGCTACTCATCTCCAAATGATGCAGGCATCTCACACATGAGCACAGCTCCAACTGTAGCAAATATACCCCCAGTAAAGTATAATGGATAGAAATGACCAGTCTTGGACACAACAAATCCGCCACCGAGACCGAAACAAACAAAGGTTAGGATGATTGGGAGAAGGCGAACTGCAGCATCAACAGGAGAATCGCCGTGGACGAATTGGAAGAAGATTGGTATGAAGTAGACCGGCCCCTAGGATTCACGTCAGTGCTATCTCACGAGTGAGATGTTCTCTTGGACACTTACCAGAACAGCTGCTGCAGGAGCGGCTATCAAAATCCAATACAGAATCATATGCTTGTTATTCAGGAACTGCATTGGAAAAATTCGATTGTCGGCCGTTGTGAATATCTTGAGATACTGCTGGGCAAAGAAAACGATGAAAGCAACACCACTGGCAACAAATAGCCCAATGGTTTTTCCACCATTCCAAGGATATACCGTCCCGCCAAAACTGATTGCCATAATACCCGCTAAAGTAGCACCGAGTTCAACGATCGATCCAAACCAGTCGATCTGTTTCACGCGTTCAAGGCATCTAGTGCCAGATTTGGGATCGTAAGACGGTACAAGAAAGATTAGAATGGGAGCGAAGACGCCGAACAGTACGAGATTGATGTAGAATGCCCATCGCCAGGTGGCAGAGGATTCGGCAAACGCACCGCCAATGACTGGGCCAAGAACGAAACCGGATCCCCACGAGAGTCCTGTAAATCCAATGTACCGAGGTCGTTCTTGCTCGGTTGTGTTGACAGATAATACTGCGACGACAATTAGTCTTGGCTTTGAGGAGAGTAGTGAACGGAACAAACAAGTCAATGAGCCAACGTAGATCCCACTTGCTCCCAATCCTGCAATTGCTCTTCCTGCAATCATTGCATTAATATTCGGTGCCCCACCACAGAGTGCACTTCCGACCTCGAAGATGATGGAGCCAATCAAGTAGAGATATTTGGCGTCGAAGAGACAGTACAGTTTTGACCAGATGAGTATTGTTGCCATGGCGGCCCAAGTAAACGCTGTCCCAAGCCAAGGCATCTTCTCGAGGCCTCCAAGTGTTGTGATGATGTGCGGGCCTACATCAGCTACAATTGTTCCATCGAGAGCGTAAAGGAAAGTGCTCCCAAGCATGGCGAATACGACAAGAACCCACTAGTGTAAAATTAGTGTGTGCGGTAGATTACAAGGTGAAAGATATACTGAAATGCCATTGACTGTTCTTGGTGGGAGCTGGGTTTGTTGTACTTCACCATCCGATTCTACAGTTAACTGCTGTTCTTGGTCCGATGTAGGCGTTGGAACATTTGGCGTTGAATCTGTGTATGGTTCTTCTTTCACAGAAGAATCGCTGTTCTCAGAGTTTAACATGGCGGTATAAATCCAATGGGGATGATGAAACAATAAGGGGCCTGGATGTATTGAACTCTACAGAGGCCGAAGAACATGTCATCCTTATAACCACCTGCAAGATATTTTCGCGAAAGATCAAGTATCCCAATTCCGCTAGGCTACTTTGCACTCTCGGGATCCCGTCTGTAATATCCATGGCTCCCGCGTAGCCGCTGTGGATAACAATAAAAATGTTTTTCGCAGACTACGAGGGATAAGTACAGGCTATTGAGTATCCGCTCGCTAAATTTTGCCCGGAGCGCACGTGCCCCGGTTCTTGTAGAGTATGCCACCCAGATCTTGAAACAGAACTCCTTACACGGAAGGCCCTTGAGACTTGAGTATAGTTAGAAAGTTGACAAACAGCCGCAATCTGTCCTGACCCATATATCACCTTCTGGATAATAACGCCAAGGCACTTGGTATCGTTAAGTCTTCAGACCAGGCCTTTGGTTGAAAAGCAACCATAAATCTAAGACTCCACGAGAACCAGCCAAGTACCCATAGAAAGCCAAGTGCTTTCGTCCATCCTAGGAAGTTAGCTTTGTTAACTCGGTTCCAAACTGTTGAACCTACTACTGGGACGAATACCGCATCGTCGTCCAATCCCAATAACCCCGTCTTCGATCATAATACCTAATGGTTGGAGCATGAAGTACACGGCCTGCCACCAACCATTGTCTTCAAACATCCCTACAATGGCCCCGGCATGGTGGATTGCGGCACTCACAGCAAATCCGACCCATATTTGAGAGTACCTGCTTGCGAAACTTCCTGTGCGAAAGCCGCACACTAATTTTGTTATTCTTCCAGCCTCAGCACATGGCCGTCGCATCATCTGATGCCAGCAAGATCCCCACATCTTCCGAATACTCCAAGCGTCTCTCTTAAAACACCCAAAGATCGGAGGCCAATCCACTGGATCGTAAAGTCTGATAAGAACCGTCAATGTGCCACCAAGGTTATACAACAGAGAAATTGTGAAGAAGAGTTTGAATGCCGACCCCCAGGAGAGAACAACTTGCTTTAATAGCGGCATCGCGAATAGCTGCCTGTTGGCGGTAGCATATGTGTACTTTAGCATCACCTGAACAACATCCAAGCCAACGTATGCCCAGAACACGGAAGCGAGACTGTGCCTGATAAAATCGAATCTACCGGAAAGGCCGACTGGGGCTTTAGGAAGGCAATCGGGCTGAATATTCCATCCGACTCCCCTATCAACGTGTTAGGACAGACAAAAGATATATCCCATGGTGGTTTACCTTTGATTGTTCCAAAGTAAAAAGAACCATTTCAGTCGCCTCCACAGGCTATCCAGCGAATCTCTTTCTGGATTTGTCTTCTTCCAGAAATCAGTTTCTGGTGTGTGAATGCCAACCAAATCGATCCATCGAAGCACCAGCAATGAACACGACACACCCGATAGATATGCATCTCGTGACTGCTTCCCGGTGGACTCAACGAGATATAGAAACAATCCAATTATTATCGCTCCAGAACTAACTCTGATTAACCCCCTGGGAAGCAGAATTGACAGAATGCAAATCGTCTGCTGAGTTAGTTACGCCATGCAGGAGCTTAAATGACCCTCACGGTAAGGGCTGGTTGAAGCCATTCAGGCGGGGGTACCCGAGCTTGGATTTGCCCAAGCTTCATCGAATCTGCCATTGTTTAAATGATGCAGGGACATTTCTTGAAACGGAAGCGCTGGGTGCGAATCGGTTTTACTTATCAATTGAGAGTGCCAAGTCAACTAGCTCTACTTGTATGATGATCTGCAGTGTATTCAGTTCGGTAATGCAAGGGATGAAAGTCAGTATTAATATGACGATCTGCACCTCTTCTGAAAGCGCTGAAACTCTTTTTGTATCTTGAGATTAAGGTCTTGGAAAGATCGTCCCGCTATGAAGCATTCCGAACGGACCTCAAGAATGGACGAATTGGACGAGGAGTGACGCGCGGGTAACAAATAACTTTTGCCCAACACCCATTCGATAGTCGTGATACCAGTCTAAGAAGAACTTGAAGCCGCTTATTTCTGTAAATGAGAAAGGGTTTAACTTTTAAACCAAATAAGCGGACGTAGCAAATTTATTGGAATGAATCAATCATATTAAAGCGCTAATAGCCGTATTTACCGTACTAATACATCCCCTACGGGGTTTTTTATACAGATAACGTCTGTAATTTATCTGTATTTTATCTGTATTCCTAGTAGTAGTAAAATATAGTAAAATATAGATAAAATTCAGATAATATCTGCTATAAACGTATTAAAAAAGTACAGATAATATCTGTAATAGACGTATTAAAAAGCATAGGTAATTTAGCGTGTATTAAGGGTTACTCGGACTTTTCATATTTTAATATAAAGTTAAATATAGACCCTTTACTTACCTCCGGAATACTCGGGACAGAGGGAGGGAGACCTACCTTAGGAGGGAGGGAGGGAGACCTACCTTAGGAGGGAGGGAGGGAGACCTTGTCACGAACCAGGCTCAGTCTTGGTACAAGTCACGGGTTGGCACCATAATACTGATGGTACTACCAAGTGGATGGCACCAGTCGGTGTTTGGTACCAAAGGGTTGATGGTACCATTGAGAGAATAGCACCAACAAGAGAATGGTACGAATTAGCGAGTAGTACTATACTCCACGCTCATTGTCATAATAATAGTTATGTTGATCACGGTGGACATGGGTCACGTGATGTGCTAGCTTGCTAGACGGGCTTGCGGGCTTGCGCGCCCTGCAAGACGTCTTGCACGGCTTGCACAGGAAGTCGGAGGTTCTATATAACGAGTAGGTAGTTTCCTAGATAGTAGAGCTTCGTGCTCAAATCAAATAGCAAGTTTACACCTAGTTTACCACTGCTTGTAACGTCTCAATTCCTATTGAGAATCGAGCGTCTTGTTACCTTACTTCATAGCTGATACCAACCGACGAGTCTGTACTCACGACACCGACCGAGTTAGAAACGTTACAGACCTACCTTAGGAGGGAGACCTACCTTTAGAGGGAGACCTACCTTTAAGGGAGAGAGTAGGAAAAAGGAAGGGAAGGAAAGGGGGGGAGGGGATAAGAGAGGGGATATTTAACTTTATTAGTTAGAAAACTCTTAAAATACAGATAATAACTATATTTTCCTTAAATTACAGATAATATCTGTATTTTTACTCTAAATCCTTAAAAATCGATTAGAATCAGAGAATTCAGCTAAGAAAAATATAGATAATTAACTAAAATACAGATAGAAAATCTATCTAAAATACCTGTTTACAGATAGTGTCTGTAAGAAGTGCAGATAGTGTCTGTAAAAAAACCCCCGTGGGGATCCACATCATAAATACACTTTTCAAGAAATCGGTTGTCGATATCAAAAGATACGTATGCAAAGGAGCCTATACCGTAGGACCCGATTCTTCCGAGCCTCGTCTTCGAATGAAAGGAGGACATGCACTGGATATTGTTGTACTCCCAAGAAAGCAAAGGGAAAGCCGGGGCTCGGTTAGGACGTAAACAACCCCGCTGAGGGGCGTCACGTGGCGATAAGAAAACCCGGTCAATCATTTCCCCAAAAACAAAAAAAAATCTCAGCGACAAAAGGCTGCCCCTCATCGACACAAACTTCAATCGAACACAACATGGAAGGAATTGAATATACATCCGCTGCAGATGCAGCATGTCATCTCCTTCGGGTTCCAAAGGGTAAGTTCTGTCCCAATCATCTGAATTACAATTCTGACCATGCACAGAGATCCGCCTACACATATACCGGTATCTCCTCATTCCAACTCCCACGAGCATGATATCGATAACACCTGGGGACGCCTTCGAAGATGACTTGTCGGACGATGATGAGTTAGACATTGAAGTAGACTCGGACGTAGAAAACGCGAGTGACGACAATACAGACGAGCCCGATTCCGACGATGATATGGAAGAAGAGGATGAAAACTACATCACCGCAGCAGAAGCCAATCTATTCGCGGCGGAAGATTACGAGGCATACAAAAAGCACCCAGCGATTCTCCGAACCAATAAGCAGATATATTCCGAGGCTATGACGATGCTCCACACCGAGGCAATTCTCGTTGTTGAGCCTGGGGATATTTTCTGCTTGTGCGAAAACCCACAAGACTTGAAATTTGGCGCCGCACATCGAGGTGTATGGAGGCACAATCCATTGCTAGGATTCGGAAGAGAAGTCAATGGTGCCGTTGTCTACGACAGTCCCGAGATTGAGGGAGGCCTGCTCGAGCCACACGTTTTTGCTCGATTCCAGAACGTCCACTTTGATGCGACCTTTGATTTCGAACATACCCAAAATGTTGAGCTTTGGATCGACGACGACACACATGTTATTAGGCAGAATGACGCCGAGGAGCTTCAGAGGCTTGTGCGGTCTTCTTCAATCATGAATGATTTTGTCAAGGTGATTGAAAAGTCGAGACTCGCAAGCCTGGAGATATCGTTAGAGGTTGAAGTTATGGCCAACTCCAGCATGATGATGGAAGAAATGCTTGGGGAGAGCGACGACGAAGCAGACGAGGTAGAGGAGAAAATCGACAAACTGATGGAGGTTGCCAACGAGAGGGCCACAGAAATATTCCTCGATAGTGGGGTGTGCGATGCTCTTGCGTCGATTACGAATGTTCAGAGCTTCAATTTCACATTCGGCTTCGAACATCGGGAGGAGGAGGACAAGTACAAGCCACAGCCGAAACACGTCCAAATGATTGCGCAGATGAAGAAGGTGATAGAGGGGAATTGGGTAGCCTAAAGTCAGACAAATCTGTTCCCTGGACGAGTTCGTGATCCCAACATGCATGCTCGCTGGAAGTCTTAAAGTGTGAATCAAATGAACGCACCTTTTCGGATCCACTCGAAAATTGCACATTCACTAACAGGTCCTTGGAACCAGTCGCTTATCTTTCTTTGCCCGATTCACCTGTGATGCCACTTGGGTGCAGGTGGGATTGTCACTACTGTACATTTCCAACGAAAGACCAAACAGCGGGGTGGCATAAAGTGCGGGGTTCCCGAAGGTCCACCAGAATCAAACGGAACCATGGCTGCGGCCATCCAGGTTCTAATGACCGTTCCGTTAGCACAATGCCCCATTCTTCTATCCCCCGGGTCGACGACTTCAAAATTCCAGGTGATGTGCACGTCTTTCTTGCGACAGACCTTCGACCTCGAGTGTTTATGTTCCTAGCCATGACTCAACCTTCAGAAATCCCGTCGGTCAGCCCTACAGATAATGCAGATGGCACCACAAACAAGAGACGAACCAAAAAAAGAATCAGAGCATTTACAGCAGAAGACCGGGCAACACACCGTGTAATTGAGAAACAACGAAGAGAAGCTTTAAATGAACGATTTCTGGTAAACATTACTCGGAACGTCTTCAAACGCCTGTACTGATAGACCAGGACCTAGCACGACTTCTACCCGCACTTGCAGATTGTCGACGGTTATCTAAATCCATCATCGTTCATGAGAGTATAGCGCATCTACAGACACAGCGTACCATGTTTCTAGCGGCAGCGAGCGAAGTCCAGACCCTGATCGCTGAAAACCTGGAGCTTATTGCAGAGGTCAATCGATGGCGGGGACAGTTCTCTGATAGGAGCCCATGCCAGCCAAAGCCTCTCGGCGACGGAGTGTTGGCACTGCTCAAAGTTGATCAGGAGGTATTCGGAACTTTTCCTGCTGGCTTTGGGGACAATTCGACTGGAGACGGTGATGATGAGGAACACAGGGGTCAAAACCATGACCTGCAGCAAACTGAAGGAATTCGGCACTCCATTTCAGATTCATTGCCAAGGCCAGAAGTCCCAATGGTTTTACCTCAAAACATTGTACCCATAACCTCTCCTAGCGATCCTACGCTACTTTTCACGGGGCTAGTATCATCTACGTCGACTGGTGTTCCTACAAGCAGTACATTGCCATGCTCAGAACTGCAGACAGACTTGTATAACCCATCCGGCAACGACCTTTTCACTATTCGAGGCACAACTTACGGCGAGCATCTAGACTCTACTTTCGGAATACCTCCTATGGCACACCAATTCGATGACACGATTGTGAATCAAAATGTATTTCCCAACGTTCCAATGCCAATGCCCGAGATAAATTATGGTCCAAGTAATGTATTTCTTTACGGCTGGCAAGCATGAGAAAGCTTGCGAGAAGTATGCATTGCATCTTCTATTTCTATAGAAAGCACGAATCGGCAGACCTCCTCACACGACTTTCATGGCCTCCTCAATTGCAGCCTTGCTTCTCAGCTCGCCGCCTTTGAATAGCTCCAAAGCCTCAAACAATCGAGTCTTTGTGGCCGGATCTGCCTCGATTGATTTTTCCAATTCGGCTCCACTATTTGCCAAGTAATCGATATCGGTGCTTGCGAGGTTTCCATCCCATCCTTTGGGTGCCAGTGGATCCATAGTCAAGAGCTTTGAAAGACGAGCGGGAATTGGGCCGGCGTTCTTGTATGGGTGTGCGGATTTGGGAACTCCTTCGCCAGGTTGCTTGCTTCCATCGTACGGCAATACTACCAATTGGGACAGAACATCGGCAGAAATGGTAGCGTGGTGGCAGCCCATCTCGCCAGCTGCCATGGCTTCTTTGGGCGAAATGAAACTATTTTCGCGGATTCAGCACAATTCGCCTATTCTCTTGGACTCTATCTACCTGGCAGACTTCACCATTGGCTGCTCCTTCCCAGTCTCTTTGTATAGACGCTTGTATGTCTCGAGCATCTGCACCATTCGTGCGGACATGGTGTGGTCGAGAGCAGGATCCTCCACATTGGGCCACAGCCTGGCTTCAGCATGGGCTCTGACTTCTGCATTTGATTTTCAGACAACGCTCTCTCAGCACTTTCTTCTCCACTTACCGTTGTAATAGGGACTGATGTACAGGCATCCAGCTTGACTCGCTGCTATGGCTTGGGACAAGCTGAAGAGCGATGTTCCCAAAGTTCGGATTCCCTCCTTGAGAAGAATTGGACCGGCGTTCATGGCTGGTCCAGTGGCAGGGATCTTGATGCAGAATCGATCCTTGGAGATCCCAACTTTCTCGAACTCCCGGGCATAGTTTCTGGCATGTTCCACCACCTTGTCTGTATCATATGCGTGGAATGGAGATGTCTGGAGAAGGACGCGACCCTGGATGTTTTCGATGTTCTTGGCGCAGATGAGAACGCTCTGTTTGCAGATTCTTAGTTGAAGCTTGGTACAATGCTTAGAGTATTGCATACAATTCTGTCCAACACAGCCGACCAGCCTTGGTTCTTGTATTCCTTCACTGCTTGGAGAAACATCTCCTTGTTCTCGGGAACAGACATTTGTTCGTTGACTAGAAGTTGGTTGCTGGTTTGATTGTGAGGCTTGAATGGAAGACTTTTCGCGAATTTTGGGTCCATGGAGTCAACATCAACGTTCACTATATTCCACATTAGATACTGAAGTATGGGAATCGGTTTTTCGACGTACTCTGCTCCTCCAGCTTATCGAGCCAACTGATACCCTCGACGCTTCCCATTTTGCCCGATGTTTGATAGTTAGATGATTTTGGTGATCAGAAAATGTCTGAAGTCTCAGCTGTTCACCTACTTTCTATCCTCACTTGTACTCCCATACTTAACATATACTCAAATGTCCTGCGACTAGTCATGACGCCCCGTACAGGGACTTTGCATGACTCGGAGCTGGCACACACAGGGCACAGCGGGGTAATGCTTGGCGGAGGGATCGTACGCCATCAGCAGAACCGGCGGTACCGCATCTCCTGGCTGGAACGATACTATCCCACAGTCTAAACATAGTCAAAGCCAAGAGTGGGTTGCAAAGCTGCCTGTTCCTAGACCTCTGAACCTGTTCAGGTCCTCGCCTCGGCTTGCTGGTCACAGTCCTTGGCATGGATGTCCCTGTCTGTCCCTGTGCAGGACGTCTACGCTTGACCAGAAGGGACGTAGCAAGGCCAGAACGGACTCCACAATTGATTCTCCGAGGTGTCTATTGTCCCTGCACAGGACTTGATCCCATTCTCTTCATATCTAGGTCCTGTACAGGTGCCCAAAGTATGACCTGTACAGTGAACCGGACACTTGGCCCGCTTGTTCCTCCCCGGCATATTCCAGCGTTCTTGGGACAGCATGTCTCCACAAACCCGCAGCACATGTGTAGCAGGTGACAAGTACTGGTATTCGGGGAGGATTCAATCTGGGGTAAGTTTGTTCCCCAGACCGGCCTCGATACAAGTGGCATGCTAATAGCTGTACCCCTGTCAATCAATGTTGGTGTTCAATTCCTGGTTTCCAGAGTCTTGGAACTTTCACGAGTCCCTCATATTTCCTAGCTATATCTTGAGCTCTTCCCACACCTGTCGATCGCTCTCGTCCATGAACCCCAAACCAAATCAATCATGTCTTCTGTTCACAAAGACAAAAACTTCTCCGAGCATGTCGAAGATCAGCTCAAGGAAGACCATCATACGATCACATTTGCTCATAATATCAACGCAAAGTACATTAGTCCCAGCTCCCTCAAAGTTCAATTCTAACATTTCTCTAGAATCATCAACCCATTGGCTGGCATCTCCAAGCAACAGCTCTTCGAAAACGTAGCAACCTTTTGTGAAACCTACGATCTGACAGACAAACTGTCAATATTCCAGAAAGGTGCTCTGGTAGCCCAAAGCCCAGATGACTTTGACAACATTGAAGAGCTCGACACTGAAGACAAGCATCACCTTCGACGCGAGATCACCCACAAATTCCACTTGCCCAAGGACCTGTATTTTACCATTGCACTCTGCTCGCTTGGCTCTGCCGTCCAGGGATGGGATAACGCAGGTGCCAACGGAGCGAACCTTTCATTTCCCAAGGAATTCGGAATCGAGCACAACACCTGGCTGGTCGGAGCAATCAACGCTGCGCCCTCGATTTCTGGCCTATTCGCAGCATGGTTTGCGGATCCTCTGAATAACATGTGGGGTCGACGAGGAGTCATTTTCTTTACTGGACTGTTTTGCATCTTTCCGGTTCTTGCTCAAGCTTTCACCCAGAACTGGTGGGGAATTCTGCTGTGCCGTCTGATTATGGGAGTTGGGATGGGTATCAAGATCACTACTATTCCGATTATGACTTCAGAAGTGGTACCCGCTACAATTCGTGGTGCTTTGGTGATGACTTTCCAACTGTGTGTGGCGTTCGGTATTCTCGTCGGATTCTCGTCTAACCTCATATTTCACAAAATCGGCCCATTGGCCTGGAGGTTCCAGCTAGGTGCAGCTTTTGCTCCTGCCGTTCCGATCATCATTTTGATTTGGTTCTGTCCTGGTAGGCACCTCCTGATACTCATACGAAGTCAGAGCTAATGCGCTGTCCAGAATCTCCAAGATGGCTTTTGAAGAAGTACCGCATCAAAGAATCCTTCCAATCGTTCTGCCGCCTCCGAAACACCGAATTGATGGCTGCACGAGACCTGGTACGTTACTTCTTCTCTACATATCTTATTTCAACTCAATATCTAACATAGCACTGCAGTACTATGCCTACAACCAATTCATCGTCGAAGAAGAAGTCTTCGGCGGCTCCTCGTTCCTCACCCGCTTCACCGAACTCCTCACCATTCCCCGCATCCGACGCGCAACAATGGGCGGTGCAATAGTAATGGTCGCACAACAATTCTCAGGGATCAATATCATGGCGTTCTACTCGTCGACCATTTTCGCCGAGGCAGGGTACAACAATACCCAAACACTGCTCGCTTCCTTCGGCTTCGGATTAGTGAACTTTTTGTTTGCTTGGCCTGCGATATGGACGATCGATACATATGGGCGAAGAAACTTACTGCTTTTTACATTTCCGAACATGGCGTGGTGTCTAGTTGCTGGGGGGTGTTGTTTTCTGTTACCGGATACTGTGGACGCGAGGTTGCCGCTTATTGCGTTTTTCGTTTATTTGTTTACGGCGTTTTACTCGCCTGGTAAGATTTGCTCATTGTATCTGAGACTTCCATTCTGATTTGAGACTGCAGGTATCGGTCCCGTTCCAAACGTCTATGCGGCAGAGTGCTTTCCTCTGTCGCATCGAGAAATTGGAGCTGCGTCGTGTATTTTCGTCAATAACGCGCTCTCGAGTATTCTGGGATTGACCTTCCCATCTCTTCTCGCAGCTTTTACTCCCACTGGAGGTAAGTCTTATTCCGAACCCAAATGATCAATAACCGTGTCTAATATCTATTATAGCTTTTGGCTTCTACGCCAGTCTAAACATGGTAGCTTTTACACTTATATTCTTCCTCCTCCCTGAAACCAAGTACGTCTTACTCTCCTTCTCTCGCCCTCCACATCTTCAACATCATACTAACCCACTTGTAGACAACGCACCCTCGAAGAACTCGATTTCATATTCGGGGTTCCCACCCGTCGTCACGCGGCATATTACACTGGTACGTGGCTTCCATGGGCATTCAAGCGCTATATTCTGTTCCAGGGGAGCGCGAAGCTTGAGCCGCTGTATCATCTTGATGGATTTGGTGAGGGGAATGCTGTTCCTGTGGGAGCTTTGCATTGAGGGATCGCAAATAGTGAGGACGAGATGATGGTGTGGGATGCAAGCCAGGGGTCTGGTAGGTAGAGATATGAGATGGTACCTGTAGAGTGTCAAGTGCCAGGTAGTTTTGAATCGATTAGCGAACGATCTAGAGAATGTTACAGATTCGGAATCCTGCAGATATTATGACTAGCGAAGAAAAGTGGAAAAGGTGGAAGCAGTGGATATCACAAACCAGCAGAGCAGAAAAGCATCGCTCAAGGTGCAGTTCTCCCGTGTGGACTTGAATACAATGGGGTTTGTCACCAACAAACTTGTTCCTCTGAACTTGAACAGAGAGGGCACAATTCCTAAGGTACCATGTTGAACCTTAAAACGTAAATAGTTGAGCTAATATTGACATTGTTTCTGACGAAATTTACTTTCGTGTGCTCAGGTGAGGCATATCATGAACATTTGATCTATTCGCGATAGATCGCAAACAGAGAAATCTCGAAGCATAATATTTCCCCGCAGAGAACGCCACCCAAGTATATACACGAAGACCGAACCGCCTTCACCATCCCCATTAAAACCTATGGACATTATTCACCCCATTATGATGATTCCTCTGCTGCCGCGACCTCCTCTCCTTCTCCTCCGCAGCAACCACCCCCATAACAGCCAGCACCTCAAACGCCTCCCCCAAATTCGCCCTGTCCCCAATAAACGCCATCTTCCCCCTCTTCTCAAGACTCATACCCGGATGCGTAAACACCGCCACCACCTCCCCGGTACTAACCCTCACGCACTTCTTCCAATGACTCCTCCCCTCCAACATCTGCACCTCCGGTCCCGAACTGCCCTTCCATTCAAACGTCTCGAGCTGACCCGTAGACGGGATAGGCGCCTGGAACATCCGCGACGAGGACATCATGCCGGTTGATTCGAGGGGTGTGGTTTGTGGTTGCGAGCCGGGCGGGATGCCGATGAAGAGGGTGAGGTCGATGGTGCTGGAGAAGGAGTGGAAGTCTGCTGTTGCGAAAGGGGGGGAGTTGGGGTCGCGGCTAGAGTGCAGGATTACGGAGGGCTGGGAGGAGAAGCCGGTGTGGGTGCTGATGTAGTAGAGGGGGTTAGGGTCGTCTTTCCCTCGGGCGAGGAAAAGATCGCCGGAGAAGGAGCTGGCGGCGTAGAAGCCGAATGCCTGGGGGAAGCGGAATGCGAGGTTTGATTGTTGTGGGGGAGGAGGACGAGCTGGAGAGGGAGATCTTCTGGTTGTTGATTGTGTATCTTGTACTCCTAGTGTTGATTGTTGGGAAGTGGCCATCTCGTATGAGGGCGGTGGAGGTTTCTCGTCGTGCGAAAATAAACCCATTTTCACAATTTTGATGTTATTATCGGTCCATTACTGGCGGATACACGAATTGATATAGTTTTCTCATCGTCGAGGTTGCATTGTCGTATTTGACGTGAGAGGTTTCATCATGGCAGAGATCTGCGAGGCTGAGTGACATTGGCCGCGGCTTCGCCTTGTGGTGGGGAACCAGTGAGACTCAGCCTTGCGGTACAACACGGCATTGTCCAATTATGCTTTATGACAAGCCGCCACTGGCCAGGGAGAACAGCCGATGATCCGGTAGGCTATTCTGTGGCAGCTGGCTTCTGACTTGAGGTCGCAAATAGGATACATTCGAAGGAACAGAACATTTTGCTCCCGAAGCCAGCGAATCTGATTGAGAGATGGACTAAAGTCAAGTCGACCCAAGTTTTAACTTTGGATCAAAATCTACAAATATAAACTGACATACCTCGGAGGAAATCGTTAAGTCTTCTATGAGACTTACATCAAAGATTTCGGACAAATTGAGCGAGTGTGGACTTCGCCATATCCTTTCCCCCTTTGCTGTCTTTGCATCAAGGAAAATATGGTTGTCTTTGAAGTATGAGAGATGCACACGTGCGGTAGATTTCAAAGATGGCAATACTTCCAGCCTTGAGCTGTGTATCATAGCATGGAAATGTCCACATCAGATCTGCAGCAAAGATAGTCTTAAGAGTGAACCACCTTTGTCGACGCCAGTAGCACAATAAGTGAAAAACGGCACTCGCCCTGACAATCCAAAGAAACGAAAGCAAAACGACAGAACGAGGTGATATCCGGAGGGCGGGTATGAAATGGAGATCCAAATTCCAATGGCAAGTTTATAATGTCCACCTTCAGCTTGTCCAAACATCATCTGGAGTTCGGTGGGTACAGGGACATCGCGGATATTATCGAGATATGATGCCGCCCGAAGGGGCCTATCTGCCGCGGGGCCTATCTGCCGTGAGAGAGTAATTTGTAGAAGCAGGTTTCTCATATTGTCTCGCTGAACAGCCCAAGAAGCGGCAATTATATCATAGGTGACGAATACCCTGATGTCAGCGAAAAGGCGGTCGAATCCCAATATCCAAGAATGGTGCAACACAATATCTTCCTTCCACTTATGGGCCCCTGAAAATCAGAGTCTGGACAGATCCATCTGAGGAGTCCATCTGTCTGATCATGGATAGTCCACTTCTCCCTATACACTTCTGAATTCGCTGTAGGGGTGGACGAAAAGCGACCGAGAGGACAGGATTCGACTCAGCGATGGGGGCCGAATTCAATGTCTTAACAGATGTTTTCGAGGATGGGCGTTTCGGGTACCTTCTAGTTAGCACAACGCATTAAGAACACTGAGGTCCTGTAGCTGGTAAGACAAATCCATGCTGCTGAGCATTCTGCAAGTCTTCTGAGGGAAGCTTGAATTCCTTTTAGGAGAAGTCGTAACAACATCTTCGCCGATGAGGTCCGCAGAGCATGTTGAGTCGCCTTACTGCCTGTGTAGAGTATGAGCAAGCTGTGGAAGCCAAGGCTGGTGGTTGAGCGTAGGCTGATGTTGCGGTGAACAATTCCATATCGATATCCAAGCTTCACCATCACCATCATCCCCTAGAGGCGGTGAGACTCGGCAGAAAAAGCTCGGCAATAATCTCAACCTCCACTCTTGTTTATGATCATCATCCTCGGCCGAATTCTCGCCAAATAATCAACAAGTTCGGTTCTCCATGCCCACGCCTGTCGGGCCGTTTTTTGTTTAACTAGAGCCGGACATTTGTATCCTCAAGCTTCGCAGCCACTGACAGCCAAAAGCTTGTCCCGACCTGCGTCACCACTTCCCCCAAGCTGCAGGCTGGTGCGGGGCATGGTTGACCAACGCGGGGTCAAGAGCGGGAACGATTGACAGGAACCAACATCAGCATCGGAGGGACTGTCCTAGTAGTGCGGGAATATCTACTATTATTATTGGATTCTTGTCAGCTCGATTATTCTCGCCGAATCCTGTGTAGAGACGGAGCCGTTAGCAGGATTTGACGAACTCTTTTTCATCCCATGATTCCTGTTTCAGCAATGATCAGAGAGCACTAGAGCATCGTCACTCGGCCCTTTTGGGGTTCCTCATCTTTCTCCCAGCTTTTGAACACACCATACCTCAACAACTGGAGCTACTGGAGCTCGCCCATGTCGTGTTACCTCACTTGAGAAGCAGGTATCTGCGGGGTCCTGCCGTCAGAGGCGGGGAGCTCTGAATATTTATTCAAGATGGCGGACCTTTTCTATCCTCGTGTTTCTCCTTTTGATATCTCCTTGTCCTTCTCATACCTCCTACTTTGCAGCTCATTTCTCGTTTTGTTGTACACTTGCCTGCAAATATTGTGGTATCGTGAGAAGATGGGTGGTCGACTTTTGTTCGCAGTGGGTGCTTTCTGCGCTTCACTTGCCTCTGTGTACGGCCAAAGTTCGACTTCGGCTGATACGCCGAGTGCGACGACCAGTTTTCGCTCAATCTTTACTGTTCCTGCAGATTCTGATGCCAGTGTTCCATTAATTCCAAACATTTTTGTGAGTATCTGTTTAGGTCAATGGCTGTCGCAACAACCCACTAGACCCACCTCGAATAGACCAATAGAAATGCACTTCTGCAGAACCAAGACACTAATCTGTCCAGGACTCCGAAGCAGTCAACGCCCAAGATGTTTGCCCTGGATATACAGCTTCGAACGTCATCAGGACTCCTTATGGCCTCACTGCACTTTTGAGCCTTGCGGGAGATGCTTGTAATGTCTACGGGACGGACGTCGATTCTCTCAACCTCACAGTCGAGTATCAATCCGCAGATCGCTTGCATATCGAGATCACGCCCACATATGTCGACTCATCAAACAGCTCCTGGTTTATCCTCCCAGAGGCCCTTGTCGAAAAGCCTACCATCGATGCAGATGCAAATTCCACAATTCCAGAAAATGATATCAACTTCGTCTGGAGCAATGACCCCACATTTTCGTTCACTGTCATCCGCCAATCAACTGGAGATGTGCTTTTCTCCACGACTGGCACAAAGTTGGTTTTGGAAAATCAATTCATCGAGTTTGCTAGCTCCCTGCCAGAGAACTATAACTTGTACGGGATGGGGGAGGTGATTCATGGTCTTCGGATGGGGAACAACTACACGCGAACTTTCTGGGCAGCTGATGTCGGAGATCCAATCGATTTCAACCTCTATGGTGACCACTCATTCTATCTTGACACAAGATACTACGAAGTCGATGAGAAGACTGGCAATCTAACGTATACTGCAAATGCAACTGATGCGACTGCAGATTATGTCTCTTACTCTCACGGAGTGTACATGAGAAACTCGCACGGTCAGGAAGTTCTCATGAAACCTTCGAACATCACTTGGAGGACGCTTGGTGGAAGCATTGATCTGTACTTCTATGCTGGCCCTACGCAAGACAAGGTCACTAAAGCCTATCAAGCAAGCGCGATTGGACTTCCTGCGATGCAGCAATACTTTACGTTCGGATATCACCAGTGCAGATGGGGCTATGCAAATTGGACCCAACTTCAAGAAGTTGTTGATGCTTTCAAAGCATTCAGTATCCCGCTTGAGAATATTTGGTGAGTGAATAATTCCGCAAGCTAAACATAGCTGCTGACGAATTTAGGACCGACATCGATTACATGAACCAGTATCGTGACTTTGACAATGATCAAGGAAGGTTCTCTTACTCCGAAGGTGCAAAGTTCCTGTCCCAGCTCCACGAAAACGGTCAGCACTACATTCCCATCGTTGATTCTGCCATCTACGTCCCCAACCCGGAGAATGCGAGTGATGCGTATGCTACCTTTGATCGAGGCAACGCAACGAACTCCTTCATGTTGAATCCAGATGGGAGTTTGTATATCGGATCCGTCTGGCCTGGGTACACTGTCTTTCCTGACTGGATTGGAGCTGTTCTCAACTGCACTGGAGCTTCTGATTGGTGGACTGAAGAGATGACTTTGTGGCATCAAAACATCTCATTTGATGGTATTTGGATCGACATGAGTGAAGTTTCGTCCTTCTGCGTCGGCTCGTGTGGAAGTAAAAACCTCACTCTGAATCCCGTCCACCCTCCATTCGGCCTTCCTGGTGAGCCTGGTAACATCATCTATGGCTACCCAGAAGGATTCAACGTCACGAATGCTACGGAATTCGCATCGGCATCTGCAGCATCAGCCAGCCAAGCTTCAGCTGCATCTGCAACTGCTGTCCCTGCTCCATCAACATCGACCACTTACCTTCGAACCACTCCAACTCCTGTAGTCCGGTCTATTGAGTACCCCCCATATGTCATCAATAACGTCCAAGGCGCGCTCGACGTCCATGCAGTCAGTCCAAACGCAACCCATCATGGCGGAACCCAAGAATACGACTACCACAATCTCTTCGGGACTCAAATCCTGAACGCAACCTACCACGCACTCCTCAATGTCTTCCCCACCAAACGCCCTTTCATCATCGGTCGCTCCACATTCGCCGGCTCCGGAAAATGGGCTGGCCATTGGGGAGGTGATAACGCCTCGCTCTGGGCCTACATGTACTTCAGCATCTCTCAAGCCCTCTCCTTCTCCCTCTTTGGCATCCCCATGTTCGGCGTCGACACCTGCGGCTTCAACGGCAACTCGGACGAGGAACTCTGCAATCGGTGGATGCAGCTCAGCGCCTTCTTCCCCTTCTACCGGAACCATAACACTCTGTCCGCGAATTCGCAGGAGCCATATGTTTGGGCATCTGTAGCCGAGGCGAGTCGAGTGGCGATGAAGATCCGATATACGCTGTTACCATATATATACACGACGTTCTACCTGTCCCACACAACAGGTTCAACAGTCATGCGCGCTCTCGCCTGGGAATTCCCCAACGACCCCTCCCTCGCAGCAGCAGATCAACAATTCCTCCTCGGCGGAAGTCTAATGATCACACCCGTTCTCGCGCAAGGCGCCACATCCGTTAATGGTGTATTCCCTGGCGCTGGGAAGGGAGAGGTTTGGTACGACTGGTACAACCAATCTGCGATTACCGCCCCGCCAGGACAGAATGTAACGATCGATGCGCCGCTCGGTCATATCCCCGTGTATGTGCGCGGTGGGAGCGTGCTGCCTATTCAGGAGGCGGGGATGACTACTAGGGAGTGTAGGGCTAATCCGTGGGGGGTGATTGCTGCGACGAGTTTGGAGGGGACGGCGAGTGGGGTGTTGTATGTGGATGATGGGGAGAGTTTGGTGCAGAACAGTACGCTTTGGGTTGAGGTGAGTTTTGACATTTCAGTTTCCATACTTCCCATTTCCTCTTGTGTTGTTTTTGGAGAGGAAATAAAGGGAAAGGACCATGCTGACGACATCGTAAATAGTTCTCACTAACCCACTCCTCACTCTACGCCTCCGCGCGCGGAACATACAAAGACACCAACCCCCTGGCCAACATCACGATCCTCGGTGTCCCATCTTCAGTAAGCAACGTCACCTTGAACGGCGCTGCTCTATCTAGTGGATGGACGTACAATGAGACGAGTAAGGTGTTGGATATCACGGGATTGAAGAACTCGACTTCTTGTGGGGCGTGGGCTAGTGATTGGGTGTTGAGGTGGAGTTGAGAAGAGATAATTCTGATGTGTTGACGAATAATGAGTGAATAGAAGTCTTTGTTATTTTTGAATGATGAATGTATGGAAATGAATCTTTGTGAATCTTTGTCCCAAAGATTCATGACATGGTCAAGGAGAGAGACGATACTTGATACGGGCTGGCTTCGGCCTAGCCATCGAGGCGGTGGACAAAAGCAGGACGAGGTATTGCGATTCAGAAATCGACAGATGAAGAGTACTATACGAAAGCGCCGTACAAAATCAAGGGTCTCGCCCCGGCCTGTCTCACTCTACATGTGCTTGGTTCATAACTTACGTACTTACACTCGGATGAATAGGCTGCGCCGCTCGCTTCGTCCCCGCAAATTGTTTATATCGCCTAATATGGCGTGGAGCTTTGGGTAAATCGCGAGAAGGAAGAATACAGGAGCCTGTTTCTGAATCGATTTTCTGAATCGATTTTTAACCCTTGTCTATTGAGACTCCAGCTTGGCAGGACTCTATGTCTACTTTGCCAAGTGGCGAGAGCGGTGTCATGATCATAAATTACAAATACGCCTGCACTATTCTTCGGCGCCAACTACTGAGTGTAAAAGCAAAAGCAAAAACCTCACATGGAAACGGCATCCCATCCCGTTCATCCCACCTCTCGATCTCGAACCTCTTTTCCAGCAGACGCCCACCGAGATCAACATTACCACCAAATTGCAGCAGTCATCGATAAAAGTCTAAATCCCCCACCTTCTCCCACTCTCTTGTACTCACCTACCAAAGTAGGACGATACTCCTTCGTGCCTGCATGTTGATCCCCACCGAATTAAGCTTGAGAAGAGATTGAACCTTGTTTATACAGCATTTGTAATCCAGATGGTGCAATTAACCCACGTGTAGGAATCGCTCGCTTGGGGTGTCGTGCTGGGTAGGCAGGTAATTTTCAGGGAGGGCAACGTCATGGATAGGCAGTCCCAAGGACTTGGCACAGGGCTTGGCGATGTTTACCCCTCTTGGGGTATTTTTGCTTGCTCGCTGGTCAAGGCACGGTACTTATTGGGGAGAGGACCCAGATTAAGATTTTTGTTTTGAAACTTATCTCGTTTCAATTGAAGTCAATTCAATTCAAGAAAGTTATTCAAGATCCCGAGAGTTTCCCTCGTCTTATATCAATATGCGCATCCAATACCAGCTCCTAGCTCTACTAGCGCCATTCACAACACTCGCTACGCCAGCGAAAGAGTTCGGTTACGATCCTGCGCCACTGAAGCATGAACATCCCGGACAGCTGTTCAATCATGTGAATAGGAAGTCGAAGTGTTTGAGTGGGGTGTTGACGGATACGAATTCGACGGGGAGGTTTGACAGTGTTGGAGGGAGTGAGTGACCTGGATTTTGTTTAGTGTTGGGTTGAGTTGAGTTGGCGCTAATTGGAGGCCAGTAAATACGTATCTCGCGTATCCAAAATCGAAGAAGACGGATATTGCGATTTTGTATTTGACGGATATTTTTGGGGTCCAACTTGTTAATAATAGATTGTAAGATTTTTACGCCCGGAAATATCTAGTGAGAAAAAGCTAACGAGTTTTCAGGCTAGCAGATAGTCTGGCTCTTGCTGGGTATTTCGTAGTGGAGCCTGATCTATTCAATGGAGACCCAAGTATGACCCGACTTATATTTGTGGGTGTTGGATATTGAACTGATATTTTGACAGTCGGCGTCGATCAATTGAATGACCCAAGCTTCAACATAACCGCCTGGCGTGAACGACATCCTCCTGCGGCGATTGATGCCATTGTCACTTCAACCATTGCAGCTATGCGAGGAGACCTGGGCGTTAAGAAGATTGGAGCTGTTGGTTATTGGTACGTTCTTGACACCAATCTTGGCGTAACCAAAGATTTTGATTGAGGACTTATTTTGGGAAATATCACTGACAATCCATTCATAGTTTTGGAGGCAAATACGTCGCACGTTTCCTCGCCCCAGGAAAAGGTCTCGATGCAGGGTTCACAGCCCACCCCAGTGCTGTCGTAGCCGAAGAATGGCAGGCGGTCGCCGCACCATTGACCATTGCGTTTGGAGGTCAGTTGAAAACACCTCTCCAATTACCCCTCTTCTCCCCATCCCCCCTTTCCCCTTTCATTATTCTAACACCCAATAGAACTCGACGCATCAAGCACACCCTCCCAACGAGCCGCCGCCGAAGCGATCTTCACATCCACCAACATCACTTTCCAGACGAACCTCTATTCAAACGCTGAGCATGGTTTTGCTGTGCGGACGAATCTGTCGGATCCTCAGAAGGCGTTTGCCCAGGAAAGTGCGTATTTCCAGGCTGTGAGGTGGTTTGATGCTTGGGTGAAGTGAGGTGAGATGAGGGGGGACGAGGGGAATGGAGTGGTATGGTGTGGAGTGGAGTGGTGGTAATTTTTAAGTAGCGGTAATATTCAATATTCACTGCGTTAAATCAGCAGTACAAAGACAGCTCAGAGCCGAGCGATAACTTCACGGCAAACCTCTTGTATATTACTTATCTACTGATCTCAGTCTTGTTGCTTAATAGCCGCAATAGATACATGTGGCATTGCATTCCCCGTATCCCGCTTCCTAATACAAGTGTTAGTATTTCTGATATTTGGCACCCTAGCTAGGGGTTGTACGTGCACTGCGATGACCTCCCAAATCGCCGAGAGTAATTTCCAGACTTTGCGTCTATTATTACAGTCCGGCAGAAGTTAGTTCCATGCACGTTGGCATTGCTGTTCTGGGGTTAGTTAATCGCAAATATCTCGCTTACGCCTTGTTGTTATCAACAACGCGTCGCTATCTTGTTCTGAAATCACCATTGTTACTAGCACGGATTTTAAACACTGTCACTCGAGTCTACTGGAAGGCATAGTGAGAACACTGACTAACGATTGATGAAGAGATGGTTGTTTGTTCTAATGCAAATTGCACCGCAAAAATCGATCCATTTCCTCGTAACCACGTGAGCTCCCACTTGATCCAACTAGGAGGAAACTAACAGACAATGAACTCGAGAATAATGAGACAGGCTGTTCTATAATCTACCTGACGACTATTCTATGAAATCAGGAAAGCCACACGAATTTGAATTATCTCACTGTCAGATTAACCTTTGCTGTCAATTATGTCATTGTTATCATCTCCCAGACTCGAACCACAATGCATAGGTCTCGAACGGAATTCTTCTCCTTTTCCTCTCACAAGTATCAACAGACATCTATGAGTCTGAGAAACCGCGCGCTGTGGTAGGTAGATTTCGCTTCGACAATGCCACACATACAATTCCTTCGAAACCCTCTGTCCTTAAGAGCATAGCACAGTTGTCGTAAGAACTTGGAGATCGTTTGTGGTTTGGAACAAGGGACTGTAAGCTTTCTTCAAAGACTGAACCACTTCCCCGACCCTGGAAAGTACAAATCTTGTACAAACTTGAAACTCACCATGATGCAGATACACGTCAACCAGCTTCACTTCGTACAATTCATCATTCACTTCTAGGTAACTTCCCGTCCGGTTCCACCCTTATTGCCACTGAGGTTGAAGTCTCCCATCTTGCCTTTTGTACTCGTCAACGAACAAAAAACAAACAAACAGTACGCACGCATTGCCACGTCCTCCACCTTTACAACCCCCCCTTTCCTCTGAACGTTGAGGCAGGCCAAGGAATGAAATACGCAGTTACTTCCCATGACAAAGGTTCATCCAGTGTTTCGTTTCAAGCTGTCAAAAGTAAGTTTGGATATTGGTCCGTGGGTTTCGGGGGGCTGAGCCTCACTCAGGAAACCGGAGATATGCAGATAATAAACGAGCTTTGGAACACTGGACTGAGAAGGAATGAGTGAGAAGTGCCAGGTCCGAAAAGGAAGGTCGAAGCTGTTTGCTTGCTGAATGTTTATGAATTCGCTGTCAGGTTCATTGTTCCCTCGTTGCGTGCCGATACTTCGCAATCCCGCCCTTACTCACCGATCCCAGACGAGCCGAGCCATATTCAAGAAAAAATATCAAATTACAGATTATCAAAACAAGGTTTGCTCCCAAGAACTCTGAAGTGGGTCCCGCAAAATGAGGTGAGTCTGATTCTTTCAGAATCTTTCAGAAAAGAGAGTTTTCGCTTCACTTCTTGGAAGTTGTTGACGTTGCAAGGGAACTTACGAAGTTACGAAGTGCAAGGAGGGCCTGTTGTTTTCGCTGGGCCAATCAGAGAGCGTGCGGTACGGATTTGGGTGCGGGTAGACTTCGGTAGTCAGCGCCATACAGCGGGTGATTAATCCGGCTTGGGGTATATTGTCAATTTGTGGATTGGGGCAGATTGTAATTTACCAAGATACCAAGTGTACTCCGCCACGAGATCTGCGTACTTACTTACTACCTTTGTTTACATTTTTGAGTTTTCGGGGCCTGGATGTTTATACCCTCTTGTCAAAAGTTCACCCGAGGTATCTTGACAGGTGGTAAGCGAAGACACTGGCTGAGGTGGGGCAGACCATCGGATTCGAATGCGCACAGGGAGAGGGGGGGCACATCCCGTATCTTTCTCCTCTCTCATTTGAGCGGGAAAAGCTTAACCCCTTGAAGCTTGAGACTTTGACTGACAGGAAAACTTCACAGCCTCAATTGGGTATCATTATTGATGAGTGTTTTGGATTATGTGATATTTGATTGATTGATCGTACTCGTATCTTTCTTTGAAGAAGGGCAGGGTGATGATGACTTCTGGACTGCAGCAATAATGGAAGAGAGCAGATTAGACGAACCAGTCAGCGAGCTAGTCCCCCATAATTCAAGCTTATTTTTAGTGAGTAAGCCTAGAACATCGCATCCTGATCCGACAGACCGCGTACGGTACAGAAGATTATTGATCCTCGCCCATCACCATAAGCCAGCCTGCGATGGACTTACAATGACGAACCTCATCCAGCGTGTATCTGCAAATCTCAAGACGGCGAAGACGGGTATCATTGTTTTACATTCCTTCTTCCCCGACAGGTAAGACTGCAGTGCGGGTATGACGACAATGAAGATCTTCCATTCATTCCCACCTTACTGCATGCATCCAAACACGTCTTGCATATCTTTCTTCGACGGCAAAACGCGTAATCCTCTCTTGGCTAGCACCAAAAGAAAACCCAGACCAGACTTTGGTTATCGATAAGCAAATACCTACCAGCGTGGTGAGTATTATTGGAGACTGCTCGAGTGCGCATCTCGATTGTGATGCATGATATCAGGCTCGGCAGCCGAAAGCCGAGAGCCTTCGGGCGCCGAGAGCTGCATTTGAATTATTGTCCACAAGACGTCCATCAATTCGTAAGCATTTTGTTATTTCCAGTCCAGCGCATCAGCTATATATACATACGATGGAGACGATAGCAAGCAAGCCAGTCTGTGATATGCAGATATATTCGTCATCATCTCGTCCCCCAGCTAGATGTCCGCAGGGAGAGATACTTCGAAGTACATGTTTCAGCTGCATGCGCCCGAACAGCCAATGGCTGGGCTGGACTGGGAGACTAGCCAATCACCAATGCACTATTTCAGAAGCTTCGTTCCTGTGGAGGCGCAGGGAGCCCATGGCTGGAATGCGAATGCAATGCGCCGGGCAACGCTGCTGCCGTAAGTAGTGCCTAGTGCTTGGTAAATCTGAACAAAGCAGATAGAGCATCGCCGTCTTACACTGGCTCTCAGCGCAGTAGTAGTATGGTGGTAAATTTACAGGTAATCTTCACTGCAAATCCCCGGACTACTACTCTCATCTCAGATTGGGAAGGATGGGCGAGTGCCCCAGGCCCCCAGGCCCCCAGGCCCCCAAGCCTGAATGCCGAGGATGTTTACAGGGGGAGAGAATCGAGAAAGAACGGTGGACAGGGGGGAAGTTCAACTGCCCTTTAAGGGTCCGTGGGGATCCTGGAAAGTAAATTACCAGGTAGGTAAGGGGGGGAGGGGGGGCCTTGCCTTGCGGGGATTGATTTGATTGCTGGGCCGGGCTGGGCTGGACTCCTGGACTGAACTGGCCTTGGTACTACCTAGGTACCGAGCTGAATCACTACATATTTGACCACCCCCCTCCTGGGACAACAAGAGGAGTGGTGATTGCTCTGTGTTGTACAATAATTCTTGGATTGTTTTTTTGCTTCCATATACTTCATAATGAAGACTTCACGATTACAGCAGACGCTTGGGTGGGCGATTACTGGATTCGGTGCGTCTTGATATTTATTCCCAGCATCACTAACATCCATGTCCGCGTTCAGAACTAATTGTCAAAAGCCTCTCTCTCCACAGCACAAACCTCATTCTCCCCCGGCCCAACATACAGTATCGGCATTCCATCAGACTCATCCATCTCGTCCTCCTCAACAGGACCTCTCTACTTCCGTCTCGAAGCACCAACATCCTACCAATGGGTTGGTCTAGGTATCGGGAGCCAGATGGCCGGCGCAACCATCTTCGTGATGTACGCGGACGGCAATGGGAATGTTACCCTTAGCGGAAGGAAATCAACGGGCCAGGTCGAGCCAAAAGCAGATAGTACGGTGCAAGCTGGATTGGAATTGCTGGAGGGGACAGGGATCGCCGATGGGAAGATGGTTGCGAATGTTCGATGTGGGTCAAGTCCAAACTCCATGCATATACTCTATGTGACGAACCGCCCGTCACGGAGGGAAACATATTTTATACAATGATCAAGGCTAATTTCCACCAGGCACAACATGCACACTCGACTCCTCCAAGACATCCTCCAACTCCCCCTGGATCGCAGCATGGAGCATCGGATCCGCCATCGACTCGACCTCCACGTCCGCAACACTACGCCAACACTCCGGCAACAACAGAGTCGAAGCCCAAGTCGACCTGTCGAAAGCGTCCATCTCCTCTGACAGCAATCCTTTCGTCTCAGCCAGTACGCCCGCGGGGTCACCTAACTCAGGCTCCTCCTCGTCGCCAACTACCGCCGCGTCGGGAAGTAACCCAACGTCTTCATCTGGATCTGGATCTGGAAACAACAATGGGTATGGAGGATCATCTGGCGATGACGACCATGGTGATAACGATGATGATGCTGACTCAAATTCTAGCGGCAACAACAATGGAAACAGTAACAGTAACAACGGCGGAGTTACGTTCGGCAGCGGATCGGACTTCCAAGCCATCACCGACTACCAAAAGGCGCACGGGATCGTGATGGGTGTTGTGGTTGTGCTGCTGTTTCCCTTTGGGGCGATGTTTGTGCGTCTGGGAGGGAGTGGGATCGTGCATGGGGTCTTGCAGGTGTTGAGTTTGTGTGCGTTGTTGGTTGGGTTGGGGTTGGGTGTTAAGTTGACGGATCTGAGGAAGCTGGTAGGTTTTTCTTTTTTCGATCTTTCAAAGTTACAGTTTCCCCTGCTTTGGGGCTGGGTCTAGAGGCGGACCGGGACCAGCACAGGACGTTGGACAGAGGGTTTTCTGGTACACGGTGATATGGGTATTACGTTTTACGTATACCTGTAGTTACCCTCTCTACCTACCATCACTCCTCTGTCCTATCCTCTCTTTCCTCTTATCCCTTCCTTTTCCTTCTATTTCCTCTCCCTCTCTTATCAAACACCACACTTCACACCACCACAAGCTAACACCCCCCACAGTCATTCACAACCACCCACCCCCTCTTCGGCCTAATAATCGTCGGCCTCTTCCTCATCCAGCCCATCCTCGGCCTGGTCCACCACCTGCAATACAAGCGCAACCTCTCGCGGGCGCCCGTCTCGCACCTGCACATCTGGTACGGGCGGATCCTGATGCTCCTCGCCGTCATCAACGGCGGGCTCGGCCTCAAGCTAGCGGACAATACGAAGGGTGGGAAGATTGCGTATGCGGTTGTGGCGGCTGTGGTGGGGGTTTTGTATACTGGGGCTTGTGTTTGGAGGAGGAAGGGTGATGGGAGAGGATTGGGGAGGGGGTGGAGGAAGGAGGGGAGTGGGAGTGGGAGTGCGAATGGAAATGGGAGTGCGGGGGAGGCGCACCCGTTGCCAGATTATACGGGGAATGGGACGGGGGCGCCGCCTGAGGGGCATTATGGTGGGAGGGAGTTTAAGTGAGGCGCGGTGGAGTGAGGCTTCAGTTGAAGGTTGGTCTTGAGGATTGGGTGTGTGTGAGTGAATAAAGGATTGCGGCGTTGTGTCGGATTATGGATCATACTTAAAAGTCAACATTTGTTCATTTCTTTTGTATCTTTTTATTATTACGGGGGCTTGTTTGTTTGGGGTTCGGATCAGGCGTGAGCAGAATATACAGAGGTATACAGTGTTAGTTATGCCGCAAGGATTTGGGCTCTCTCTCGCGAGGGTATGGGTACGGTGTTGCACTGGTTGTTCTTAATCGGGCAGGGAGTAAAGAAAGGGAGAAAGGGATATATCCACAGAAAGCCCTGGTACTGGTATTGGTTTTGGTATGGTGTGGTATGGTATGGTATGGATAGACCTAAGGATGAGGCGGGCAGTGATAGATATTCCAAGTCCACCAAATGATTGATCCTGTTCGGTCCTGTCCTGACGTTCTTCTTCTCCAGCTCTTCACTTCCATCATCCGGTTTTTTTTTTTTTGGATCAAAGCAAGCATCTTTTCATGCGGCGAATTACGGAGGCGGGACATGACCTCATACATATACCCTCAAAGTCAAAGACCTCCCTCCTGCACGTTACGCCACGGATTCTATTATCCTATTTGGCTTGCTGTTGGTCTAACTTACCCTTATTCTTCAATTGTAAATCCAGCGAGTGACTGACAGGAAAGTCAGCGCTAGGGAAGTCTCCCCGCACGGGACGAGACGAGATGATCTCGGGTGCGGATTGGTTTATTGGTTTATTGATTGATTGATTGATTGATTGATTGATTGATTTCTTCATTTCGTGAGAGGGAGGGAGTCAGCCAAAAGTGTTGAACTGACGGAAAAGCCGTGCTATTTGAGCTGAGGCTGGGTTTGGGATGTCTATATCTAGGATAACGTCTGCTCTGCCACTAGAGAGGGAAGAAGATGAAGGGGGGTGTGTACTTTTCAAAACGAGAACAAGTTTTGGAAAAAGTGAGTGACGAGAAGTTTAGGGCTGTCTGTTGCTGCTGCGTTTGTTTGGCTTTGGATACATTATCTGTGCATGAAATCAAGAACCGACGATTCTTTGAAGCCTCGTTTCTAAGACAACGGATTCCGGTTCACGTTGTGAATGTTACGTGATGCTCTGGGCTGGGCCGTCAACCTAAATACACCTGACTGTGACATTGGGTACTTTTGTTCTTAATCTATCCAGCAGAATACTTCCTCTGATGTAATCTCTACATAGTGCCGAGAGAGTTTTGAGAACGTAAGCAACAAATACAACGCGGCGTAGCGAAGATCCGCATATCTGTGCAGGAAAAGAACGCCTAAGTCAACAGCAACAGAGTTCATGTATCAAAACACTCGATCCAAACCTCGAAATGAGGAGCAGAAGAGTAACGTACGCAGCAGAGAAACAAGACATGTGCAGATCCGCGAAGGAGATGAGGTACGAATTAAAATGAGTCCGTTCCAAGTAGCTTGGCTTATCGCTGTCTACGCAAGCAAGGAGGGAGCGCAAAAGTATACAATATTGGACGTGTAAGCGAAATTGCAGGCCCTCCAAGGATGCCAACCACTCACGAACTCGATGAACTTTATAACTGTAATGCTAGGTGAAGGAAGAATAATGGACTGGAGGAGGTGGGATGACATGAACTTGGTTGGACAGAGGGGAGGGAATTGGCTCTGAAGAATTGGACAGTTTTGAGGAGAAAACTGCTGGGAAGGGAAGAGTACATAGAAGAAAGGTACGGAGTGTAGAGGACAGACCCGAGGGATTTCAAGATTAGAGGATCTGAGATTGCAGTAATGCACAAGAGATACACGGTAAAACTTTGGCAAAACAGCAACACATCGACACAAAAAAGCGAATCAACGATACACCTATCTTTCAGCAAGACAAATAAACAATGACGCTCGTTCTCGTATCCATCCAACTCTACCAACCTCGGCATACCGGATCCGATGAAGACCGGCAGCGGCCAGCCGCAAGCGCAAGCGCATCTCTTGTTCCATTTTTAACCTTCTTTTTTTCTCCTTTCCACTCCACTTCATGCCACTACGCCACTCCACCACACCACTCCCATCATACCGTATGGATCATGCAAATCAACAGCCGGCACTAGCGAGAGAAGCGCAACCCACCAGACGTCATTCAGCCTCGTATTTGGCAAGGCTAGCGCGAGATGGGTTTTGGTGTTTTAGTGCAACACGAGGAACTTCTCCCTTGGTTCTTGATTGTTGCACTTCGCGATTGTGTCATTATTTGTGAGCTAAAACACGAAAGTAGGTACGAGGTACCAGTAAGTAAAATTACGTGAGTGTGTGTGAGTGTTCCTGATCGGCACTGCCGCATCCAATGCCGTGATTGGAAAGTCAAAATTCTAAGTTTGACAAGGACGATGCGCTGGATGAGATGACGGTTGTGGAGACAGGCGATCAGTCCGATCCCAGTTGAGCTGGAAAGTTTATTACTTCTATATATGTCCGAGTGACCCGGGGCTGAGGGTCCCTGTCTTTGTTGTTTGTTTTGTCTGCTTGCAAGATATTGATACCAGAATCATGGTTTTGAGATACTGCTCACCTCTAGTGCTGTTGGCGGCTGCCAGTGCCGCGGACTGGACGACCCAGCAATGGGACGCGATTATTGTGGGAGCTGGGCCGGCGGGAATTATTGGTATGTTTTGGAATCATACATCACGTTTATTACTGACCATTTCAAGTCGCAAGTCGTATGGCTGAAGCAGGTTTGCAAACACTCCTCCTCGAGGGTGGTGGACCATCATACGGTGTCACAGGAGGCGATTTAGATAGCCGAAGACCAGTATGCATCATGCCAAGCCCCCTTGCATTGAACCAAATTTGACATCCCACAGGCATGGCTCTCAGGAACGAATCTCTCTCGAGTCGACGTTCCAGGCCTCTACAAATCCATATTTGCCGATGAAGGAAACCTCACTTGCGGACCACTGTCAGGTGGCTTCGGCGGATGCGCCATCGGAGGTACCACTGCTATCAACGGCGGGCTATTCTTCGAGCCACCTGCGAGCGATTATGATTTGTATTTCCCGGCAGGATGGAAGTCAGCAGATGTGAAGGATGCCACGAGTCGACTTTACGCTACGCAACCCTCGACGAATATCACTTCGCAAGATGGAATCAGGTATCTCCAAAGTGGGTACGATGCAGCGAGAAAGTGGATCGTGGATAATCTTGGATTCAAAGATGTGGATATCAATGCCAATGCGAATGAGAAGACGCAGGTTTTTGGGCACCCGATCTATGATTATGAGAATGGCCAGCGGAGTGGTCCGGTGGCGACTTACCTTCAAACGGCGTTGAAGAAGTGCAACTTCCACTTGCAAAGCGGAACCTTAGCTGTTCGTGTTGAGAGAACAGGTAGCAAAGCAACAGGAGTCGTAGTTACTGTTGACGGAACCGAGAAGACGGTCAATCTCACACCAACTGGCAGAGTCATCCTCAGTGGAGGAGCCCTTCGCAGTCCAGGTCTTCTTATGTTCTCTGGCATCGGAGATCCAGAAACATTAACGAAGTTGAAAAATGGAGGAAAACTATCTCCAACCATGGACCCTCAGCAATGGATCAACTCGACAGCCATCGGAGAAGCACTTTTCGACAACCCAAACACATTTATCGAGCTCTCCGGGCCATCCATCCAGTCCTACGTATACTCATATGAAAACCCACCTGAGGGCGACAAGCAACTCTACCTCGAGAAGCGCAGCGGTCCATACACATTTGGAAGCCAAACCTCCGTCTTCTGGGACACCATCCAGCACGCCGACGGCAGCGTCGTCGGTCTCCAAGGAACAACCGACTCCTCCGGCTTCGGCGGCTTCACCGACAACAACACCATCACACTCAACGTCTACGGAACATCCGGCCTGAAATCCAGCGGCCGCCTGATCCTCGACTCCAAATTCATCCCTGGTCCGAACGGAGACGAATACTTATATTACTCCAACCCTCAAGACGCCAAGGACATCGCTCAATTCATCTTCAAGATTTTCCAGGGCCTTCCAGGGTCGGGCTTGACACCGCTCAATATCCCGCAGACTGCCACGGAGGCGGAGATCCTGAAGTACATCACGACACCATCGAGGTATGCGAGAGGGCGGGTCAGTCACTGGTCGAGCAGTTGTCGGTTTGAAAAGTGTGTCGATGCGAATACGGTGGTTATTGGCATGAAGAATCTGCATGTTGTGGATTCGAGTATTGTGCCGCCGTTGACGGTCAATCCGCAGTTTGGGATCATGGTTGTGGCGGAGAGGGCGAGTGAGTTGATTTTGGCGTTGGATGGGAAGGCCATTGTCTGAGAAGACGGAGGGGGGTCTAGATGGCGTTTTCGTGGTAGCATTGTCTTTGTCGGCCGGAGTAGAGGCGTTATAATCATAATTCTTGTCGAGATGTTTTAAACATGGTTATCGACTTGGAGCACAGCAGGCATTCATAATGATACACTCGTGCAGCGCGGTAGCGATATTAGGGACGAAGGAATGGGTCGTCGAGTTGAAGCACATGCGTGAACCCCGAATCTTTTATCATCATCATGCATCTTCAGGGCTCCCGCAGTGGAGATCGGCACCAACACCGTGGATTTGATGCGGCACCGCCCCGTACCTAAACCTTAAATTCGACGCCACAGTACCCAAGGATACTCTCACATTTCAAGGTTCCAGCGAGCTGGACTTCATCCGGTGACATCAGCCTGAACGGCGCCTGATCATACGATTTGGAACCTGAACCAGCAGATGCAGCTTTTGGGAGCCGGTCAAAGCCGCGAAGTAGATATGACCGAATATGTCGTTCTCGACCCTTTTCTAAACCTTGGCGAGCACCAATTCCTTCACGTCCTGGCCGACAGAACCAGTAGGGCTTCTGAAGCCATCTCCAGATTCCGCGATGTAAACCGAGATTCTCTTAGAGAGAGCTTGGTGTGGGTTCCTGAGTGAGCTACGCTGATGATTAGACAGTATGACTGGATCATGTGCCATTCATTTTTTCAAGTGCCAAAAATTCTCTCGATGTCAACACAGTCGAAGCGGAGGGCCGTTTCCTCGGATCCACTATCAGCATGAGCCGGAAAAGGTCCCGTAATTGCTCCGGTATTTCCACCCCCCGGAGCTCCACATCCAATGGTGAAATAGCTTGCAATTCTGGCTCCTCAAGACTCATACGTGCAGCAGCCTTGACTGCAGCTTTGAGAGTATCCCCTGGAGTGGCAGTCCCGTCTTTTAGCGCCTTGGCGGGCCCCCACCAAAACAAAGGATGTAAACAAACGTATCTTTCTCTATCAGAACTCCACTCAAAATAGGTGCAATTGCGATGCAAGACGTTCAAGCTGATTCTACTGATCCTGCAACAACAAGACCCGACCTTGATCCCGTGACTAATGTCGGCACGGGATTCATACCTATGAAAACCCCCTCTTTTGGCTACTCTATCAACCTACCTTCGCATATTACCCCTAAAGATGCCTTTGGTATTTTCGAGCTCTTTTTTACAAGAGAACAGCTTCAAATCATATGTGATAATACGAACCAGCGCCAAGAACAGGTTCCAATCCCTGAAAAGCCCGGATCTCATGCCTGGGACTGGCGGCCACTTGTTTTGAGTGAGATATACGGGTATTTAGGTATCCGGATCTACATAGGGATCCATAGAGAGAACAGGTTCCCTGATTATTAGAAGCCTCCAACTCTCGAATAGCCTGGTCACTCCGTTCGAGAGGTTATGAGCCTTCAGCGATTCTAAGCAATTCATAAAGCGTTCAGGTTATCTACTGCTGATCCGGATTATGATTTTAAGGCTGTTTTTAATCGATTGGAGCCTTTCAACACACATATTCAGAACGTTTCCAAGAGATTATAGCACCCGGGTAGAGACGTAGCTATCGACGAAGCTATGTCACGTTTTTAGGGTCGCTCATTAGACACTTTAAAGATTCCTGGTAAGCCTATTGATCAGGGCTACAAGATATAGGTTCTAGCCCAAATGGGCTATTTCTACGATTAGGTGTTTCATCGGAAAGGGACAAAGACACACCAAAAAAGAGGGAGATATAGTCCCTGGAAAGTGAAGTAACTAAAGGCTCTTGGACAAAATACTAGTTCCGGAGTAGTGGCGCATCTGATAGAACGGCTCCCAGATTATAGCACTGGCTATATCGTGTACCTAGATAACTTATTCACGAATATCAAGCTCTTGAAGTATAGGAGAGAGCGTAGTTGGGCTGTTACCAGCACGTGCACAGCAAAGTCCGGTATCTTAAAGGAGTTCAGTTAAATGAAGATCGAGGACGCAAGGAAAGACGCAATTCCCTAGGGGAAACTATGGGTTGTAGCAACGCTAGACAACTTGATCAATATGATGGCCTAGAAAGACAATGCTTTGGTCCTTTCAATGTCGACAGCTTCTAATACGCTTAGTCGAGTTGAGGTTCTTAGAAAACGCCCTTCCGAGACCTCTTCCGTAGCAAAAACAGCACGTGTACCCTTCGGAACATATACTCGAGCTTAGCTAGAGATTCCAGAGTATACATATCTCTATAATATAGAGATAGGGGCAGTTAATCGTGGTAATCAACTGAAGGTAGCAGATAAGCTTGAGAGGATCTGTCGAATAGGTGGTTATCAATCTCTTATCACGTGGATTGAAGACACAGCTTTAGTTAACGCGTATAAGCTCTCTTTCTATTCCCCTGTACCAGATAAGGAGAAATGGGTTGATCAGATAGCTTTTCGCAGTGAGATTGTAAGGAATTGTTTCCGAATTGCTAAGGAAACAAGTAAGAAACGTAAACGAGTCTCTATAAGTGTGGTGTTACCAAATACTACTATTCCGGTCCAAAAACACACCCTTAGAAGGCTACCATATCAATTAGACTATGTTGTATATAAAAAGGAGGGGTTGAATCGAGCGGTAAAGAGGAAGGTGATAGGCGAGCTTTCAGTCAATATGCCGGCTAATTTCAAGGGATCCGGATGTAGGAAAGGTACCCTGTTTTGCTGTAAAGAGTGTAATATTCCCCTATGTAAAGATAGCACCTGCTTTGCCCGGTTCCATAGCGTAGAGTGGAGTAATTGAAGTGGATATACCCAAAACTGGCACTTTTGGTGGTGATTCCGCGCTAAAATACGTTAAGCGAGGTGCCACTCCAGGGGATAGCGTTCTACCTCATCAGGATTTGGTAAATCCCAGCTGGGAAACAGTCGCTTGATCTTCGCCATAGACCAAGCCTCATCGATTAGGAAATGAGGGCTATCCCATGTGCCCAGAATCCCAGGTTTGATCCAGCAAAGTAGCATTGCAGCAACTGCCCAAACCTGCGACGGTTCGGTACACGCCTGGCCTAGGAAGACTTCAGGCGCGCGCATAGAGTATGGCTGGGCTTCGAAACGGTCGCCAGTCGGAAACACTATGAATGTGAGCTAAGGTGTATATATCCCACGTATCAATCAACACTTGCTCACCAAGTCCCAAATCACCCACTTTAGCAACAACTCGGCCAGTTTTGAGGCCAGAAAGCAGGATATTCGCCGGTTTGTAATCTGGGCTGATCAGCGAATTTCCACATATCGGGATGAGATCCTAATACCGGTATTAACAAAATTCTGGTTTTCCAGCACGATACAGCTACTTAACGCTGCTCTCAAGACCGACTGAATAATAGCGTAGTTGGCCGCGCCAGGCAGATATTTCACCTCTGAGAGAGTGGTATCAAGCCATTCTAGAGCGATACACGTCCCGGTACCACCCATAGAGTTCTCAAAGACATCATACAGCTTCCGAAAACATGCAGCCGAAGCGACTCCAGGAATGAGATAGCTTCGACGTTCACGTTCTAGGTTCTCCGTAGCAGTTGCATCACTGGGCGACGCTGCTTTGATGAAAGCCCTTGAAGCAGCAGAATCAGACCTGGAACTTAGAGGACGGTGATACTATAACGAACCATTGGGGAGAACCAAGTGGGTTTCCATGGTAAATGATTTCGGCTTTGAAGCCGGTAGATATTTGCGTCTTGTCGCCTTCAACGGCCTCCTTGATGCGATAGTTCCAAAGTGCTCCTGACAGAATGTGGCCAGGAGCAAGCGACGACGAGAACGAGTTCGATTTCTTCACAGTATGTGAGATGGTGCGGGTCAAACGCATTGTGAAGGATACAATGAGGAACAGGAATGAAAACAAACAGTAAAGTCAGAGAGCTGTGCCCGAGCCGAGCCGCAGCCCCGCTTCCGCTTCCCTGGCGGTGGAACTTTACCCCGCCATCCAAGTTTTACATCCACTTCAATCTCAAACCAAGGGTGTGATGTACAAGAATAATATTGAGCCAGGGACACTCATGGAATGTCTTTTGCGATAACAACATTGGATTTCATGTAACCGGATATAAAAGTCTTGTCAACCAAGATAGGGTTGAAGTTCATCTTGCCCACACCTTTATCTGACATCGCGAAAATTACAACATATAAGACGTGCTCAGAAAGCTCGAGACAGGAACAGAAAATACTCTTCTTCCAACCAACGAATCCATTTCCCTCTCTTGCACGGCATAACTCAAAAGACTATTTCAAATGGCATTCTCACCTCGCGCACTAAACAAATCATCCCCTCACCCTCTCAAAGTCCTCATCCCACTCTTCCCGGACTTCAACACCTTCGACGCCAACGGACCCATCGAAGTCCTCTCCCAAGCAAACCGCAACAACCCATCTGGCTCTCCAATCTTCGCCCTTTCCATCGCATCTGACACTGAACTCACACGTTCCATCGAAGGAGTCTCTATCGCGCGCGATATCTCGCTTACAGATGCACTTGCACGGGTTGAGGAATGGGATATTGTTCTCCTGCCTGGTGGAGTGAGAGATACGATTCTGGGGATTATTGAGAAACACCAGAGTGGTGAGAACAAGAGTACATTATTGGAGGTGCTAGAGAAGTATGCGGCGGTGAAGGATGGGTTGACCTTGACCGTTTGTACGGGGTCGTTGTTTTTGGCTGCCCTGGGGACGTTGAGTGGGAGGACAGCGACGTCGCATTGGGGTTCTTTGGCAACAATGAAAAGTTTGTGTGATAAAAGTAAGACTCCCTTGCCCTAAGCACCGTTCAAGCTACAGGGGAATTCGCTGACAAATGATGCGCAGATGGATCCAAGACCAAGGTTGTGCGAGCTCGATGGGTTGATTCGAGGGAGGAGGGGTTGCCAAGATTAATTACTGCGGGGGGAGTGGCTTGTGGTATTGACGCTACTTTCTACCTGCTCGAATTAATTGCTGGGCCAGAGCTTGCCGCAAAAGCTGCGACTGTTGTGGACTACCAGAGGAGAGGGGAGGAGTTGCAGGAAGACTACGTTATTCCAGATGGGAAATAATAAGCTGTCACTGTAAGGCTTTCTTACTGGTATCGCCTGGAAGCTTTCATTGCCATCAGTTTACATACACAAATCGGATCTCCTAGAGCACATATCATCTCTTGGCTCCCTCCTTTGAAGGGGATGAACCGTCTGTTAAAACCCCTGGGTACTTGTTGAGATAGGTGACCGCAATCACCATTGAATTCTCTCGTTGCTCTGACACAGGCTGAATCTGAAATAATGAAATAAATCCAGGGTTTTCATTCAACACTGGATCAGCGAATGGGGTAGTACAAAGTCCAAGATAAGTTCAGAAGCCTCCATGATTATGGGCTGACGTCTTGTTTCCGCCGTGTTTTGAATACTGAGCTAAGCGAGAGTTGTGACCCAGTGTAACGATTCTTCACACCAAGACCCCAATACCAAGCATAAATTGTAGCCATTGGTACTACTTCATGCACAGTATTGAAGTAATTCAGTGTGGCGCCTACTCAGCATCATAGCTGAGCATATATGACACGTACCATCCGTGTTCGGTGGACAATCGTCGCTCCTTACCGGGCAGCTCATCACAGATACTGCACAGCCTTATGAGCAGGCAGTCATATATGAGCCGACCTGCTTCAGTATATTCTATGTGATTCAAAGCTCTAGTGGGCTTCACTTTCACACGCGGCACAAGGATCGCCAAGCAACGCTTCGCATTCGTTAAAAGACATCCAATCGAAGGACCTAGACCAGGAGCGGAGAGGGGGACGAAAGTCCACATACTTTCCGGGTCCTGAGACGAGACGTTTCCTAGATCTATGTTCGTCTTGACACATGTGGATTGTGGCCAGGACAGGCTGTCAACCAGCCCTGGAATCAAGTTGATTGCATTGTTGTGCAAGATGCCAAGAGGAAGCAAGGCATCGCTGGACGGTGACGAGTTTTGGTTTCTAATCACTGGCAGATCTGTGATTGGCTATGTTATGCGAGCCACGAGTAGTTGCATGTTGGATGGACGCCTTAATAGGCAGGTAGCAAAGGATTAATCCCGTCATCGTTTTGGTAGGGTGAGATGAGACGGCGATTGCAAGACAGGGCACCAACACCAGTGTGACCTTCTGGGTATACGAGGGCGCAGTCAACCTTGGCTACTTGATTGAGGAGTATACATGAAATGATGTAGCTGGTGATACCATATCATGACACACTATCATGATCAGAGAGCTTGCGGGAGGGGTTTGTGGAGTGAGATACTTCATCGAACAGCCCCGCTACTAAACAATGGTGGTCTTGCTCAGCAGTGTATAAACAACAGACAAGAATGATGTGAAGCTATACATGCTACGTGATGTATATTTATAGGCTATTATCAGACTGCGTACTGCATTATCTCAAAGTGACTGACCTAGATACAGCCAGAAACTAATCAGGCTGTCCCAAGTGGTTTGCAAGCAAATTGGATCATAAGTATTGACCAATTTGTCGGTAAAGACTCACACACCGTTTGGTCATCTACCGGTGATTCTTAGTGGGTATTTACAGGCCTGGCAGGCTGATTCTATCGTGTTCTAGAACCAAATGTCCTTCTATCCTCCCACTTTTTGGCTCTTTCGGTATGATATTGAGTTTCTCAGTTTCTCCGTAGCTGGGTATTCTCACTACTTCTCGCTCAAATCTGATCATTGCACCAAGGACTTCAGCAGCACTATCATTCTGCGTGATGGAGATATGCTTGCCATCTCTAAGGAATATTATCTGGTGTAGATGTGTCTCTTCGCTTGCACGATTTCTTGCACGATTTGGCGATATGGCAATACACTGTCCTTCAAATACGAAAGTGGTTGAGTCCTGAGTAGCCAGATCCCACGCCTAGATATCTTGCAAAATCTAAGCCACCAGTGCGAGGTTCCTTGATAATATGGGCGTCACTAGTCGCAGACCTCGATAGTCGGAGCACGTATTGCTTGCATGCCGGTCGTGGCTTGTCGATGATCGTGGAATGGATAGGAGGTGCTGCAACAACTCCACCTCTTCTAGCTTTCAGAGATGTCTTCTATCTGTCTCGTATCAGATAACCCCACTTGATGCCCGAAGAACGCCGCTGCTTTCATGACCTCTTCCTCCAGAATTTCGTTAGTCGGAGAGTTTGTATCGTTCCCAACTCCTTTTGAGTATGAGTGGCCTATCATCCATTCGTCCAGTAGCTTCTGTCCACTCCTCGCATGATCGATTGCTGCCAATGTGTTTCCAGCCATACTTTCGAAGCAACAGACTAACAGACACATCATCAGTGCCTTCCTTGGAGATGGTTGGTCCTTGAGTGTAGTGGCCATGAGATGGAGTGCTTTGTCGTACTCTAGAAAGGCAAACTCCATATGCGCTGCTACCATAGCGCTGGACCTTGCTTCTCCATGGCTGTCAGACTGCGCGAGAGTCTTAGCGGTGCTGAAGGAACTCAATGCTGTTACTGCTTTCATTATGAAGGGCTCGTCTTGACATCCTTGCATGATGAAATTGTTCCAGAAGCTGCAGTCGAATGAACTTGGTAAGCCGGCCACTAGTTCCGTCTGGAAGACATGGAAATTTCTCTGTTCAAGCTCCGTGTCATGTCTCACAGTCGATTCGGGGGCGGGGAGAAGCTTCGATGCTGACGATGAAAGCCTCTTCTGAGATTTCGGAAGTGAGGCTTTTGACTTAGGATGTTCGTAGCCGTCGCACTTGATACCAAAAGTCTCGCAACGAGTGCATTCTGGCTTCACTTCATCGCATTTGACTTTTCGAAATCTTGATGTCTGGTTAGAGAGTCTGGCCTCAGTCCATGTCGAACACGTACTTGCACGTCAAGCATCCTGCACGGCTTCTCTTTGTACCCTTTCTAACTCGCTTTGTACCAGTCTCCAACGACTGAGTTTGCTCCTTGGGAGACATCTTGTCTTGTTGGAATGAGAAACAGCCAGATAAACTTGCAAGATCTCGATGCTTGTAAGAATGAGGCCGCAAATTCGAAAGAGCATTGTTAAGTGTCCAAGATGCTAATGTGTGGTTCGTGGTGGGCAGTTCACCATATCGATCACGGCGGCCGGCCTTTCTTACATTATTAGGGCCGAAAAGTCCCAGTACCGAACCGATTTGACAAAATAATTCTTGCCATCGGACGAATAGAAAACAAAAGGTTCTGTAGGGCTGCGTAGGGCTGTCTCAAGCAACCCTGTCGTAAACCCTCTCGCTTATTGGCTGTATCGTAGTTAGAACCATAGAAACCCTGCACTTGACAAGATGAGGGATAACCTGAACGAGGCTAAAGCGCACCGCATCGAGACATGTGGACAAGACCTTTGTCCTTCCTCACCGACACCTCAAGGCTTTTGAGTGGGAAACCTCCAGCGGTCCAGTTTACTTCAGCATGCTGACTAGCCTCGTACAGCAAAGCCAATCAGAGTATCAATACATCACTTGACGTGGAAGTTTTGGCTTACAATTGCTGTCAATCGAGGGAGAAGGCACGCTCCTGAGGCACATCGCGTAAGGGGTTGATTTCATTGCCCAAATGGAGTCATCGGGTACTGTTGCACTGCATTTGGTGGTTATCCAATGCTCTACCCAGACGTTTTCAATCTTACCGGCTCCTACATCCGGCTGAACACCAAGCCGAAGCCGACTTGACCGTGCCAAGTCGGATGTTGCTAAAACTTCAGGTTTCAATATTCTAGTTTTGCCCTCACAAATCCGACCAATGGAGATTCCAGCAAACAACAGGAGATGATCGGAGGTCGTTCAAAGCTTTGAACTGCTAGTCTGTCTTATCTTCCACAGTTCTATATAACATTGGCCGAAGTAAGTTATGACACAGTATTTTCAGTCGCGAACTTACAAACCGCTGCCGACACCCGGGTACGCTTCTAGCAGTGGGATTCAAACACAGTTGTACGATAATATATCAGAATCTTACGATTACATTTCTCCACAAATCGCCTGTTGGTCATTCTATGTGCAAATGATTTGGTAGGAAAGGACCTCTCAGAAATAAGGTTAAACTTTATCACAGCCGCGTGGGTGATATTTAAGCGGGGCGAATGTCAACAAAGTCACATGAAGTGCCATATGATTCCAACAGAACATAGGAATAGAGCTCGGATTCCTTTCCTGTCTATATAAAATTATTATCTGCATCTAGTTCGGTGTGTGGATCTTCATTCGTCATGTTCGTTCAGTGGGGTTATGCACTGCGCCTCACCGCCTGAGATGACACAACTGACTTGGCGGCGGTAGCCTCAAACATTTTACCGCTGCACATTTCAATATACACATCGATGGACAACCAAGACAGGTGATAGTCGTCAGCTTGTGTAGAAGTTCGAGTACTATATGATCATCGTTGAAATGGAGGACAACAAAATCACTACCTGGAGACTCCCCCGTCGCCTGCTCTCAGCGACGGACAACGCTCTCCTGCGGTTGCCATCGATCACGGACTCCATCGCACAACTCCCCGCCAAACTCCGCGAATCAACATTCCGGAAACAAGACGCCGATCTAGCAGCCCTCGAATGCTACAGGTACCATGCTCTTAGGCGCCATAGACACATTCGCGTTTTGATTCTCCATCCCGGAACCGGCGACGAAGAAATATACTGCACTCTGGAAGTGGCACTGCTCGACAGGGCTCCAGCTTACGAGGCACTTTCTTATGCCTGGGGAGACTCGAAAGACATAAAAGAACGACACGCCATACGATGCGGCAATGGACGCTTCAATATCATGCCCAATCTGTTCGAGGCACTCAAACGGTTGCGTGACAGCTCAGCAAGGCGCGTGCTTTGGATAGATGCCATTTGCATCAACCAACACGACGATGAAGAGAAAAGTTTTCAGGTGCAGCAAATGTCTGAGATCTATTCTAGTGCATCTAGGGTGCTCATCTGGCTGGGTGAAGAAACAGAGAGTGTCCCAGCGGCTTTCGAAGCCATTCGGTTGACCCGTCTGTTATTCCCTGAAGAAGATGCACAGGCAAATGCGGAAGCGATGTCACCGAATCAGATACAGTTCTATGAGCAGCGCCACTTTGACTACGTGGAATCTGGTGAAATGGTACGAATCTTTAAAATGTTTGAGCCGGTAATGGAGCTGTTATCGCGGCCGTGGTTCTCGAGGAAGTGGATCGTTCAAGAAGTTGTTCGAGGCCGGAACAGCCTTATTGTTTGTGGATCACACACACTCTCCTGGAGTATTCTTGAAGAAACTTTCAGCCACATGAGATTTCTAGGAATGGAACAATACTGGAGACCGTATTTTTCCGATGCGGAGTTGACGTGCTTCAACACAGTTACCACCCTTGGGACTTTGAGAATCCCTAGTGTTACAACGATGTTTGCACAACTCGTGCGCGAAACTCGCAGACTCAAGGCCACTGTTCCTCGCGATCATCTCATTAGCATGGTTGCTTCAGATCTCAACCCTGACGATGTCAGGTTCATCGTGAACTATAGTATCCCGACAACGACTGAATATCTAATGAGGTTTATGGAGTGGAGTGTCCAAACCAAGAGGACATTAAATTTTCTAAGTTCCGGCTTCGAACAAGCAGATGTTGTCGACCCGACACAACCATCCTGGATATTCGATGTCACTGCGTGGGATCACCACGGTGGTCCCCATGCATCAACATTATATTTATGCCCACTGTGTCGCTTGAAGGTTCTCCAATTGAGGCAAGTTTTGACTTTGAGGACAGGATAATGTCTATCACGGGCACCATTGTAGACGAGATCGCTGCAGCTGGAACCCCACGCATGATGGAATATTCGGATTCCATGGGCTCCTCGAGAATAGATAAAATGAAGGAACGAGACGCCATTGGAGATAAAAATTACAGTTCAGTGCGACAATACTACGCGGAGTGCCAAGAAATCGCCACAGAAGACTCAAATGCTCTTGGAACTCCCGGCTTCGAAGGCTTTTGCAACGTCCTGACATGGGAGAGCTGTATCTATCTCAGCTTGAGTGAAGATATAACTCAGGAGTATGTATGTTCGCAAGTTCAAGCGATAATGACAGCAGCTGCCACACATGCCGATCGAGCATCCCTATCCATAGGAAGCAAAACCCAGCCACTAGATACTAAAGTAACACTCTATATCGAGTCGCACGCGAATGCCCGGCGTTTTTCGCGGACGGCTAAAGGAAGACTGGGATCTATGCCCAGGTATGCAGAGGTGGGAGATAAGGTATGCTTGTTCTATGGGGGAACATGTCCATATGTTGTTCGACCCCGCGGGGATGGAACATATAGATACATCGGCGATTGTTATGTTGACGGAATCATGTATGGTGAGGCTATGATGGAAGAGCGCAAGTCAGAAGTGTTTACTCTCGTTTGAGTTTGGCTCTGCCAGCGAGAGAGTTCTGCCCATCACCTCGATCTTAGAACGGAAATAGGAGTGACAGATTGCCCACTATGGTGCCGTCCCAAGCATCGCACTTTTGATTTTCACGATGAACCTAGATCGCGGCTGAGGATGAGGAAATGCCGCGGAATCCAAGAACATTTACTCCTGTCGCTCACCTCATGAACAGTGTCCAGATTCCGGATTCAACACCTTCTGATCCAAAGTAAAGAACAATACCGAAGCGGACCCATCAAGTCCAGGTTCGACTTTCAAACACCAACATCACTGCAGGAGTCAACGGCCGCATACGATGAAATTTGCCCTCCCTCGAAGAGCATTCGCCAAAATGTCTCCCCAGACTGACAGAGCGACCCTAGCCGAGACAACCCAAACAACCATAACAATTGGTCGCATCTTTCTCGGCCCGCCCCGTCTGAAGTTACCGCCGACCAAGAAACTGCTCAAATCTTAAATACCGGACCCATGGCACGATCTTGGATCCTCAAGCAACGCCTTTCATTTAATCTAGTCTGTCAAAATTTGATTTGATATGCAGCTGGTCCTCGCATTCTTCCTTCTTTGTACTCATTATCTCAATCGTGTGTGTGCGTCTTTCGTCAATGATGAATGATTTTGGGGATGTAGAAATAGGAGAACCTTTCAACATCAGCTGGGATTCGTCGACACAAGGTCCTGTGACTTTGGAATTATGGGGCAACACTGATCCCGTACGAACAATTGAGTTATTCAATGTCAGCACAATTGCAGGCGAGTGGTCTCTGTGAAATATGACTCGGGTATCTCTGACGTCCAGAAGTCATACTGTCTGGTAACAGCTTCCAATGGGCACCAGCTTCATCGTTGGAAACAAACATCACATACGCCATGTTCCTCAATAGCGAAGGTAGCCAGGAACGTTCACAGCCCTTCAATTTGGTCAAGAAGGTGGAGAGCTCGAGTGCTACGTCCTCTCCAGTAAACATTTACTGTTCATTTGCCTCTCCTGGCGACCAGATCTAATACAGTCTTCTAGTCCAGTACTACAACGGCGCGTATCTCATTACGTTCCAATTCATCAACCTCAATTCCAAGATGATTGACAAAAGCCGTGCATTCTAGCTCGCCAAGTCAAGTTCAAGCAGCATCATCAACACCCACATGCCAAGCCGCAATCACTCTCCCTACGATACCCAGCCCCCAAGCTTCAAGGAACATCAGAATCGCAGTAGCAATGACCATCATCACCACTGTGATTTAATAGTCGTCGCTATAATTTTCTATGAGCACGGCAAACAGGTCGCTTCGCGAAGCAAAGACACCGGGTCAGCTTCAAGCTCAAGTTACGATTCCTCTGGTGGCGGAAGCGGAAGCGATGGGTTGCAACTCTTCGAAGGCTTCTCAGCGAAGGATTAAAATGTCTCCTCTGTGACTTGTAATTCGTGCGGCATTTTTCTGGTTGGCAAAGGGGAAAGGTGTGTGGACGAGGGACTTGTTGGATTGGGGATCAAGGCGCAGGAGGAGGGGAGGAAGAAGATCAAATCTTTGCAGAGTATTTATGAGCTGGGCTGACAAGAAATCTTTAAAATGACGGTATCTTCATCTAGTTGAAGGGGTTCGAGCGTATCCTACAAAGAAAGTACATCGTACGTTGACACGTATCTGTCGCTGTTATGTATCAATACAGACCAAGCTGAATCACATGCACGGAAGTACAAGAGATACGAATGCCTCGAAACTTCAGCCTTTATCGGAACAATTCAAATGCACTCGAACGTATCGAGATTTTGTATGGTTTTTGCATAGGTCAAAAAATGGAATGTATTAGTGCAGAGAAAAGTTTGAGGTTCACTGGTCGATTCGACTAATAAGCTTCAGCCAGCCGAGTCTCGATTTCAGCTGGCGGTAGTCTAGCCCCCATATCTCCATCTGGACCACGGCACGCCTGCATAATCAGTCAGCCACAGTAGAACCACAGAAATGGCCCGGCCCCCCAACTTCCAATGGGGGTCGATATACACCCTTCTCCAGGACATCAGCAACAAGCAAGCAAGCTTCAATGGCTCGCGCTATTACTGCCTTACCGACGGCTCGTCCATACATGACTGTAGCAAGCATGACACCACGATGGAGGACCTGCCGTCGTGTGGTTGAAAGTTGACCTCCGACAAGATGGCATACCTGCAGGGTGTTGCTGGCACAGTGCCATATGATATATCTCCTGCGGCTGCTCTTTTGCTCCACGTCCCTCTGATCTTTCCCTATGCTCCTACTCAATCGAGCTTGTCCCGAGTTTATTCATCGATAACTCTTCATCGAGTCCAAAATGGGTTCAGAGAAGGACTCCAACGTCGCAGCACGACCAGTCTCGTCACTTCCGGATATCGAAACTGACGAGGAGAAAGCCAGAAACCACAGCGAAGCCCAAGCGAAACTAGAGAGTAACCATGAGGCTATTGTAAAAGAGGCTCATTGGCGACCAGGTTTCATTGCCAGATTCCCATGGTTGGGATTTGGATGTCTACTTACAGTTCTGCTGTGTGGCGTCGGCTGTCTCATTACCCTGATTCTTGCTGATGGCGTGGCACAGTGGAACTGGGGGAATGTGGCTCCAAACGTTATCGTCAACATCTTGAACAGTGTAGCCAATCTCTGTTTAGGAGTCGCGATTACAAATGGTATTGCTATTGCATGGTGGCGTAAGACTCTCGCAGGGGCCACTATCAGACAACTGGATCGGTCGTGGAAGTTCAGCGATAGTATGAAAGAGGTGATGCTGGGTGCAAAGTACTTCAACTTTATTGCATTGGCAGCACTCACTGCTAAAGTAAGTCCCAAGCTCCAACCTAATGACTATGATAGGCACCCTGACCTCGCTGTAGTTGACAATCATCGACGGTACACTCTTTCAAAAGGCCTTCTCTCAAGAAATTTTGCCGCTGGATCTGGGACCAAATAATAATGTCACCGGATATGCGAACGAAACCATTCCAAACACTGGAAGACTATCTGGCGTGGAGGATGAAACTGGGCTGCTAGCTAAGAATTTCAATGATGCCCTCAAGATCTGGTTTCAAGGTGGTGGCCAGCTGCCAAATTCCTACAGCGGATGCGAAGGAACTTGCTACTTGCATGTTCCTGGCGCGGGCTTTGAATTCGACTGTACCGAGCCAGAACAAGTAGCGATCAATGCGGGAACCCAGACGTTCAACGCATATACAGACCTTCTAAATATCACACAGAGGTACAACCTTACGGATTTCGACAACCTGGACTGCTCAATCCTCGGAAACCAAACATTCGGACAGCTTGCTACTTCTATATGCCAGCGAGAACTCAACCTTCGCACTGCGCAGCTGTTCCATGTTGGTTTCGTACCAGTGTTCAGCGGAACGAACACTTCAGCGGATGCATGGTCATATGTAAGTACAGTTCAGGTAGGGATGAAATGCCACGGAAGTACTGATTCGTATCTCAGGTTGAAATGACCATAAACTACACCACTGCCACCGACCAACCAAATGTCAATGTTTCATGTCCCGGAACAAGATATACGCAAAGCTGCAGACTTCGCCCTGCTGTCATCGAATACCCCGTCAAGATCCAGAATGCAAGTAACCTCGTCAATGGCATGTCACTGGCGGTAGATGGCAGACACTACAACAATCAGACCTTCCGAGATTTCAACTACACCCTCAAGCAGCAGAACGGCTTTTCCGTCCAATCCATTTCCAACATCTACGAGAACCCTCTTGGTGGTGAGCGTACACGACTCGGTGGCATCGCGCAAGGCCTGCAAACATATCTCGGCGGCGATGCAGTCATGCACTACCACGGGGGAGGCTACCACCTCGAACAATCGGGCAACGCCCCCACGTACCTCGCCAACGATCTCGGTGTACAAACCGGCGGTCTAGAAAACTCTGCAAATCTTTGTGGTTTCCAGTATATGGATCCGATGTCACATAATGATTTCGGGGGCTGGGCTGGAAAAGACCCATCCCATCGATTCGACGTGCCAGCTCTCGTGGGGAAGATAAACCAAGTCATGTTTGCTCTCGCGCTGGATATCTCGGACGAGGATGATGATAAGAATGTCACTGCTGGAACGCTCGTACGGCAGGCGTATGTGTACCGAGATGCTATCCACTACAAGACGAACTTTGGGTTCATGTGGGGAGCGTTGGCATCTATGCTCTTCTGCGTGCTCTGCGTGCTGCCTGTGTATTACGGCTACTGGCAACTCGGTAGGCCAGTGACGCTGGGTCCGTTTGAGATCGCGGCTGCGTTCAGAGCGCCGGATTTACATCACCCTAGCAATGCACCGATAGAGAAGGTGATTAAGGAAGTGGGAGGTAGGAAGGTGAAGTATGGAGAGGTTATGGATGGGAGTGACAAGGGGAAGATAGCTGTTGCTGATGCTGGACTGGTTGCGAGTGTAAGTGGCTCTGGGCGCGGGTCGAGGACGACATGGAGGAGTTCTCAAGGTCCAAAGAGTCCAATGAGTCCCATGAGTCCGGGGGCAAGGCCAATGTCTGAGTAGGAAATTTTTCCTAGAGTTGATCTCGTAGCCTATTAACTCTTGTATCCCGAATCACATGCTTTGATGTGCTGTGGTCGACTCGCATTTTGTACCCTCGGTAATGACACCGCCTGAGAGTTTCGTAAAAGTCAGATTGGAAGCATTCTGGGGGACCCTTGGTCGCTGCTGAGACTTGACATTCCATATCCAACTTGGATGCCAATGTCGTGTTACTCATCAACTTTGGCTGAGCACAGCGCATCGTATGACGGCGGCAATCGAAAGCCAGCAGGAAGCGTTTGTAAGAAGAAACGTGCTGCGTGAAGGTGAAAGCTGGAATGAGTGCTTCTTGATGACGCTCAGTGCTGTACTCGGAGTTGTATACAGGACAAATGTTCCTTCCAAATGAGAATCTGAACTCCAGAATAAGATGCACTGCCCTAGTACACTGAGCAGGGCCAGAAATTACCCGTCATCTCCGATGACATCGAAGTCAACGACCGGAATGATCGAAGTCTCCACTCTCAACTCCTCATCATTGAAGCGAATCAGACAATCGAGAACTCCTCCACCTTCCGCCCCTCCACCATCCCTTCCCCATACATAACCCCATCGAGATAACAATCCCCCAGAAACGTATACCTCCCACCACCATACGGCCTCACCACGTACGGCATCCTCCCACCCTCAAAAAGACAAATCCTATCACCCACAACCGCAAACCTTGGCATCGAGCCCAGCCTCCCACTCGTCGTCCTCGCAAACCGTCTTCCAACAGAGAACGTCCCAACAAACGAGATGACCACAGGATCAATATACGGAGCCGCATCATCGTGGGTCCGAGTTTCCGTCTCCCGGATATATTGCTCGAAGATAGTGGATAGTTGTTCAGGAGAGTAGGGATTTGGTGTACCCGGCATGTTCCAGATTAATGTTCGGATGAAGAATAGGAAGCCGGGAGAATCGGGGGTGTTAAAGTCGGAGGTAGCGATGGATTTGCATTCTAGTAGCCAGGTGCGGTCTCTTTCGGTGACGAGTTGAGAGTTGATGAGGTGGTCTTGATAATGATCATCTGTTTCCACGAGGTCGAGATCCACGTTTTCAGGAGGCATGGTTCCGAGTGTTGCGATCTGATCGATGTTCGAGCCGGTGATTTGGAGTTGGGATGTTTCGGAAGAGAATGACATGTTGGGTACAGAGTTCATTGCTGCTTTGAAGCCACACATGCTCCGCGGCATGCCAGGTTGGCGATCCCATGATCTGACATCTGGCATCCAAGATGGCAAGCTTGAATCGCTGATATTGGCTGGATCAAAGTCGGAGCTAAGGCAATCCAGGTTCTTGTTCTTTTCGATACTCCATTGCATGAAGATCTTGAAGTAGTCTGTGGTAGAATCGACGTAGTTCGCGAGAAGGTTGATGTCATCAGCGTTAATGTCTGATGCTAGTCCCAGGATGTCTATCACATGATCCCGAGGCAAAGACACCGAGAACCGTCGAGTCAAGTAGAGCATCTGGTCGAGCGAAATGAAAGACTCGGTGTTCTTCATGGTTTCGATCAGAGGTATGTGGTCGAGGGACTCGGGTGGGATATCAACACCGACGCTTAGAAACATGATGTATGCACTGAGGTATTTGATATGCCATCGTATCTTGCAATTCGCTCCAAGGAAGACTCAGAGATCCGCAGACTAGTAGTCCAGATTCGGCTTTGATTATTTCTTGGATGACCCATTTCCGCGTGAACCACGGACGCCGAAGTAATTGGCCTATTGGAATCCAAAGTCGTTGAATCTCAGGTCCTTTTTCTGAGCTGAGAATCCACCTGATATCATCGAGTCGCTGCTCAGTCTCTGCTGGAGGCATCTCATAAACAGTGGCAGAAGGAATACTTGTTGGGAACAAGCTCCGGACCCATTTAATAGCCTGGAATGCATTTTCTACGCCTTCCATATCCTCTCCAAGCCACATTATGACACTGGATGCACTCGAGTACACATCTGCCATATGTTTCACCTGACTCTCACGTTCTTTTAGATCCTTTTGATTGATACAGATCGTATCGATCTATCTGAATGGTCAGTGCAGGTCACGGACCACCCTCGTCTTAGACCAGACTATGGGTTATTCAGGCACAAAAAATCAAGGGGCCAGCTAAATCCACTTGGGCAAATAGCTAAATCCACTTGCCAAGCTAGCCAAGTCTCGGATATGAGGTGTGCATTTAGGATACTCGCGAATACGTGCAATTGACTGCCAAATTCATGTATCCTGCATGAAATCTATCGTGCACTTTCTTAAGTACTCCTATCCTTAAGTTACTAGTGAGAATTAACCTTAACTGTTAGCTTTAGTTAGCTAACACTCTGTAAGTATAGAAGACTAGCTTACTTAGAATTGTATTAAAGACACCTGAATAGGGAGCTATTTTAATACTTAGTACGTGCTTAGATTACAAAGTGTAGCGACTAATATAGCATTCTTTATACTACCTATTGTAAAGGAGTGGGGTAGTGCTGTTAAAGTGCACAGTAAGCAGGGACGTAGAAGACCACTAACTAAACAAGCAGTAAGAGTAGGAGAGAGAAGATGATGTATTTATTACGCGCTATTGTGCCTACCTATGCGACCTACAGAACGGGCTAACTATCTTCCGACCCGGAACCACACTACCCCACCACACGATCTGACTAGTATCGCTGATAATTGCTCTGTATAATACCCTCATATCAATCTCTCTTGCGTGCCTTAGTAATTAGTATAGGGTGGTGCAGTTGATACATGTACAGGTGTAGTCACTCGAAAATCTAACCGAGGCTTAGCAAGTGGCTATAGCTATTTGCCCAAGTGGATTTAGCTGTGGCCAAAATCAAGTGTACCAGTTCTTACCGATTGATGTTATCTACCTGGCCTTTTGGCCACATAAAATTCAGGTTTCGTTTGTGGCGGCAAAAAAAAGAACATAGCTCCGGTGTTCTATGCTCTCCGCCAGTGTGATTAGCGCATGAGCAGAGCGGCGATGCTAAGTGACCGAGTTGGGTGCGAATTGCACAAAACTCGTCTGCGACTACCATGGTAATCCGAATTCCGTTACTGCAACCCGGACGACTTTAGCTTGAAGTAAATGTAAGGCTCATACGCCATTTTGTAGTATGTGTAGGCGTTGTACTTCAGAGGCAAGCACTTCGAAGTGTAGTTTTCCAAACCAATGCACTCGTAATTGTAATACTCCAAATGCTAAAATAGATATGGAGGTCCCAGAAATGTCACCCACACTAAAAGTACAACTAGAAACTATAGCTGATCCGCAAGAGACCGAAAAAGGACCCTTTGCAGAATCACATGACCCAACCATGTAATCACGCTAGCTAGCCTAGCTCTTTCCATATTTCAATTCTATTACGTCTCAATGGTTTCGAATCTTTTTCTTTTTTGCAGCACAGCAGTGTCAAGTCTTGGCACATCTCACCTCACTCTGGCTTCAGCATGAATTACACCAAGAGGTTATTCGTCCTCTTTCATCAAGAAATAAAACGCTTTTCTCGATATCCCGCAGTCCAGAGGTCAAATGCATTAGAAAAATCGCTTTTGGCCAAGCTCCCAACAGAACTACTGCAACAGATTGCCAACGACCTTCCCGTCGCATCAGCCGCATCATTTTCTCTCTCTTGTCGGCACATTCGCTTTTTGATCGGAACTCGGTACCTTGAGAACCTAGCGACCTCGTCTCACGAAACACTAGTGTTCTTGAAACTTATAGAACGTGATCTTCCAAACCAGATCGTTTGAAATTCTTGCAAAAAGCTTCATAGGATACAAGATGCCCGGAAATACACCGAGAATGGTCAACGAGTTTTGCAAGCAGTAGCGCCGGATTGTCTCTCCGATGACAGAGAGGCAAAGGTAACACGGTATATTCACGAGAATTTCAGCACCACTGTTTTCAAGATGGCGATGAAGCACTACCACCTCTTTGGTTATGATGCTCGAAGCCGCCAGCTCTTGAATCTTCTGTCAGGAAAATTCTCCACGTACGCCCGGGTTACCTTGGTCCAAAAACAAAAAGCAGAATGTCGAATTAGAAACGGTTCCCTATTCACCTGCCAACGCGTAGCTTTCCATGGCACGTGTACAGGTGTTGAGCGAGACTCAATATGCTTCTGGATATGCGGGCATCTTGACCTCGAATTAATAGGGCGGCCTGCCAGTCTCCGTATCACAACAACCTGTCCTCCCTTTCTTGAGAAGTGGTCAATATTACCACATTGCAAGAACAGTACTATTTTAAAGAAGACATCGTGGGATCTCTGCTCGGAAATTCAGCAATGTCGATACTGTCGAACTGAATATAAGGCTGGTTTTGAGCACGATAATGGTTGCACTATAAAAATCACAATCACTGTCTGGAAAGATCTTGGGCAAGGGCCGGAAGCCGAAGAATGGAAAGCACAGTTCCCCCTTCAAGACCACCTGTCATTTCCACAACCAATTCAGTTCCACGGAGGAGAGATAGCCTCTGTCTTTCAAGTGAGGGGGCAGAACTGGGCCGGAGATGAAGTCTCGTAAAGTCGTACTTCTCATCAAAAGGAACCTAAATTCTGTAATCCATGAACCTGGGTATTTATGAATAATTAAGTCGGTGAACACAAAGGAGGTGTGGTCGAGCTAGCAAAAACCAGGCGCAACCAATGTATTTACATGAAATAACCAAGATACCAACAATTTATTAGAAGCACATTCCACCGGAACACATCAAGAGCCGTCAAAGAATATCGACTTTTCTCTCAAAAGCGTATGACCTTCTCATCAACTATCAACACTGTATATGTAGTTATGTATAGACACTGCTGCGAGGCCATGATTATTCAGTTCAACTGTTGTGTTAATATCATATCGGACTTCTCGTTTCTATATATTGCGACAGAGCCATCCGGGACTCGGTGTTATTTCTGGCAGAGAGAAGGACGTGGATAAGAATAAATGAATCAAGTAGCAATATAGTGATTGATACATGGGTATTATGGCATACGAGCTTCTGACGCCATTATCTGAGCCAGGGCTGAACAAATATAGGATCCCCTTTCAAATCGGACATATATTACAGTCAGCCACTGGCCAACAAAAGAAGGACAATAGGCATATTGCCCATAAGGTAGACAAATTCTATGCTGAAACCTTGACGCCATTCGGAGACGATTGCGGCTCATAGATCCGTGGTATCAAGCCCTCAGCCATCTCGATTGCTCCATCCATATCATCTTTGTTGAACAGAAAGAGTCCCTGGATGGCAGCCGTACTCGTCTGAAGTTGGGGCTTCATTTTTCCAGCAGCATCAGAGACCAAGCCGAGGGTTTCGAGCTTCTGCAGGAATCTCTTCTTTCCGTCACCTGCTGTATCGACATCTCCATAGAATCGAGTCCACATCTCTCCTGCTTGGTATCTTGTAGCTTCCCCGATTCGAACAGTCATATCCACTCTCCCTGGCCGTATCAGGGCCTCGTCCAGTCGGTCGATATGGTTCGTAGTCAAGAATGCTATCCTTTCTTCCCCAGCGGCCACTCCATCCAATGCATTGAGCAGTCCGGAGAATGTAACAGAAGCTCCTGAATATCCATCGTCGTCCACCTGTCTCCGATTCCTAAATGCTGAGTCTGCATCCTCGAGCAGAAGTATTGTTTTCGGAGGTAATTTTGTAAGCAGATGTGCCAGCTTATCGTCAGTCATACCCCTCTCGCTCAAATTGATGATCGCAACGCCAAAGTCCAATTCTCCAGCCAGACCCTGTATGAAAGAACTCTTCCCGCTTCCTGGAGGTCCATAGAGAAGATACCCCCTCCTGTATGGGATCCCGCGATCAACATACCACGACTGCCTGGCCAGGAAATCCTTCACATCGTCCACAATGCGCTCCTTGATCCCAACATCCAGGACAACTGAATCCAGAGGCCTCTTCTTCCGCGGATCGCCAAAGGGTTTCCATTCTGTGCCCTGACAAGTATGCATGACCGTCTTCCCCTCTTGTGCCGACATGGCCATGTAATGCGCCTGCCCGAATATATCCTCAAATATATGTCGATGCGCATACAGCGTCGTCAGCGTCACTGTCTCATGTGGTTCGCCGGTATTTAGGTTCGAGGTCGTCGCCTTTTCTCGATTGACAGCTATATAAGCATTGCCATGCTTGATTATGTATTTCCCAAAGCCCGCCTGCAGCATCATATTCGAGTGTCCAGCAGCACCACCCTCCGCCGTTTTCTGTACCGTTTGTATGGAGAAATCGTGGATTCGTGTAATTCTGGACGCGATAAAACCGGCTTGCGGACGTGGTATACTAAGCCATGCGAGGATCCATTGGTATGAAGGGTCTCTTTTACTGATCTCAACGTTCATGAGGAGGCGCCTCTTGACGAGGGATGCGCCTCGGATCACACCTCTGCGGGCAACTGCTGCTGCAGCCCCCAGGCCTGCGAGCCCGAGCCCGCCGGCGAAGAGAGGGTTGTTGAAGAGAGCATCGAGGGGGAGGATGGAGGTTGTCGATGCTGTTGCTGTGGAAGAAGTTGAGGTTGGGAGGTTGGACATTGTTTGGTGGTGGAAATTTTTGGAGCTTCTCTCGCGCAATGACGCAGCTGGGGCAGCTCAACCGAGGCGGGCGACGACGCCAAATCCCGTGCTTTGGACAACAACATTCCCTGACTTCATCGACACTTTGTAACAGCTTCAATTATATCGTATTATCTGTACACTACATCTTATTCCCTCTACGAGATATTCATAGCCTTTTCGGTCTATTCTTAGTTTTACAGTGTTTGCTCTTTTAATGAATTCTGGCGATGTTGATCATCACTAGAGGAAGTATCTCCAGCACCCAAAATTCTGCCTTCAAGGCTCGGCATATGATTCCAAGGCTGCTTATCTTTATATGCCCGATGTCAGTACATATCTTTGGGCGTATAGACTAGCTGTACAGCCTGAGGGCCTCACAAGTGGGTCGACTCCATGAACACAGCCCCCACCTGATCCTTTAGCCATCTTCAGCAGAAGTCCTGTGAGCGCGATTCGCAGGACTTACATGGCTGTCAACACGAATGGAAGACCATTAGTGACTGCCAGCGAGCTAGTTTTATTGCCGATCTGCCCTTTGAGTTCAAGAACCAAGGTGCAAAAGTCCCGGTGGCATAAGGCTGGGATTCTTGGCGGAAGGGAATCCATTGCAGATAGCCCATGGTAGGACTATTCCTCTCCAGGACCTCGTTCACTTCGGTGAAGTTGTCCAAGTCAACTAGACCGGTTAGAACAAGGCCCATGCTCTGTCCAGAGACAACGTCTACGTACTAGTCGTGGGAGGCTGCTTCGGTCAACCAGCTGTAGTAAGCGTTCAAGTGACTGCCTGTCTGCCATGCAGCCACGAATTGACCGATGGCTTTTCATCCAACCGGAACGCCATGAAGAGCCTCCCGGCAATTGCAAGCTTGCAGAAACCGTCTGAATATGTCCAGAACGCCCCTCACGTGTTAGTCATTTCTAAGCCTCTCCCCGAAGATGCACATTCATTCCTTCTGAAGGTATATATGGGAGAAAGGTTTGTGTTACACAGAAATATCAATATTGTTCTCCCAACTCTTGTATCTTGTTCTTTCATTCACATTTGTACTGCTAGATACATTTCATGATTGTGCGAGCTTTCCAGACGGGGCAAGGCTACAGCCTCACCTGAACACCAGGACTTTCCGGATTCTCGAGGTTCCTTGTGACCAATATGGCCACTGAAGCTTGGAAAGGCTTCATCCATTCATGGCATACACTGGGCATCGTTCTAAAGTGGATGTGTATGACAGTAGTTGGCATCCCACTTGCGTTCGCTACTTGCGTGTTGGTTGCTCTGGCTGCACTTGCATTCGGGCTTCTCTGTATCGGAGCAGCTGTAGGAGCATGTGCCCTGGTGTTCTATATTTTGAAAGGAACATGGTTGACGATACGTCGAATCCCGTATTGGATTGAGGATATCAAGATATTCCGTGCAGAGCGGAGACTCATGAGGCTACCCATTGCAAATGCTCGTGGGCTTCAACTAGAGCAATGGAATGGCCAAGCGAGGTGTATTCAGAGACCAGTTCAGATGGTTCCCTCTGGATATATGCCTGGACCTGGAGATATTCAACCACCGCCCAAGGCTCACTTACGTGCGGTATCAACAGAAAAACCTGCCGGCCCAGTAGGCGATCTTCAAGCGATGATTGAATGTCTAGTTTGCTTCGAAGAAAAGAAAGTAGCCGACTTCCCAGCTAGGCCACCAACTTCTGAATGTGGGCATAAAGGCGATACGTGCTGCGTTTCATGTCTACAACAGAGCATCGCTTCGGCGTTCGAGAGCAACATCTGGGATGACATCAGATGTCCAATCTGCAACCTTCAACTCCAGCACAACGATGTAGCCGAATTTGCATCTCCAGAGATATTCGAAAGGTACTCATCACTGCCCCCCCCACATCAAAGGTTTCACTAACAGTCACGAGATACGATACCCTCAGCACCCGTCGGGCCCTTGAAAACGACGTCCCCAACTTCCGCTGGTGTCTCGGACCCAACTGCACCTTTGGGCAAGAACACCCGGAGTCACCAACCGAAGAACCCATATCTGTGTGCAGCTCCTGTGGTTTCGTCTCCTGCGCACATCACAATATACCATGGCATTCCGGCGAGAATTGCGAAGAGTATGATACGAGGGTGAAGGCTGGTGCGGATTTGACGGACAGGAAGAGTCAGAAGACGATTAAAAGGATTGCGAAGAGGTGTCCAGGCTGTCAGAGGTATATTAACAAGAATGGCGGCTGCCAGCATATGTCTTGTAAGTTCAATCCTGAGAGTGTGGCTGAGGTTCACAGACAAGAGCTAAACTAATGGCGTTTGGTAGGTTTGTGTGGGAAGCAGTTTTGTTGGCACTGTTTGGCGGATTATCCGCACCACTCTTGGGGGTGCGTTAGACGTGGGTAGAATGGTTTTGTCACTATTACGTTTGTGTCACCGGCTTCCGTCTAGGATGTTGACTGGATTTTGTTACCTCGCTCTGGTAGATTTGGGAGTTCTCATTTAGTCAACCCGAATAAAGCGGGGCCAATCACTCAAAATGTATGCTCAGGAGCCTCTCTATCATATGTTAATGACCCCAAACCCTCTATTCCTTTACAAGTACCTAAACCACATCAAAACATTGGAACGTTAAGAGAAGCATGTCACGTGTTGTAATTTCGCGTCAACATTTTAGGTACCTGCAAGGATTTGAAAGACCACAGACCTCACCTTAGTTAGACCAGCTCTCACGTAAACTCGTAAATGCAGCAAACCTTCACGTCAATTCGAGGTATATCTTCACGGTCACCTTCGAATGCTTCTCAATTCTGCGCGACCAAAACAGCATTCCTGTTTAGGAAGGTGGGATAGTTATCTGGTGTTTGCCCCGCAGAAGCTGCAGCATCAACATCAGCACTACCACTCGGTCTCACAAGTACCACGACTACAACAGCCAAGATACGAGAAAACACCAAGAAATAAGAACATCTCCAGCTTCAATCGCAATCTATCGAATACATCAGTAATAAATCAGCAAGCTCGAGCCAGCATGAGTCCAAAGAAGATCGCGCCATATGGCACCTGGGAGAGTCCCATCACCACAGACATCGTGTCTGGAAGCAGCCTGGTGTTCGCAGAAGTATACGCCAACGTAAAATCTCCCTCTCCATATTTTATCAACGGCCTACTTACTCATTTCCCAGCCGAAAACCAAATCAATCTATCTCGTAGAGGGCCGTCCCGCCGAGAAAGGCCGCCAAGTGATCGTGGAAGTCAAAGATGACAAGACCATCGACATCTTACCAGAGCAATACAACGCTCGTAGCAAAGTCCACGAATATGGCGGCGCAGCAGCAACGCTTTCTCCAGATGGAAATCTAATCTTCAATGACGCCAATACAAATGGTGTCTTTTCCCTCTCTCCATCGGGAGAAGTAACCGAAATCCTGGCCGGCAACCCAAAACTGAGATACGCCAATTTCGATGTTCATCCCATTGACAACCATCTCATCGTCGCCATCCAAGAAGATCATTCCGCACCTCTTCTTGTTGACGCTGTCAACACACTGGTGGTCATCGACAGTAAGAGCAAGAAAGCAGAGATTGTTGTGCGAGGAGCGGATTTCTACTCCCAGGCTAAATCTAGTCCTGATGGGAAGAAGCTGTCTTGGTTGCAGTGGAATCATCCCGATATGCCGTGGACAGGGGCTGAAGTCCATGTTGCTGATTGGGAGGGTGGGAAGGTAGGGAAAGCTGTCAGGGTCGCGGGCAAGGCGAGAGAGGAGAGCGTGTCGATGCCGAAGTGGCATGTTGATAATACCCTGCTGTTTACTAGTGATCGGACTGGATTCTGGCAGATGTATCGGTATGATCCGAAGTCTGGAAAGACTGAATCTTTGCATTTTAAGGGGTATGAGGATGCTGAGATGGGATGTCGGGAGTTTGCGCTTGGCTCGTAAGTATCCAGCCTGATCAGGTTTTGTGCTTTGCTAATACTTGCGCAGATGCACTTACCTATCAATGGATGCGAACACACTGGTTGTCACGTATAACAGAGACGCAACAAATGGTCTGTTACTCTACGACATGACCAAAAAGACAGTTCAGGAGCTACCCACGGGTCTGGTAGCCATCGATTGGTGTGCTCTGAGCAGAGTCTCCGACACTGAATTCGTGGTCATTGGAGCTACTCTCACAGCACCGGAGTCCTTGTACCTGATCAATATCACCAAGCCGACGGAGAAAAAGCTCCTCAAGACATCAATCAACGTCCCGCTCCCACCTTCTATCTTCTCCCAAGCACAAACAATAACCTTCCCCCGAACCCACGGCGATATCGGCACCCCCTCCCACGCCGTCTTCATCCCCCCTCAAAACCCCGACTACGAAGCCCCAGCCGGCTCCAAACCACCCCTCATAGTCTTCAGCCACGGTGGTCCAACCAGCCACGTCTCACCCGGTCTCGCTATCGGGGCTCAATACTACACCTCTCGAGGCTACGCATACTGCTATCCCAACTACGCTGGCTCAACAGGCTATGGTCGCGATTATCGCGCACAGCTGGACCACAACTGGGGCGTTAAAGACGTCGAAGATACAATCTCCTGCGTCGAGTACCTCGCGTCTCAGAACCTCATCGACGGCACCAAAGTCGGGATCTCAGGCCGTAGCTCAGGCGGGTACACCACCATCCAGGCCCTCTGCAGCTACCCCACCTTCTTCGCCGCGGGCGTCTCCCTCTTCGGAATCGGTAACCTACGAGCCCTCTTCGAAGACGATCCGCACAAATTCGAATCGCAGTATGGCATCGCTCTAATCTTCCCCGAAAACGCTACCGAAGAAGAGAAAGAGAAGATCTTGTTTGAGCGCAGTCCGTGTCTGCATGCTGACCGGACTGAGAGTCCGTTGTTGTTGTTACAGGGAGATATTGATAGGGTTGTGCCGTTGGAGCAGAGTGCGGAGATGGAGAGGATATTGAAAGGGAAGGGAGCGGATGTTAAGATGGTTGTGTTTGAGGGGGAGGGGCATGGGTTCAAGATGAGGGAGAATTTGAAGAGGGCGATTGAAGAGGAGGAGGGGATGTGGAGGAGGACTTTGTTGTAGGGACTTCTCCTGTCAGAGGCGATGCAGTCTCTATCTACACACCGGAGACCCTTGTGGTGGACTCGCAGAAGATAACGAGCAGTGCTGGAAGCTGTAAGTTAACAAGCGGGTCGGAATCTATTGCTGAATTTCTCCACCCCCAAATAAAACATCGTTTCCAATCACATAATCTAATACTGCCCCCCAATAACCACACTCGAAATCCTGCTCCTCGTAGGCATAATCTCAAACGTGCTCCAAAACTCCCTCGAATCATAACACCGCCCCAAACTCTCCATATCCCTCGGCAATGCCCTAACCCCCTGCTCATCCATCAACTCCCCAATCCACTTCATCTGCTTCCCTGCTCTCTCATCATTCCCATTCTCGACGTCAAGTTCTCCCGCGAAGCCGAGGATGAGCGCCCACCAGTCGTAGACCATGAGGTCGGTCAGCATCTATTTCGTATTAGCATTTCAAAATTTTATAGATGGAATTGAATGATGAAATTATATTGGAATGGGATGAACATACAAATCTCTCCCCAGCAGCCTTCCCCCACTTTCCATGAACAGCAACAATCCCCCTTGCGACATCAAGCCCATGAACCATATGCAAGCTCTTCTTACTAGCAAGCGTTTCCTTGGTGGACGCAACACGATCAATCCAATGCCTCGCATTTCTCTGGCCGCCCCACAGACCCGCGAGGTCGAGGACACAACCGCCGAGAGCAAGAAGCGCGTCTTCGGCTTGAGCGCGAGCGTCGGAGGTGTTGTAGGCGCTGTGTCGGGTTACCCAGGTGGGTTGGTCTGGAATCGTCCATATTCCGGTGCTGCCGAGTTGGATGATTTGGTAGGGGTGGGTTGGCTTGCTGTTGCTGTTGTTCTCATTCGAGGCGGTGACAGATTCAGATGGAGCATCTGAACATTGAGATTCTGAATGTGAATGAGAATGGGTTTTCAGATACGCATCGACCAAGAATTTCGTCTCCTCCGCTCCTCGCAATGGGAAAGTGATGAGTACTGTTTTGGCTGTGGGTAAAGCATCGTATTGACTCAGATCAGGTTTCTGATCGTGATTCTTGGGGAGTGAGAATTGGAATTTAAGAGTCCCGTCTCGACCTGTTGTGGTGGTTGCTGCGTAGGTGATTTTTTGAGATTTAAGGAGCGGGATGAGGAATGTTGAGGTCCAGCCGGCGCCTAGGATGAGGATGTCGACCACGGAGCTGGAGGAATTTGAGAAGGGTTGGGTCTATGAGGCTGTTAGGATGAAGTTGGTGGATAGGATGAAGTTGGTGGATAGGATGAAGTTGGTGGATAGGATGAAGTTGGTGGATAGGATGAGAAGGCTTACGGTCATTATGAGTGTCATCTTTCGGGTTGTGAGAGTAGGGATGTGAAGTAAAAAGGATGAGAAGTGTGCTTGAGGATATAAAGTCATGACGTTTTCGGCAAGTGGGGTTAGGCAAAGTCAGTTTGGCACGGTCACGTGGTGTGTACTACCAACTCCAGTTTCTTGACTTGGATGAGACCCTTTTATATTTCCAACTATTAATCCGTCACTTTTTGCGAATGGAATTGATCAACATAATATGTTACGTTTGTAGAGCTAGTTCTGTTAGTTTCGTCTTCGAATTCGGTCTCTCCAAGTGAAAACCCATTTCAAGCCTTGAAAAATGTAAATGTTAAAATGTATTATTCATTTCGCTAATCATGGTATCAAACTAGAAGCGCCTGCACAAAACCAATTGTCACTGTAGCCATTGTCACCATGTATGCCGCAACAGCAAATGCATCCTGGAGACTCTTCCCAAAAATCGTCAACATGGCCGCAACGAGAAGGCTGCCGAGACAAAAAAGAACAAACACAATTATCCAAATCTTCTTCATATCCCAACCTTCGATGAACTCAAGACCCCATCCTGGATTCAAACCCTTCGTATGACACCATTTCAATTGTTCCCTCTTCTTCTTCGGGAACCGAGGGACGCAGAAAAGAGCGGTGCTCGCACATTCCGGATGATGATAGAGATGCATCATATGTCTATCTCCGACTGGAGGAAGCACATCCAAAGGCACAGGATGATACTGATACTCTGTGTTATCAGGCGGTGGAACACAATCCACTTTCCTCACATCAACCAACTCATTGGGGTGCAATTGAAAATGCACGAATTTGATCCACAACAAGCTCCGTAGCGACAGTTCTGAGAGCCATCCTTTCCTCCTTGACAAGTAGCTGCGTCTGAGGAGTTTGAAAATGGACCGATCGCCTGAAGGCTGGGCTTCAGCAAGATCTAGCTGCAGAATTTGAGTGGCGAACCGACTTTCTTTGCGGCATATGAGGAGGAAAAGTCGATCCTCATTGGTTGAGGCACGACTTGGTACGTTTCTGCCATTCGCCGAAAATAGACTGGCAGGAGCCCGCTCATGAAGCGGTAGATCGTCTGTAACGCTCTGGTTTCTACCGAAGATGATTTTCTAAAGCCATGTGATACCCACTGTTCCTGTTTCGCGATTGGTCTGGTCTCCTTGCGCCTGGTGCCTGTCGCCGACATCTTGCAGTGCCATCGTTTCTCTCCTCTCTGTTCGAACAGTCGCTAGCACTACTCGAAAACATAACCCTAGTATAATGGCAAGGCAAGACAGGGTTAGACCAAGAGCAGCCCATTCTGAGACCCAACTCCTCCGTGGAAGTTGTGGAAACGATTGATCTGGACTATTAACAGGCGAGAATGTCGTTTCTGTGCTTAAAATCATTGTAACGAACATTCCAGCAAAGAGAGAAATTAAGTTGGCCAGTATTACCATCTTCCTGTAGTATTTTGAGTGAACTACGATGAATTTTCTGATATACTCTCTTGACCGCAGTGCCTCTCGTGCTGACAAAGCTTGCTTCAATCGATACATTCCGCCTGGTCTCAACTCGGAAAAATCGTCCTGAATGATGTGGCCACAGCGCTGTCCATCACAAAAATTAGATTAGCATTTCTCGTTGTATTCCCGTTTGAACTTACACATTGCCATTCTAGTCTGGTCTTTCCCGGTGCGGGCCGTTTTCTGCATAGAGATAGTAGTGCCAGTTGGATTATTCCAAAGCCGCTCACTTTAATAACGCACTCTTCGGCATTAGAGGAGCCCAGAGAAGAGGGTTCGTTCATGACGGACAGATCTGGCCGATCTGCTGGTGAATGGACTGTTGGGAAGTCCCCGGCTGAGCTGGAATCCAGTGGCTCACGATCGTTTTGCACAGATATTCCATCCATACGAGGCTCCGGGCACGGCTGCTGATTAGCCACAGGCGAGGTAAAACGGGTTCTCTTTTGTGTGGCATCATTTGGTGTTGCCTTTGATTCTGTACGAAAACCTCCCCTCCGGTCGCTAGGTGTATCAGCTTTAGACCTGGGCACGCTCTCGTGTGTTAGTCTAAAGATCCCGTCTCTGAGTAACCACGAAGTCATCGCCTTCCACGGAACTTGGGACAGCATTCCAAGTTGGGTACTAACCCACGCTTTGAATTTTTCGAACCAGAAGCTCCTTCGTCAACATAGCACCTTACATCCTCTGTGGTACAACAGCCTTGGTACATCCCACAATATTGGTGGTTGCAGGATAGACAGTGTGTAGTGGTTTCTACTTTCATCCCTCCCATCTCCTGACAATTTCCACAAAACCAAAAGCGCGACCAGTAGTAATCTCGCTTCTTCCTTTCATTGCCTTGAATTTGAGAACTGGGAAACATGATGAGACGTGAACGAGTAATTAATTCGTGTTCGACCGTCAGGCAATTCTCGCAATCCAGTCAAGACACTGTAGATATAGGGATATTGTTCATAGACTTAGGGTTAATGAAACCAGTGTGGTGAAGGTTCAATATCGATCAGCTGCTTGCATTTCAGATAAGTCGTACGGAAGGAGAAAATATCGTGATCATGTTTTCTGGGGTGTAGTTGTAGCCCGATATCCCAAGCCGTGTAACGCAAGGCTGGCCATTCAGCGCTGAACACTTCTTCCACAGGCTTCTATCGTGCACGCCCGTGTCATCTCATTGGTATGCCAAGTAACGGCTCATTTGAGATCTCGAAACCAACACACACGGTCGCGAATATTTGGTGGACAGTCTTCTATCTCTGGAGATCTTTTTCCTATCTTATTTCTTTTTGAGCCCTTTGAAACGACATCGCAGAAAACAGTCAGATAACGATATCAGTTTGATCATCAAAGTTGACCGACTGGGTCAATGAGCTGGGCTACGAAAGGACCGATCTTGCAGCCTACTCCCGAACCACTATGACCCCGTTACCTCGCCATAAGTGTGGCATGTCATCGGACACTCTATGCGTGTTATTCAAGCTTTTTGATTAGCTGTCAAATCCTGGGCGATTAATATTGATTAAGAGGAACAGAGTGGTACATTGTAATTTGTAAATACCAACTTTTAATGCAACCTTAACACTTCCAAAGCGAACATGGAATTCTTAGCCTCATTGGTCTTTCTAGACAGCCACAATAAGCTCTTCATGCTTCCTGAAATATGTTCCGCAAAAGACACAGCGCTGTACTATTTCACTGCGTGAAATAATCCGGGAAGAACGCGCCACATGCTGATGCTCATATAGAACGCAACCAAGCATTAGATAGCCCGCAGCAATTTCAGGCTATTCTAGTAAGTCAAGTCTGTTATTTGACAGGACCTCAATAAACAGAGAGTTGCGTTGAAAATCATGAGATTTCGCCGATGCTCATCACAATTCATTTCGGTGTTCCCAGGTTGCTTGATGTACGCTGGTGGAGTTTGCTGGCACATCCATGACTTCATCTCTAGAGCATGATGCGACAAGAAAGTCATTTTTCATATGATGCCCATGATTCTGCTGTCCTAGTCTCACAAAAGTCACTTTAGTTCCTATCCCTAGTGTTCATTTGCAAAATAACTGCGACCAGGCGCCAATGGCATAAAGTGGAGCCCAATGAAAGCTATCCCCATGATATTTACAATCTTAGCCGCTGATAAAAAAAACACGGTGAGGGATATGTGTTTTGCTACTTTGGTCTGATACCGTAACTTTATAAGCGATGTACTTCAAATCATTCATGCCAAGCTGACATTTATTAGAAACTTTGACATGCAAGCATTTCTATTGAGTATTCCCCTAGTCATAAATGGTACAATTAAGATTATCCAACCCCACCTCCTTTGTAAAAGTATTGTCATGATTGAATGCCATAGACATCTCGGCACCAAACAATCTTCAAGGAACATGTGGAATTTTCTCATGTTTCTGTGCATCCATCAGTCACAGAGCGTCTCTTCCACAAATAATCTTGAACTTACATCGCCCGCTTCGACCTCGGTGCTCATCATAATAACACTTCACATCCTCATATGTGCAGCCATCCACAGCATGCTCTCCACACCACCGATGATTGCACTCAGGGCAATATGGAGTTGACTTCACATACATTCCTGCTTGATTTCGACACCATCCGCATGACCAAGTCCTGGCCCAGTAGTACTCAGGTTCCCTCTTTTTCTCCTTCTTCTTTTTGTCTGATGAAAGACGGCATGGTGATTCAATGCTGGGACTAACTGTCGTCAGGTGGAACAGAGATGATGAAGGGATCAGGGAATTTGAGACTGTTATGATCTCAATTATTTGGGTGTAGGCAATTGGGAAGGTGTGTTTGATAGTCTTCGGAAATACCCACAAGAGGGGATAATGGGAGAATATATAATAGATTTGCTCACCGTGTAAGTGCCTGTCCGGAGGTACGTCGCGCTCAAACATCCCTCCACAGGCAAATCATAGACAACACAGTCCGCCCAAGTCACAGCCACCCAGTATTTGCCTCGAGGGCAACTGCATCGTGAGTATTTGCATGCCCTGAACGCCACGGAATTTGCCTCATTTAAAATATACAAAGGGGCTGTGCTCCGCAGAATATGCCAAAGGGTCATGAAATTGCAACTATTGGGAGGCAAACATTTGGTCAAGCAAGAGGGCGACACGAAAATAAAAGGGCGCGGTGGATCCGTGACGGGCGGAAGCAGGTGGGCGAAACGCCCTTAGCCAATGAGAGGGCGACTGTGCAATGGTCACCGACACTTTACGCCTGAGACTCGTGGGCCACTTGGAAATCGCGACAAAAAGAGTGAAACTAACGGCTTTGGATTTGGTGAGAAGTCAGGATACCGAATTGGGTTGAGAAAAAGCCTGGTTTGTTTTGATTGAGCCTGTGCAGCCTCGCTTAGGGTCAGCAGCCCGAGCTAAAGTTACTAAACAACGCTACGACCGCCATATCCGATCTCAAGGCCGCTCGCAAATAATTGTACACGTGTGGTATCATATATTCCTAAAATGGAACGAAAATAAATAGAATACATGGAAAATCATCAAAATAGCGAAGCCTGATCTTTCCTCCTCCCCGGTCTACTGATAACTTCACGAAAAGACAACACTATTCAAGCATGCCCACCAGTCCAACACCACCCCAGAACACCCTTCCCTACTCTCATCTTCTTGAATTACTTGGATACACTTCTGGAAGTTAGAATCGAGATTTACAGTACAAAGATCAAATGATCTCGCAATAGACACTCACCTCTAAAGTCCGGTTCGTTCACCAACCTCTCCACCCATTGTGTAGGGCAGTACTTGCACCTCCGATGTAGACACTCATGCCCTGGGCAAGATCTGGTGGCATAGTAATCCATTCCACCATGCTCTCCGCACGCACAGCATCCCCATAGGAGACACTGATATGTCTCGGGCTTGGATCGAGAGGAGTTGGTCCCGCTGTTGCGGTTGCGGTTGTTGCTTTGCGATGATGACATGGTTTAGATTGGGAGATGTAGCGACGAACAGGGCTGAGATGAAAACGATAGTGCTTAGAGTAGCGAATAAGATGTGACAGAGTATTGCACCGATATTTGAGTGATGAGACACGATTTGATGTGCGATAGAATGACTTTTTAAGTTTCGGGACAAAGGAGACGGACCGTCCCATTGGTACTGAAGCAAAGTGGCTTGGTCTGATATCTTCTCGAACACAGCCATGATAGGCTTCTTCTTCGTATATATGCTTCCCGTTCTTGAGATGTTCTTCCAGAAGCCCTCTGCAGGGCGTCTTTGAAAACGTTGAGAGTTGGGCGAACTCGTGACTGAGTCACGCCAAACTGACCACTTGCAACTTCATACGCATTCAACAATTCTCAGTGGGGCTGTACAGGAACCAAAGGGCTAACGTGCCCTCGATAGAGATGTGCGGGAAATCATTGGCATTTGGCTGAGCTGCCTGATTGTCGTGAGCGGACTCTCTTGCGCAGATGAGGCAGACGGGAAACCTCGGTCTGGCAAGACAGATTGGGGACATTCAAATACCGCAAGGCTACACCAATCAAACCACCAGGTAAGAAGAAATGTCTCAACTCGGAAGTCATACAATATGATACGGTATGGAAATCTATCACCGCAACAAATGGCAAGGCTCCGTTGCTCATCAACTGCCCTTCCGACCAAGGTCAACCATCCAGCCTCATGAATTTCCAAACATCCTTACCTTCAAGAGAACAAATGAAAAAGTCCAGTTCCAATAAAATACCCCGACCGTCAACAAAAGCAAACAAAAAGGGCATTCAAAGCTACCTTTCCCTTTCCAAAATCCGCCTCGTACATAAACAAAACAGTCCCGCCAATCACAAGCCGCTCCGCTCCGCTCCCTCCCATTTTATTCCCAACTCCCAATCTCCCACTGAGGCTGAGCACACCAAATAACGATTGATCTCATCGACCGGTGAGATAAGACTCCGGAAACCCAGACAGACAGATTCCGAAGTGAGCATGACACGAGGCGGACAAGGTGACTCGGGGCGAGCCTCGAGGGCGACGGTTCGACGGACGGCGGCGCGGCCTTCAAGAAAAATCTCGCTTATTTTAGCACGAGGCAAACAAGATCGCCCGAGACAACATATGCATCGGTGAAGAGTGGCTAAGTAGGTACATTAGGCTGCGCTTTCACCGAGCGGGAGGAGGGGAGTGGAGGATTAGAGTGAGATGAGTGGATGTGAGGGAGTGGAATGTAAGGAAGAGGCGCGTGTGCTGAGTAGAGAGGGATATTCCATTGTGGAACGCTGACTTGTTGACATCACGTGATGGCCATCGCGCCACTGGACATTACCTACCAATCGGCCGAAATCAAATCCGTCCCAGGAAATCGGGATATACGCGAAGAAAGAGTATAAAAATATTATATCTAGGAAGTCCTCGACACTTCTTGGGTAAACATTACACGAGATTTGGCAAGGGCTGAGTTCTAATCTTCACTCTTTCAACCATACCAGATCCCCATTCCCATCCTCAGCCCCATCCCCATCCCCATCCCCATCCCCACTCTTTCTCCCCAGATTTCGAACCCTTCAGAGTCCCACTACCCTCTATCAACTTCTTACTATCCAACTTCGTTCAATCCTCATACATGCCTTCTCTCAAACTCTGCTAAAGACAGCAGTAAATTCATATTGGGATCAGCAACCACATCCACATCCACACCCGCATCCAGCTGCAAGCTCCCCCTCCAGCTTCGCGAACCATTCCAATAGACCAATTGATTCCATGGAACGTGGATAACATTTAGTGGAACTCAGCCGGATGGTATGCTGAAGGATCGGAAGCAGCTTGGATCAATTTTACGCGGGGAGAGTGGCGAGGTTGGAGATCTGAGTGTGTGGAGAATTGGTGAAATTTGCTCGCGAGGAGGAGTGGTTGAGATATCTCCTTCGTATTGAAATGAGGTCCTATTCTAGCAGTCGAATTTGCCTGGATTGCTCCTACCTCTTCACGACGTCATCTTCTCATTTAGGACTGGAAGACTTGTAGCCAGGATCGAGGTGGAAGTCTTCCGGACAAATCCTTCTAGCATGGCTTCCATTGTCTATTCTCATTTCTGGGCAAAATTTGGTCGTTCACCAGTGGTGCTGATGCTTCTCAACCTAAATCAAATTGGCAGCTAAACGCAGTGATCCGACAGAAGCTCTGAATTATGTATACTACTACCAGGAGCATTCCGACTCATCATAACAATACAAAGTCTATGTCCATACTTGGCTTCTCAAACCCGACTGCTGCAAAACAAAGGAAAGACATATGAAACTCAAAGTCAATCTAGCGGCACCTTCAAGAATCCATACTCGTAATATCCCTCATCAATAACCCAGAGGCCATGATGGTCAATGTGGAAGTTGTTGGTAGCCCGAATTCTTGTGCTCTCCCTTGCGAGTCAATCTCTCGCGAGCAGCCGTGATACCGAAGACGATGAAAAAGACTGGAAGGTCAGCAGAGAAATCAGTAGAGGTAAAGACAAGACTTACAAATGTTGGTGACGACAATAAAGGCAACCCAGCTCAAAATGACATACTCCCACTTCGATTCATCATGGTTCAAGAAGAACCAGGCCCACTTGTCTGTAACAATGTATCCGATGTATGCCCAACCAATGTATGCCAGCGAAACAATCGAGAGACCGATGTTGTGGGCGGCGATGGGCTATCAATGTCAGAACATACTTGATTGTATAGAACAAGGAACTCACGAATTGACGCTTGATGCTACTGTAGAAGATCACTTCAATCAATGCAATGATAGAGTTGACACCATACTTGCTGAGAACGTAGAAAGTCTTGAAGTCACCGTGGCCGAAAGTCTCGTTGCCTATGGATTGTAAGCAGAGAACTGCGATCGCAGAACGATCAACCAACCTGGGACGGTAGCTCTGCCCTTGGGAACCAAGATGGCCCAGTGAATGAAAGTCGAAACATGTGGCCAGGTCTGGGCAAGAGAGTAGAAGATGCTGAACCATGTACGATTCTTGGTGGAGGGGTTCTGGCGAGGTGGCGACAGTGCCTTTTGGAGACGGGTTGCATTGGTAGGGGAAGAAGTGCTGTGGTGAGGGTAGTGAAGGTGCATAAAGGTCCAGATCTGAAGTAGTCAGCCCAAGCAGAGTTGGCAGAAGGGACGGACTTACGAAGGCGATCCAATGGTAGAGAACCTGAACACCATACTCGATATTGGAGAACTTGAAGAAGGCAAGCTTTCCATCATCGGTGTGTTTGACCTCGTAGTCAATGATCATGGCGAAGCTGACAGCAAGATAGATTGCAGTCAAGCCACGAAGACCAACAAGGGCTTTCTGGCCAATGGAGGTCCATGGAGAGTGGCAGACTCGAAGGAAGATGGGCTGGAAGATGTCAGTGTTGTGGTGTTGATGGTTTGGGCGAGGCACGTACGTGATCATCTTTCTTGTTCTTGGGGAGAAGCGCTGTAGAGGAGGACATTTTGTACGAAAGAGGGTGGATGTGAATTGTGTATAGGTAACGGAACGATGGATGGAAGAACCAAAACCGAGATCTTGAGATTGCTGCAGCTGATGGAACTGCGCTGCACAAAGGTGATGGTGTTGATGTTGTCGGATGGAAGAAGGAGAAAGAGAGGAGAAAGAAGGAGGAAAAGGAGGGGATGTTTTGGATGGTTGGGCGGTTGGACGGTTGGGCGGATGCGGAAGGAGTGAACGATGGTCGCAGGCACGACTTGTGACATTGTGGAAGCCGCGAAGCGAGGAAAGAGATCTGACCTGGGCATTCGACACCCACGTGCAATAAGAGGTATATAAATGCGCATGTCAATAACAAAATCGTGCTCAGAACATTGAGTTGTAGGTGAAAAGAGAAGAAGAACAATACAAGTCAAGCCTTATGTCATTCGAGGAGGGGAAGCTCCGGATGCTGACGGGGCAAAGCCATCGTTACAAGCAGGTTTCTGAATTTCTTTTAATTTATTTTAACTGTTCCCAGGACATTGAAATAGCAACTTCCAGCCGTGGTGCGCGAGTCGGGATACCGTCACGCCCTCACTTGAGGTCGCTCGGCCAAATTGGTGTAGAATGTCCCAATACGATTTGGGGCTTACAAGAACCAAAAAATACCAAAGCCGAACCGAGCCCTCAGCATTGAACTGTGCATGGTGGTGACTGTACGAGAAACGTGGAAGAAGAGAAAGAGCAATCAAATATTTCTGCATGTTGTCCATACACACGAAGCCAACGAGCATCTAGGTACATATTTTCGAAGGGGTTGTCAAGCCGCCCAGTAAAATTCCAAGGCTGTTTTGAGAATCTTCAGATAGTTGAAAAGGTTCAGTAGAGGCAGGTCGATAACTGAAAACATTGTCTCTATATCACTGTATTCAGACAAAAGACCAAGAGGCTTGAGCTGGAGTACAAATGAAGGTGCACGCAACAGTCGGGTGATCAATCTGCGAAACGTTCGAACTTGCGCGGCTGTCTTGATCGACATCATATAGAAGACCTGGCAGCCAGGAAGCCAGAGTTGAAAGTCCAACAAAAACTAATCTTGCATTTGGTCGCATGAAATTAGCAAAGCACTCTTTGGTTTGCTAACATGTAGTTGAAATTACTTGACCATGGGTCGACCTCCCTTGGGATGGACAGTAAAAAGTCTCCCGCACGAGCACTTCGCAAAGCACAAGCCCAAACTTACTGTCATTCGGTCACTCACCTTCCCAGCTGCAGAAAATTCATTTGTACTTTGTCCACAACTATTAGTGATTTTCCCCTTCGGTAGGTAGGGGTATTGGGATTCATTAGCTGGACCATTGCCATGCAAGAAATTCAGTCATGGTAGGATAGACAAGAAAAAAGCAACAAAAATGACGATACCTCAATAGCCCTTCGAACTCAATGGGAGCTCCGGTACAAAATTAAGACAAATTTATCAAATCATTAATCAGGGTGTTGGCAATGGGATGTGAAACTGGAAGAGGCTGACCTCCAACTAGCGCACATATTTATGCACGCCCCGCATAAACCCTGCATAATTCCGCAGCTCCAAAGGTGTCCACAACTCCAAACATCAAGCTCACCTCACCAGACGAGCGCCAGTCCAGTCCAGTCCAGTCAATACACAAGACCACCTGTCCACCAGCACGAAACCCTAAAGGCCGCCACCGACAACTCCTCAGCCTCTGGATACCAAACAATCCCCTCAATCTACATTGCTAATCTCCAGCACTTCCTTCCACCACATCTTGCGCGCCGCATCTCCTCCCTCCCTCAAATATCCCCAACCCTCCTCACCTCACCTCACAACCTACCCACCCAACCATGCTCTCCGCGCTCCAAAACCCGCGGCAAGCCGCCGCCCAAGTCCTCAACTTCGCGCTGATACTATCCACCGCCTTTATGACGTGGAAAGGGCTCTCCGTGCTCGCCGACTCTCCCTCACCCATCGTAGTCGTGCTATCAGGCTCAATGGAGCCGGCGTTCCAGCGCGGCGATCTACTCTTCCTCTGGAATAGGAATCTGATGGAGGATACGAAGGTGGGGGAGATAGTGGTGTATAATGTGAAGGGGAAGGATATCCCGATTGTGCATCGGTTGGTGAGGAAGTTTGGGAGGGGGTGAGTTCATGGTCTTTCTTACTTGCTTTGTGGTTTTGCTTGTGGAAATGGAAGCAACACACATACTTGGATTTGGTCTTGGGTGGGCGGGCTTTTGGATGGTCATGTACTAATGCTTTTACAGAGAAGACGCCAAACTCCTCACGAAAGGCGACAACAACGTAGCAGACGATACGGAACTCTACGCCCGCGGACAGGACTACATCGAGCGGAAAGACATCATCGGCAGCGTGGTAGCATACATCCCGTTCGTGGGCTACGTAACTATCCTATTGAGTGAACATCCGTGGTTGAAGACTGTTATGCTGGGGATTATGGGGTTGGTGGTCGTGCTGCAGAGGGAATGATATATATGTTGATGCGTGGAGGGAGAGGGATGGATGTGCTTTGGCGTTGGGATACCCGGCCCGGCTTGTATGACAGATGCCATACGGCAAAGAATAAAAGTCGGTGTTGCAATGCATGGGGAGTCATTGAGACCAAATTCGGTAGTTGGGATGGATCCACGTTGTCCTTGCATATTCAAGGGTTCATTCGCCCAGTGTCTGATGGTTTGACTTGATGACATGCTGCACGCTAGGTAGCTGTGAGAGCTTCAGGGTTGCATTCATTTTGTCAAATTGAAGGACTGACTTTGCATCAAAGAAGGGAGAAACTTTCCAAGAGTTTGCTGATCACTTCGCTTTGTAGAACTAAAACTCTGAAACGTCCCATTTTCACCTCGCGACATTATTAACTTTCTTCAAAGCTTCACTCCATTATTTACACCAACTCTCAGCCTCGCGTGCCCGCCTGCCTGGCCAGACCAGCGCAGCCTGCTTCTTACTATTTTAGCGCCCCGCCCCGCCAACGGGACAAGGGTTCAAGAGATCTCCAGCCAGCCGCTTGCCCTGCCGCTCTTCTCTTCCAGGTTCTCACTGTCTCTGCTCCAAAATAAAACACCATCTTTGTCCCAATTTTCAGCTTAAGACTTCTTTCCCTCCAACACCGTACAAGTACGTATCTACTCCGTTTCTCTTCCTCTCCCTAAAACAATTTCTAAGCAAAAAACGCATCTGACAGTCCACCAGATACAAATACAAATACAACCCCGCCTCACCCCACGAAGCAAGCAAACAGCTACCCCACCACCCGACTCTACTCCCCAGAGAGCAACACCGCCAACATGGGAAGCTCGCAGAAGAGAATCACAAAGGTGAGGCCCCACAACCCCCTCCGAAGCTACTACGGAAGATGTAAGGGGGATTCACCAAGAAGCTGTGTACTGACAGTCAACAGGAGCTCGCAGAAGTGACCGAGAGCCCACCAGCCGGTATCAAAGTCAGCCTCGCAGACGAAGCCAACGTCCACACCTGGAACATCATCATGGACGGTCCCGAAGGTTCACCCTACGCTGTACGTCCCTCCCCATTCCTCTCCCCAAACCACCACCAAACCACCACCCAACACCCCCAACCATCTTCACAATCCAACTCCATACCCTAACATGTCGTGAACAACAATCACTAACATCCCCTCTCCCCTCTCCCAGGGCGGCAAATTCCACCTCCTCCTCACCCTCCCACACGAATACCCCTTCAAGCCACCCAAGATCTCCTTCAAGACCCGCATCTGGCACCCCAACGTAACCTTCGACGAGCACGGCAGCATGTGCATCGGGATCCTGAAAGCCGACGCTTGGAAGCCGTCCAGCAAGATCATGAGCGTGCTCACCGCCACGCAGCAGCTGATGATGGAGCCCGTGCCGGATGATGCGGTGGAGCAGAGCGCGGCGCAGAAGTTCAAGGAGGATAGGAAGACGTTTGATAAGGAGGCGAGGGAGTGGACGAAGAAGTATGCGATGGGGAAGTAGGGTGGGTGGGGCAGTGACTGTTTAGGTGATTTGTGGGGGTGGAAGTGGGAAGTGGAGGGGGAGGAACGCATGGGATTGGGATTGGGAGGGTGATGATGAGATGAAGTGGAGAGAGATGAACGAAAAGCCCATCCATGGACAGACGAACGAGCAAACAAAGCAAACGAAATTTTTGAATCTTATCCCCAGAGCGGCGTTCTATGGATAGAAACGCATACATACAGACAGACACACAGCATGGAATAGAACTGTTGCATGCTTTTGGTTGACGGATGGGAGGATGGTCGCAGCGATTCTAATATGATCGCGTGGTCGGGTTGGGTAGTAGGCATGGAACTCAGCCAGCATCAGCCAGCAAGGACTGCGAGCGGTAGATGAATCAATCAATACGAAGCATTACTCTATTATATCCTCGTTCTCGGTTCTCTCTCTTCGTCTCTCCATTATCTATTATCCATTCAAACCATTGAGGTATTTCGTCAAATCATGTCATGGAGCTTGTCCTTGGCCTTGCACCACCCATTCAGTATTATCATCAGCAAGCTCAACAGCCAAGAGCGAGCAGGCACCTCAAAGTAATTACGCAGACCCAACACACACACGCAGCCAGCATCCACCTCCTCTACAGTAAGCTGTGATACTTCTTTCCGCTTCTCTGTTTTGATGACTTTTGTTTCCTGGCATTTTAATCCTCTGCTCTTCTCAGAGCTACACCATTCCTTCAATCACTCACCATAAATGCTTCGCAGTTTCGTGTATGTAAACTGTATCAATCTCGCTATTTTAGTATCCACCTTCTGCGACAAGGGCAAGTATACAAGCATCTCAGTGAGCCTCAAGCGGTAGTTCAAGCCGGCGCCGTTTGGGAAAGACTGATACAAAGGCCGGCAATATATGTGTGAAGAATGTGCGGTGAGAGAAGTCGTTGGTGAAAAGGTAAACACTGGTTTAACTCGTATTTATCTGGAGAAGAGCTCAAGTTTGTGATAGTGAGTTTGACTAAGTACCGAAGCCACTTTCTCACTGAATGGTAAGAACAATTTTACTACACATTAATTAGCCGCAACGCACAGACTCGCCTGTAGCCATTACTTACTCGTACTGCCAGAAGCGTACATGGAATAATTGGATTTGCAGAGGTCCGTACTTCCATAGTGGGCGGGATTGACACCGCTGATGACCAGAATTCACTCGAGGACTGGGACTGAGTAAGTACGATTGTAAGCACGGTATTTGATAGGTGTACTAACAATATCTCTGAACTGACGAACTGCAGAATATGTAATTCTTTTCCTGCTTGTTCCTATCTCTGTATCATCTCACAAACTCGCAGACTTATTACAGTCACTAGGTTACATCCGATAGACTATTTAACTTCCTGTCCGACATCATGGAGAGATACACAACGACACTGGCTAGCTAGCTATCCAAAGCTCAACAACAGCAACATATCTGCCATCTCAGAATCAAGAAGCAAATCTCTACTCTACCTCTGCGTCTCAAAACCCACTCTGAACAGCCAACACTCCCAACAAAACCACCACACCCCCCAGCCCCATCTCAATCTTCCCCAACTTCATCCTCCTCCCACCATCCGAGCTACCATCAGCGCTACAAACAGCAGCCACAAGTCTAAACTCCTCCCTATGCTGCGCAAAACAAGTCTCCCATCCATTCTCCGCTTTACACCTATTTTCTCACATATACAAAGATCAGATCAGCCGATCATATCATACTCCCTCCTTCCTTCCTTCCTTCCTTCTTCTTCTTTGGGGAAGGAAAGTCGAAAGATAGGTATGACTTACGACGAGCGCTCAAACCCCACAGGAGCTGCGTCACTGCAGCAGGGTTGGAAGATGTTGGGTGTGATCTTTGCTCTTTCGATGCCGGTCAGGAGACTGCATGTCCCTGAGCTTGGGAGGGAGAGGATGGGTTCGGTGTGGTTGTAGAGTGTGGTGGTGAGGTTGGCGAGGGAGTTCATTGTGAGATGGTTTAGGGGGGGTTTATATGCTGAGTAGAGCAGAGCAGAGAAGTTATAATTACTTGAGTGGAGTGATACGGTAAGGGGCGTGGTGTTTAGTTTAGAATAGTGGAAAGTCCGTGAGGGATTGGTGCTAGGGCTTGGTCGCTGTTTGAAATCGTTAGAGTGAGGTATGCTGTTGAAGGAGGATTGAAGATGGCTGTCGCTCGAGGAAAGGTAGTAAGAACTTCTTTTGCCTTGCTGGCTGATCACACTCGAATGAAGGTAACGAGCGAGGTGAGGTACCATTGCCAAGTCGCCAAGTGTTGTTTTGACAGGTTCTGAGAAACTCGGCTAAACAGAAATTCCTCCTTCAGGAACCTCAACTCTGGAAGCGGAAGTGAACAGCGCCACTGACATCACAAATCCCAAAAAATGTACAATCACGTCTAGAATTTGAAGTTGCATACAGAATAGTTGGTTGTATTTTTGCCTTGGCATTTGTTACACGTGTGCGGTATGGAATGTTACTCGCCATTCCCACAAATTGTAATGACTAACAGCCTAGTATAACTTGGCGCAACGACCATCTCAGAAATAGAAAAGATAATTCTCCCACGCCATATGAGCTTTCACAGTAGTTATAGTTGCGGCCAAACCACGAATAAACCCTGTAGGTCTCTAACATGCATGTACAGTATCGCTCTCTCCAGCGTAAGTATTCTTCCAAGCCTGGGAATTCTGATCATCCGGAAGATCAGTGCGATCGCCACAATTCACCCATTTGGGAATCACAAACACATCAGGATCATCGCTGTTGATAGCTGTTGCCTGAATTTCCGAGCAAGCGTTAGGAGTCGTCTTTGAGAACGGTGCGTCGACAAGACAGTACAATATTGGGCCCTCCCCTGAGCAGTCTGGTATCAGCATTCGTCGGTCAAGAAAGACGACATAGGGAGAAAGCAGACTGACCTCCAAAGTTTGGCTCGTATTCACTTAGTGTGCCACAGGAATGTATTATAACTGGGACTTTATACCACCACCCACATGCACCGTCGCCGAATGTAAAGCCTTGCGTGAGAGAAGGTGTTTCGGAGATGGCGATTCCGAAACCGATACCTGCGCTGAGAACAGATTCAAGTGGACCTGGCCCTTCGAGACCGAAGTTGATAGAGACGGATTTTTCGACTGTGAAGGACTCGCCTTCTTCGAGATAGCAATCTGTACCCTTTTTGTAGGCATCGTGGTCAGTGAGTATATGGTACTTCTGCATAAGAATTCGGTGACAAGCTACAATTTGAACTTACCGCGCAATATCTAGTGCCGTCGTAGATCACCGGCACACCATAATACCTGGCAGCTGTAGCTTCAAAAGAGTAATCACAGCCAAGCCCCGACGTTACCATTTCGACATGTCAACACTTAAGCGAGCTCCCTCTGAGTTTCGAAGAACAGATATGGTGGGAAAAAGCTACTATGCCCAGTCCAGGCTGTAGGAGAGTATTCAATATGATGTACAGACAGCCATTTGCAGTTGAGGATATGGTTTTTTGTGAAGAAGGAAGTCCAAGGTCCTGTCTTTACGGTGGAATGCAAGCAGAGCGGAGGAAAATATCACAAAGTATCAATACGTCAGGCTCTTGCCGATATTGATAGACTTTGGGTATAGGCAAGAGATAGGTAGATTATTTCATTATACACTCACGGGATTCATTCAGATCATGCTAATTCAAGTGTTGCTAAAACCTTTTTCTATTCTGTTCTTTTTTATTTGTGTTTCCACGCCTATTGGGGGGCGGGAGGGGGGGGGGGTTATTCTGTTGAAAAAACCAAAAAAAACCAAAAAAAAAAAAAAAAAAACAAGTCCACTAACTCATCTTGGAAGTGAAAGGGGCAGAAACGCAGAGCAGCTCGAGACTCCTAGGAAAAGGGACCACAAAATGAAACTGCGTCACGGGGCCGTACACAGTTCAATTCAGGTCAGCGAAGTACGGAAAAGCGCGCTCCCAGAGACCAATCTCGCGCCGTGGTTGGACATGAGCTCTCTCTGCCTCCTTATCATCATCCGTTTCGTCCTCCCTCTACTCCGATATCTCTCTCCATCTCTGACGCATCATTGCTACCGCCATCTCCTCCTTACCAACTTCCAATCCAAACAGGTATGCTGTACGAAAGAGTCGGAGCACCAGAAAAATTACCGCGAGGTTGTAGAATTGCGCGAGGAGGTGCATGCGTGTTGTGGCTCCGTACGTGAGAAAGAAGTAGCAGGCTAGTATGACGTTGGAATAGGTTATGAGGACGACGCCGAGGTGGAAGGCGATGAGTTTGGAGGTTGTGATGCCAATTGGTCGACGTCCGAAGCAGGGATCCGGAGGCGCCATTGTTGAGATGGGTGGTATAGTTGGTATGTTTGGGGTGGTTTGTCTGGTTTGTAGAGTTTTGCTGCTGAAAGGTAGCGCAAAAGTTGTGGTGAGCTGTTGGATGACCGATGGTAGTTTGACTTCAATGCGAAGAGGTACAATTCCAACTGGAGTTTATATACACCATCTTGCCTCACGTGCTTCACCTTGAAGCACTAGCTCGCAATCACTGTTCGAATGTCAGAACAGCTTAGAAGAAAGTCTGAGTCAGATTTGTTCGATGTCGCAAAGATGAGTCAACGGCAAACAAGATTTTTCTTTGTTGTTGATAAGCACAAGACAAAGAATTCGTTTGACATGTGCGCATTATTGTTTGCTGCGGGTGAGCTATTTCTGGGACAAAGTATTTCTGCTCGGCTGCGTCAAATCTTCAACAGTGAAGCTAAGGACCTGTTTTACCTACTCTGCGCAGATATGTCTTGTTCACATGGTACTGCACTCTCGGGAATGAAGTTGAGTATTCGATATTCGAATACGCACTGACGTATGCGCTCGCTTGAACTGTTGATCGCTCCCACCGGCTCGATTGGCTCCCACACGCCGGGCTGGACTATTGCCATGGCAAGTTTCTTGAATCCACACAACCTTCATATAGTTATAGTAATCAATACATCAGTTTCTCATCTCCTGAACTTAATTCTCTTTTCAGTTGATCCTGGCCTCTTACTCCCTTAAATGGACTTCTCGGCATGGGGTAAAGTTGCACTCCTAACCGGGACCACAGCATCCTTGTGCCATCTCACTATCCTGCAACTAAGACTTGGCGGAGCTCTTGCAATTGATTGCACGATGATCACTGGGTGTTGGCTTCTGGTCTGCTATATTATTCACTCGGAAGGAAAGCTTGAGCAAAGCGACGTTCTCGTCTCAAAACAGACGACAAGTCACATGGCAGGGTTTGCCAATCAAGAGCCAACACAAATAAAGCAGGAGAGGGAAAATGAAGGCATCTTTTCCAAATGCCAGATTGGTGTCAAATCTCAAGAACAGCCCAATTCTTTCCCGCCAACTACGCCACCAACCAAGTTCCCAGATTTCTTCGAGCCAGACGTGGAATCAAACATGTCTCAACTCAGTCGCCTCAGATCCAGCAAGGAGGAGTTGACAACTGAACTCGCAGAGTCCTTTCTGGTGGTTGAATTCCAGTCTGAGATGAAACGAGCTGCAATGGAGTTTTATTTTGCGCATCTTCGCACGGATAGGATTTGTGGGAGCGATAAGCATGTCGGTGAAGCGGCATATTTGAAAGCTAGGGATTTGTTCAGGGATATAATAAGATTGCATAAGGGGAAAGAGGATGTTATCAAAGAATTAGCTATAGAGATTGAGGGAGTGGAGGAGAGATTGAGACAGGAAGCGGAGAAGGAGAGAGAGGAGAGAAGGGGGAGTGGGGAGACGCTGGTCGAGAACTGTGATCTGTATCAGGTGTGAGGGGAACTTGATTTATAAAATTCAATTGTATAGATTGTTATGAAATCATCTTTTGGTATCGACTTCGGAGAACTCCTAGAGTTTTGCAGCATACTAGCAATGACGTATCACCTAGGTGCGTTGGTGCGCTAAACGTGTCGGCTCGTCACGGACACTCACGCTTCTGTAAACCCAGAGCAAAACACTTACACATTCTAGCTTGGGTCTAGAACTTTGGAATTTAAACTGTATGAGAAAGCTATTTCAAAGTGGGCATAATCCCCTACCTGACTTGCCTGACCTTCTTGAGAGTACTTTGTGTCCATAAACTTTGATGGATTCCACACATTATCTCTTCAGAATATCCATCAAACTCGTTACAAATACGACCCCATCTCAGATATCAATCACAGTCATTATCGTTACTCGCATACATTAAGCATACCTACAATCCAGTCATCATGGTCTTTTGGTTCTTCAATTCAAAGACGCGGAAGGTCAATCGACTGCAGAAAGAAAAGGAACAGTTGATGGAGAATGACCAAGAAGAGGCGTGGAAAATAGATGAGGCTTACATCGATTGGAAGAATGCAAGTCAAAAATTGACTGCCGATCAGTCAAGTGGATATCGTCTACTGGAAGAAGACGCATACGAACGGTACAAATGTCTCCTTCTTGCCCGGGATAAGAAGTGTTTAAGGCTGAAACGAATAGAGATGGATATCATGGCTCTGAGGAAGTGGGCTTAGCGAAGGATTCGCACGGACGCGATTGCCAGGAGACAAATGGTGATACTCTATACGTGCCATGCTATTCACAAGGGATGAACTTTTGATTTGGAGCTCTGCTATGGCATCTAATTGGGATTGAAATGGATTCGACGGGTGGTGGGGTTTGAGGATGCCATGTGACGTACGAACAACCACATACAGTCCATCTTCATGTCACCAGTGCAAGTAGTGGTATCGTAGAAGGAGCGGATGAGTTCTACAATCATTACAGAACTTTGGCGGACGGTACTTCCAGAAGAAGGCTAGTGCGGCGCCATGCTTGAGTTCCATGACGTCCGCTTACTACACTATCTCATCCGCAAACATAAACTTCAAATTAAGCTGCCTGGAAGGTTCATCACTTTTGATTGCATATTTCCACCTTTCAATACTGACCATTATATCTCACGATAATGTGGCGCAAGAGCAGCAACAGGTCAGATTCTCAAGCTCTGCCAGAAGATACGTCGAAGGAAGAAACCACCACAGGTACAGTCATGGGTTTAGAGAAGATAAATCAGCCAATTGCTCCATCATTCGGGAACCATGACCTTTAACAATCACATACCGATCTTCCGCCAGCGTGCAGTCTTGCAGCAACAAGTTCAGCAGAGGAAAGGGTCAAAAGCAAAGACTCGCCCATGCCAGATGAGACAGTCGCTGAGAATATAAGGGAACTGGAGCTTGAGAAGAAGCAATTGTTGAAAGATGAAGACAAGCAGAGATATGTAGTTGACGAAGCCTGGCTCGAGCGATGTGAAGCTTGGAATCGGTTCCAAGAGTCTGGCATGAAGAAAGGACAGGACGAATACCATCAAATGGCAGCTGCATGGCAAAGGGTTTCAAACGCCAGAGAGGGGACTAGGTTGAGAGTTAGACGTATAGAGCTAGATATCAAAGCTTTGCGGAAACAAGGCGGGGATATGCAGTTTTGAGCACGTTTGCCAAGTCAAGGTCTGGCTGTTTAAGCGAACAGACTGCTTAAGATCTATATTGAGGTTTGCGGATGCTGCTATCACAAAATGATTTTCGGTAAACGATCAGTCATGGTCTGCTTCTCCGTGCATTTCAACTGGAGAGAATCGGTCTATCCAACATTGATGACGAGGCGGAAGTTCATGAATTCGAAGAAGCATGTTCGCGCCGAAGCTCAGTGGATAGACGCCAAATGAGGAGAACACTGCAGCGAATCAGGAGGAATACGACATCACGATTTACAAATTGGGAGTGCTGGTGAGGTCACAGATGAGAAGAGGCTTGGTTGAAGCGGGTCAATGACGAAATCAGCTTTGATATGAGAACGGGCAACGTTGGGAAGAGCTTAGTGGAGAGTGATACAAGTGGACAACGCTCGTGGGCATTAACCCTAACCTATGTAACTAGCTCACCACGAGTTCCAACTTTACATATTTGAGAGATAACTACCGTCCTTGTGCAAACGAATCCCTCACTCTCAAAAAGTCTCTATCTTCGAGTTTAAGCGCCTGTGTATACTCTTCCTCCAAAAATTTTAACATCTGTCATTATGTTTTGCGGACTTCCAAACGTCTTTCGAAAAAGACATGTGGATTTGAGCGATCATGTAACAGCTCAGTCTTCTTCGACGGACGAACGCACTCCATCATACTCAAATGCGGCATCACCAGCTCCAAGATCGGACACTTCGGAAGATCATACGAAGAGAGAACTCACACCCGAAGAAACAAGGCGCAACATCCTGCAAGGTCTATATGCACAACGGAACGAGCTGCTGGACACCATCGAAGGGCAACCCACAGTCCAGGAAGCGAGACTTCAATTCCAAGAAGCAACCCGGAAGTTCGGCAAGTCTGGATGGGATGATGAAGGCAGGCGAGAATATAACAGGGCGGAGAGAAGATGTCGAATGATTGAGGCGAAGCATTGGCAGCATCAGAGGAAATTGAAGGAAATCGAGAGAGAGATCTGTCAAATGAGGCCTAAGCGCCGCTAACCTAGCAGGAGCTTAGAACAGCTACCATACCGGACTAATGAATGATTTTGGCCTAAAATATAATTTCTGCAAACACAATTCCTCTATTACGAACACGCAGTGCCAAACATCATCAAGAATCGCAGCGTATCACATTCCATTCTATCAAGACAACATCGAGACCAGATATATACTGCTCAAACCCTATCAATCCAAAACGACAAAAACATTCATCATGCCACTGACAGTCGCTATCATCGTCCCCACGATAGCCATGCGTTGGTGGAACCATCGGGGAGACGGGATTATAATCTGGACATCTTACCTGGCGTGTTTGACTTTCTGCATCCTCTATGCTTCCAGGATTGTAGCTGAGATCACTGCACATGAAGCAATTCACAAATACGTTAAAAACAACCCCAAAATCATAGGTATGTGGTTTAGCAAGTCAATTTCACAGTTACCAATTTTCGTGCTGACTGGTTTCAGAGTTTATTTTTTATGTGTACTCAATGGCCATAATGGTTCTGTTCGGTTTATATAGGCTTCCTTGAATCTTTTCTTTGAAGGGCTTGCGTGCGATTACTTGATGCTATAAGCTCTCTATGGTGGTGATTTATTAGTTATCCAGTGCGGTTGGTTGAAAGTGTGGATTGCTATGTGGTGCTTGTTTTCAGGTGATTGAGTACACACGACGGAAACACATTGGCACTTGGCATGCAAACTCGGGGTTATTCTTTTGGAAGAGATTGAAATTGTAGCAAAAATTATCATTTCGTTTCACAGTAATTTCTTGTAAAACATTGGTTCCTAAAATATTCTTTTTGCTGTAAAGTATGTAAGTGCGGGCTTGGTTTCGTGGATAACAAGCGTCGTGCTAGGAATGGTAAGCGAGAACCAGGCTGGTAGATGGTGATTTTTCATGACATACGCACAACTCATATGCTACTAGTGGAATCTGCTTAATTAGACCAAGATCATACAAGATAAATCTATCAGTCCATTTGCAAATACGTCCCGGATATATCAAGCTCGACCTCGCATCTTCCTCTAAGTCTTCTCCTGCTCTCCACTACAACACACCAATCAAGACCAAGTCATCGACATTTAGGACATAAAACACAAACCCCTCATTCCAATATGGACACTGATGAAAACGAAAATCAGCAGGCTAACGATGATCGGCTGGTCATCTGCCTCCTCATATACTGCACTTCATTCTTACTGTCGGTCTGGGTAGCCAACGTACTAGGCATGTCCCTCTTCTTCCCACTCGCAGCATATACACTCGCCACCGTAGTAAGCATAGTCACACACTACTTGTTACGAGGCTGTCCTTCACTGCAACAGGCTGCCGAAACAGCACATTCTCCACTTCTTCACCGCCGACAGACCTCCGTTGACAGCGGCTACACGTCCAATTATGGAACGATAACCAATGGCAACACACAGCTCGACCTCAGCAATGACGAGAGATTCTGTCAACTATGCACACTCAAAGAACAAGAGAAAGTGCTCAAGGCCGAATTGGCGAAACTGGAAGTGAAAGCAAACGAGGCGTACAGCAAGCACTCGAATGCGTCACAATTCTTGTGCGATCATGACGCTCACAAGAGTGAGGCGAGCAAGGTTATATTTGACGGGTTCAAAGACGCCAGTAGAGCTTGGTATGCCGCTGATCAAGAGAGAGCGGCGAAGAAGAAAGAATTGCTGAGTCATCAGCAAAAGATTCAGACCTTGAGAGCGGAGATGGACGAGCATTTTTGGGACTTAGTCTGAGGTTGTCTTTGGAGGTATTGTCGCGGCATATTCGTATCCCACATTGTATATACCATTCAACCCAGGTCAAACTCATGCAGTGAAACTCTTCTGAGACGCCACGAGATGATAACACTTTACTGAAAAATCAAAGCTGTTATCTCAGCTTTTCATCTCGTAGTTCCTGCTTCAAAAATTGAAAGATGTTCCGTAACATGTCTTCCGAATACCAATGCCCAAGTCCTTCGTACTCCAACATCCTGACGTCCGCCCCCAGTAGTTGCAAACACTTCTGGGATTCTCTCCCTAGCTCAATTCCCACTTTGTCATCTTCAGTCCCATGTCCCAGAAAGATGGGGATCTTTCGGAATGTCTCTGTTTGGTCATCGTTCATGTCGAGTTCCTCTCTCAGAAAATTGACCGCTGAAAGTGCTGAATCGGAACCGCGATCATTGAGACCTAATGCTTCTTCAGACGCAAAGGGATTACCATCTTCGTCTCCTGAATGCGAAAATGGGTTCTCGTCATCAAGTGTTTCCGAACTTGGCTGATTCCCTGCCATCATATCCACCATGACATTTGCGAATGGCAGCCATCCACACATCCCCACCACTGCAGCAAAAGGCTCTCCATCCCAAGTGAGTAGACATGTCAAAGCAGTAGCACAGCCCTGACTCAAGCCCCAAAGTACCACATTCTCCGCCCCTACGACCGAGATCTCTTCTCTTAGAAGCGAATGAATATACAAAACACTCTTCCGTAAGCCCTTAGCCATTAAGTCCTGCCTCTCAGTATGTTCATCCAGATGCCAGTTATCGAACCACTGATGCGTCAATGATCTCTTATAGATAGTCGCACGATTTCGCGATGCAGTTGGAAAAATCAGTTTTGCATGAGGGAAAGCCGCCTGTAGTGTTTCGTCGCTGCCTGCTGCCTTGGTCGCCAGGAGTGGGGGAGCGAATTTAGCAGCGAAAGACCCTCGCCCGTGGAAGATGATGATTGATTGTCGATGCTCGAGTTCTGGTGTTATGATAAGAGGGTCTGGATATATATCTGGTGCGTGAAGGTCTGGCTTTGGATCCGAGTGGCCCGCAATTTGGGATGAAGCCATGTCGCGCTTGTGACGTGGCTGAGTATTATGGTCGGCGTGTAAATTGGTAGCTATGCTCTTCCGTGATTGTCCAAATATAGACATGGTTCGTGAATAGTGGCAGGCGTGAGATGTATTGTCGCTTTATCCTGAGAGGATTTAGAGGGGATAGTCAATGGCCATGAAAGACAGCTGCATGTGATCCGCCAGGTTAGGCTGCCATTTTTGTACAATGAGGTGTTTCAATCAACTCACAATCTTCGACCCTTTCCACAAGCAATAACAGACATATGTGTACGTTTTTATCTAGTACTTCTCAAGCTATCCTGTGATTACTGTCCATTGATCAATTGAATAGATTGATCGGTTTACCTGTTTTTAACTGCATTCGCTCTCCCAAATAGTCCTTCTCCAGCACTGGACATTTTCAACATTGATCCACGATAAAGGCGATGTGGGAACTGCCAAATGGGGTTACAGTACAATGAATATCTTCCAGAGTTGATAAAAATAACTATTCTCATACGGGATTGCAATATGGGCATGTGTCGGTCATCCTCCTCCCAAGCACAAAGCTATTGACGGTACCGTCGGTGATAATGGAACTGAATAGTGAACAAATGCCGGTGCGCTCTTGGAAATTAAAGTATTGACATTCTCGGTTGGTGTCGCACTGTGTAGCGCACGCTACATAATCCGCTTCCAGAGTATTCTCGCCCACCCCGAACCCGGTGAAGACCAATACATTGCATTGGATCTTGTAATCACAGTTGCAGTGGAAACCATTGCCATCAGGTGGATTGAGGTTACCATTACTACAAGTTGGTGGTGGAGGACCGACTACAGTCGTTGTTACTAGTGTCGTGGTTTGGGTTGGGAGCGTAGTTGAGGTTGTTGATGTGCTGCCGGGAATAGTAGTAGTTCTCTGTGGTATCATTCAGTTCTTGAAAACCGGCAGTAGACGCAAATGAGTGGACTCACAGTAGTGACACTAGGCTTTACAAACAAGAGACACGCAGCACGGATGACATCGCAAGCGAAAGGTTTGAGAGCTGGAAACCCTTTAATGCTGCACGTTGGGGCAGCTGCTCGCTTTTCCGGTATAACACTGGTGAATGTTGTAGTAGTTATTGTTGTAGCAGTCGGAGGTGTGATAGTGGCAGTTGTCAGTTGTAACGCGCCCCGGTTCTTGTCGCGGTCGCGGTCTTCGGTAAAATAGGTACGAATGAAGAGCAGAAAGCAGAAGCTTTCAAGGCGACGAGCACGCCTTTACACAGCTGCACGACATCTCGTTGCTCGATATCATGGACAATTTCGGCTTCGAGGTTCCTTGGGGCAAGGAGATCTGCTGAAACTGCACAGGGTTGCAGAGTAACACAGGCAATGATGAAGAAACGTGATAGTTGCATTGTGATTCAATTACACACAATCAAACATTTTTAATTTGAGGATCAACCAGAGTAATGTCGCCGCACATATCTCAGCCATCGGGTGCTCAAACTTGAAGTTATATGGCATCCCAGTGGAGTTTCCGGCTTCGGCCTAGAAAACTGCTTGAGATAGGCCAGAAAGCTTAATCACCAACAAGCTCTGTGAAGGCACATCTAAGTCGCGGGTCTGGCTCTGAGTGGTTATATGGGTTTCCATCAAAGATAGGGCTCCATGCTTCTTAGATGCTGTCAGGACAAGATTCGACGCCGCAAGACATGGTCTTATGCAAGTGGCTGGCTGACGATCAGCAAATGCCATAATAGACGATGGAGTTTGTTTGGGCAATTAGGCGATTCCATGAAAACAAAGTTCTCGCTACATAGGAGGATAGTTGGGAGGTGTCAGATGCCCCGCGCGGCACAAAGCCTAGATCTGAGCCACATAACCCAAAATTATGAAGCGACGAGGCTAGAAGGGATTTCCAAATCTAGAACTACTGTGTACCACTTTGGTGTGTTGGCTTCAATAGTTCTGAACAAATCAAGGTATTCACACGCTGAATTACGGCATTTGGTTGGAAGTCATGTTTTCCACTAAATATCATTGGGACTGGGGCTAGTACGGTAGATAAGCTAGGTGGACTTGATATCAGATTTGACTCAGGGATGTTTACGAGACCCAGAAGCAAATAAATTTGTAAGCAAAGGTAGGGAGAAAAGGTTTCTGTACCACACAAAGAGTGGTCATAGCTCGACTCTGTCTGTATAACGCAGCCAGATGTTGAGAGATCCTGGAACATTCCTGCAAGAGAGCGAATCCTGTTGAGCCGATGCGATCGATGGAGTAAGAATCTTGAGTATTTCAATGAGAAAGACTGTTCAGATGAAAGCTGGAAGTTTATTTCATTTCAGGACTTCACAAGGTTCTCGCTTAATACTGATTGCTTGGGCCGAGTAAGAAAGTGACTGCCACCTCGTAAAGCGGAGCAGTAGTCTCACGTAATGACGGCCAACGTTAAGACCAGGTAAAGAAAATGCTCTCAAACAAACGTTGATTCTAATCGTGACGTGCTGAACGTCAATCTAATCTATTATGAACAGACTTCTATGATGCATGCAAATCTAAAACGCCATCGCTGTGAAGTCTAATAACCTATCTTCCCAAACCCCACCATGTTGATGCACCAAACCAAATCCCAAATGCTATGCAAAACCCGGATCCCATACAATACAAATCCAAATAACCACGAACAAGCCCCCAGAAATCTATCTCTTAGCAATGCCACATCTGGCCAAACAGCTATCAACACCAGCAGCGACATTGGCGGGAATCAACTTGCGGAAAGTATCGATATCAGCACCATCGACAGACACCTCTCCACCAGCACTGCCACTGATAATCTCATTCTCCAAGCCAAAGTACAGTTGAGCAATTTGTCCAACTCCTGGATCCTCGTGTGGGAAAGCAGCGACAAAGGTAGCGGGTGTGCAATCAGGGTTGAACTCAGTGTGTACGGCTCCAGCAGGGAAGACAGTCATCTGATACTTGCTGAGCGTATGGTTCATATGTCTCGCACCATTCTCCGCAGTGACAGAAGCGAATAGTCTGCCCTCAATGACAAGGTTGAGTTCCGCAGCGCGAGGATGAACGTGAGGAGTGTTGAAACCGCAGGGACCGAGGAATCCAATGGCTACTGCTCCGCCCTGGCCGACAAGAGCTGGGAACGAGGCTCGGTCTGCGCGGACTATCTTCCCACCCTCGCCTTGTGCGGTGGAGCTTTCTCCGTCGCAGGGGTTCTGGAAGTCGAAGACGAAATCGGCGTCGCTGAGGAGCTTTTGGCGGAGGACGGCGTTGGGGGCGGAGATGAGCTTTTCGAAGAACTCGGGGTCTTTGGCGGAGGGTTTGGCTGTGCAGGATGCGGTTGCTGTTGAGGCAGAAGAGACAGTGCTTGCTGTTACTGCTACAGCAGTGTGACCCGAAGTGTTTGTTGGTGCGCTCCAAGCCGGAGCTGGAGCGGCAGCAGAGAGGCCAAGGGCCATTGAGAGGAGGATAATTGAAGCGTGCATCTTGAATATGAAAGGGAAATGTTGTGGATGAAAGTATAAAGAAGACCTGGAAGGGATATATGCCAAAAGTGTAGTGGTGATTGCTGAGATGTGTTTGTAGATGTGATTGAGGAGATGTGATTGTTGATGATGGAATGAGATAGGATAGAAGGAGAAACTCAAGAGGTTATATACAAGTATCGTAGACAAGCTGATGGCCAATCTGATTTCGTAGGAACACCCTCAATTAGATCGAGCCGCAGCTTCACGAGCTTGATGTTGGACATGGCTTCTTCGTCCCATCTCTATCCTCGGAAGGTAAGCATACCGTGCTGGCACAGTCTTGTATCTCACCTAAGGAGCCGCAATCCCATGAACACAAAAAGGGAAGTGCACTACTCAGCCCTGCACCAAAGATAGAGTCGCATCGCAGCAACCTTAAAATTTGTGTTCCCATGGAGGTGGAGCGGATTCCTGTTTGGATGGTCACGTGGTAATGCTTACTGCAGAAGGCTGCATGCCAAGGTGGAAGGGTTGCTTGTTGATCTCGAACGGCCCTATCAGATCCAAGGAGGCGTGTTGAAAGTCGCTGCTGATTGGACCCAGCAAGTTTGGCCATCAACAAGCAACGCCTCCTAGCCAGGATCAATCCAAATCTTTTTTGGGATGGAAGATCTTGATACCGCAACCCAGCTGCGTGGGATTCTGGGGTGGGACAATCGGTGAAAACAAATCCCGGGAAATAAATCTATTTCGAGGCTCGACTACTGTTCTGGAGATGATGAGTTGCCATAGTAAGAAAATTAGACGATAGTTCTCCGAATCTCCGAATTCTAGATCCATAGAAGTTGAGTCCATCGTATCGGGGAATTGCTGGATTCCCACGCTGATGTGTTTCCCCAGAATAAAATCTTAGGATTTGATCCTTCTTTGCTTTCAGACATCACCAGGACACTTCCTGACGATAGATATTCCAGAAAAGAGCTAAATGGATTTGTGTAGATGCTTTAATTCGTGAAAACAATAACCACACTAAATGGAATGCCTAAATGTAGAAAACAATTAAACTGCGACAACCCACCAGGGCCGCCACCAGTTTGGTGCATGCACCTCTCCATGGACACATCTGGATGGCGCTGTCGTCGCCTTTCTCACACCATACCATGCATCGGATTTTACCTATCAACTTGTCGATTGAAACACAATCCTCTTCTGTCGCAAGGCCGAATCTCGAGGGGCACAGGGGGGTACAAAATCCAGCCTCGACAGCCACCTCAGCCTTCTTCCAGAGCCTCGGGAATGAGCTTCTCGGAGCCTCGTTCAGGGTAACACCAACACACGCGCGACGATACACAAGATTCCCGACTTTGCAGCATCGCCACGGTCGAATTTTCAAGGCTGTAGCTTCGTGCGCAGGATGTGTGGAACGTGAGATGGGTGGGGAATTGCTGTGGTGTTGGAAATAAAGTAAGCTTCGTTGTTGGTGGCTATATTTAGATTTCGCTTAGCTTGTTTGTCAGTCGGCCCTTGTCCCTGATGAGGTGACCTTCTCGGGACGACCCTGGCAGGTTCATCTCATCTCAGAACGTTTGTCGAAATTACTTTCGAAGCTGAATGTGGGCGGATAATCATTTTCCGGTTTATCTGGAATCGTCCACTTTGTGATCGTGCAATGCACGGGAAGTCAACAAATCAATCACATGACTTTGGCCATTTGATGAAGAGTGAGCTCCCGGCACAAGACTTTTGTTTTTCTTTGCAGCACAAGCTGAGAGTTCTGTAGTACCATGGCTAGAAAAATGGCACTTTTTATTCAATTCTTTCTTTCCGCGGCTTATTTCAAAACAGCTGAAGGGAAGGTGCTCTTTCAGCACTTCTTCTTTACCTGAGTCGAGTCTCCCACGCATTGAATCAAACGTATACCAGCCTCCAGGTTATCATACATGTCTCTGTCGTCCTTCCTCGATCTCATTTCATGTTTTTTCACTACTCACCTCCCCATCAACACCCCCCTTCCTGCTCTCACACTCGTCCAGAATCTTCCTCCTCGTCAAACACAACTGCCTCAATTCCTGCCTCTCGGCTTCTGACCCAATCCTTTCCAGAGCCATACGAACGATATATCTCACAGCCAGATAGATATGCTCGCTCACGAAAATAGTCGCTGCAAGTGCATACAAGTTCCCCTTCCTAAACCCCTCTCCATCGACACCTTCGCGGAACAGGTAAACAACTGCAGCCGTCGTGATGCTCTCAAGCCAATTGAGGAAGCTAAGAGAGTCAATCCATGGACCGATCGAGTCTGCGCGGATTGGCGGTGGTCGTTGATACTCGATGCAGATTTTGAGAAAATCGGATCGGATCTCAATCCAGTTGTTGATGAGAAATCCGATGGGAATGAGCGGCCAGACAGGTGAGAATAAAGCGAGATATCCGAACTGGATGACCATTTCTTGTATATCGTCTTGGACGTTGTATTTCTATAGTTCAGCTTCATATCTAGCCTCCATTGGTAAATTGGCTTTCGTTGATGACCGATGGGGAGTGTCAAGTGTTGTGGTACGGAGGGAAAATGAAATCTGCCGGGCTTGCATGTTTTGGTACCATTTGGTTGCTTTTCGTCTCAGGACTGGAAGGATCAACTCCTCGCAGAATCGATGACTTGTTCAGTTATAACAAGTGCGATGACTTCGTTCCGCAGTTTTGATGCATCTTTTGAGAATTTCTCGAATGGCGTGGAATTGCTGATCGCGATACCGTGGTTTCGAAGCATAGTTTCAACCTGCTCAACCAGCATGTCGCCACATGGTACGTATACAAAAGCTGTGAGTAGGATGAGAAGGTATTTCGTGATGAAGCTGAGGACGAAGATATTTTGTGTTAGGGCCATTTCGTGGCGATCTTCCGTTCGGTGGTTTTCGTATTTAGTGAGTGCTATTGCTAGTTTCTCGAATGCGGAAGATATAAAGGGGAGAGAAATAGTCAATATGATCGTGGGTAGATATTCCTGTGCATTGTTAATTTTCTTATCATTATCGGTGGATCTGTAGCGCTTACGAGATAGCGCTTCATTGGCCCGTCATATACCTCAAAGATGAAGAGTTCGATCACAAAAACTAAAGAAATCAAAGTACCGAGCCCAAACATTGCTACAATAGCAAATGGAATTTGCAATGAAAGTCGAAGAGTATGCTTCCAGCGCGAGAATTGTTGCTCTGTCTCACCGGTGATAGTGTTGAAAACTTCCTTGTCAGGAACAAATTGTGCACAATTAACTTTCGATCTCCCCACTCCTTTGACAGACCATCGCAGACTGAGATCAACCTCTTTCAACCTCCAGTATTAGAGAAATGTGATACACCAGAGACTGGTGATGATCGCGTTGGCCAGTGTGTACCCAGGTAAGTAGAACCAAGCCAAGATACTGGTGATGGAGGGGAAAGCCAAAGCCACGAGGTAGGCTTGTAGAAAGGCGAAGTAGATTGCAGTCTATTGAATAATTTCAGTCTCCTTGTTTGGCCTAACAAACCTGAGCTCATTACCTTCTCGCCAAACAATCCTCTGATCAGGTCAAGATCTTCCTGGTGAAGAATGAGCTGCCGGCTTCACTTGACAAGCAAAGATCTCGTAGCTGTCTTATTGTGTAGTGAATACACCGACTTGACATTCTTCCACTTTCCAATCTCAGGTGTGATGCCTGCACCCCCCAAAGACTTCTTCCATGTAACTAAGTGGTACATAGAACGTAGGTTCTCCGTCTCGGTGTTGCCTGCGATGGAGCGATTGCCGTCATCTTCCGGCTTTTGTTGTGTGACACCATGGAGCCAGTCTTTGACTCTGGTCTACATGTCAAACACTACTAAGGTACAGCGACGCCGTGCAGGACATACCGTGACTGAAAAACGAAGTTGCTGAGCAAGTCGTGAGGAGCTTTGACGAGGATGACTAGCGATTTACCGGGGCCTGGCTGGACATTCACTTTCAAGCCAGCAGATGTCAAGTCGCTGAGAAGTTCCTGAAACTCAGATAAAGCAATGTCGCCCTCTGAAAGCAAAATTAGTTCAGAAAATGTCAAATATCTCAATTTATGGCAGGCGTACGTATCTCGCTGAAATCATAATGAACGACGTAAATGTCATCGTACAGTCCATGCGTTTCATTCACACCCATGAGTTCTTCGCACGTCCCGTAACTTCCTGAATGTAGTCCTAGAATAGAGTATAGACGGTCCAGATACGGGTTTAAAGACATGAAATGCTGAAAGGAGTGTCGTGAGATGTGTGTTAGCTGTTGATTCAAAATGAAGAGCTTCTTCCTGCGCGCGGAGTCGCTGTCGCTACAATATCACAAAGACTCAACCTAAGCCTTGTCATCCTAGGCGATGATGAGTATGCGGCCTGTTAACGGCATGACTGACGCATTTTCTCGTTCCCCACGATAAGGTGCGCACGATTCAAGAGAGTGGCGCTGATCCATGTTCACCTGTGAATAGCTTCACGTGGGAGTTTCTGTAGTGTTGGCATTCTTAATCTACTTTTGATACGATACGGTGTCTTCTTGGATACAATGATCTAAGAGATGCAATAAATTAGATCTGAAAGGCAAAAACAGACGAATTCAAATAGTTGTCGTCTCGCCAAGAATACTGGGGATCGGGATGATGTGCCGGCTGGGCTGACAGATCCACACTTGGCGAGCCGTGTTAGCCACACCACAACTGGGCAGCACCTCAAGTATCTTGGGAACTCGTCATTAGAACTCGTCATGCAGACTCGAAAACTGTGTTGGTGAAATCTCTACAGAATGATGTTCTGGGTGCGTAGAAGCAAAATCTATCGTCCCTTCCAGCTAGCCTGCCTTAAACTCCCCCAAAATATCAGAAAACCACCACGCGCTTCAAATTGGTATCTCTTGCTGCACATATGCACTCGTTTCAGTCATGTCCCTGCCATATTGAGGCTCATCTTCCTTCCATCTCACCCAGTCTGACGCTGACTCCTCACATCCGTTCTCGTTCATGCAGCGAAGTGTTGCCTCCTCTCCCCTCCACTTTCTCCGTGCGTCAACCATTCATACTCCTCCTCGCACTACGGACTCGACCATATCCTCCACCTCCAAGACCATATGCGAATGCGTAGCTGTTGTCGCTTCGTCCTACGCTTGATGCCATGCTTCCAACTCTTGTGACGCCTTCTCCGAGATCACTGTCTCCCGGCCTCGAATCGATAGACGAGATGATGGGGCCGAAATGGCGGCGTGTTGATAGTGAGGCTCCCATTTGCGTTGGTGGGGGAGGTTCAGATAATCTTAGATGGAATTGTGTTTGATGAGAGGTTTTGTGGAAGTTTTCTTTTGTGATGTTCTTCAAGAACTCAGAAGTGATTGCTTTTTCTTGGTGAGATTGTTCCTGTCTCGCAATTATCGAAAACAAAGGGGAAATCCAGACTCTTTAAATCCACAAAACCGGATGCAAACATCCACAAATTTCATCATAACCTCTCCCTCCTTATCTAATCGTTACTGTCCCCGTCTTGCCCTTTCCAAGGGTTTCGTCGCGTCCCCAGAATCCTCATCCAATAAACAAGTACTCCTTCCCCACAACAAGCGGAACACGGCTCTTAAGCGACATCAGCCACGCCCTTGGCTGAGGACCCTGTAAGACTTGGCTGTCATCTCACTGGCCGGCAACGCTGCACCAACATCCAGGAATAGAGATTGGAACTGCTTAGGGCTGAGCCGAGCTGCGGCTGGAGGTCAGGGGTAGGGGTGGAGGGGGTTTGGCAGCGCTTGGGGGGGAGGTCACGGGGTGGTGGGGGAGGGAGATGAGAGTGCTTGGAAGTCTTGAGGGAGTTTGAGCGGAAATTTATTCGATGAAAAGTCAACAAACGGAGAATATTCATCAGGCAGCTAAGCCAGGGAAAAGTTTCATGGCATTGGAGGTAAAAGGCGGAGAATTTGTGTTCAGCGAGCCATCATGCCCTGGAAACTTGTTGCGCTTTTACCCTATGTTCAAGAACGACTACTGTTTCAAGTGCGAAAAAACTGTTGATAGACAAAACTACTTACTATTATTTATGAGTATGGGCTTTAGCTTGCTTTAATTGTTATAAGAGCTGAAGTGTATCGTATAAGCTAGGAATTTCCTAACGGTTCTCAAGTCTCGCTTGTCTTCATAAATTTGTGCCGTCTTGGAGTCTAGCACATGACTTCCGATTTCTGGGACAAATTATTGAGAGGGGAATTTGTTTCCAAGTTTACTTGCCAGGAGCACTGCCTGCTCTTATCATACAGAGAATGGATACTCATAACCACTTCTCTACGGCAGCCTCGAGATCTACCGCTGGGATATTGTCACTCACTGGTGTTGAGGACCAGACCAACATCCGCTTGCCGGAGTCGGCGACTCAATTGACCAAGATCTTGTGTCTCTCAGGACGGAAACTTGAAGTACGCCCTCTTGATCGACACGACTCTGACAGACTAAATCACTATCATCTTCCATCAACACAGTCACCATTTGAAATGACGTTCCACATCTCTTAGCATGGATGCTTTCCGTAGCTTTCTGCATTACATCAAATCCAGGATCATAAGTCTCAGTGAGCGAGCGTAAGTCACTGAACACTTCCAGACAGGCATGGATAGTCACTGTCCGCAAGGACTGTGCCGAGCCCAGAACATCGAGAAGCTGATCACGATCCTAGATACATCATCATCAGCACATTCTCCAAGCACAATTCTCAGAGACAGCTGAACGAGGACATAACAAACTACTGGGGTATTCTCCCAATATTGCAAACTGAATTGCAGATCCGAAAGCTGTGGGCAATACAAGAAAATCTCCTTCATCCTAATCACCGTCGACCAAGAATTGAAAAAACGCACCCTTCGCAATTCCCCACCTCCACGCTCACAGAGAGCACGTGAGCTGATGGGCCAGCACAAGCTGAGTTCAATGACTTCAAGGCTTTTCAACTTTTCTATGAGCTCGCCGACTATGCTCTGATATTTCAGTGCTGGGATGCTTTCTCGTTGCGACGGAGAGGGGCCGTAGATGGTGAGGACTTGAAGATTAGCGATTTGTTTGGTTGGTAGACGTTTGAGGGTCTTTATCATACCGGGTCCATCGAGAAGTAAGTTCCACAGCTGCGAGGGATCCCACAGCGATTCGAACTCCTCGGTTATTTGGATGAAGGCGTAGTTCACGAGGCTTTGCTTTTGTACTGGTGGCATTCGTCGAAGTTTCACGAGATAATATGTGTACATAGATCACGGGAGTGTTTGCCGTCAGCACGCCACGCTAGCGAGGACAGGAACAAGCGATGTTCAAATTGAGGAGCTTTTTCACGGGCAACATGTCGTATCCCTTTGACTCTTTGTCACATCATGTATCTATTAAAATGGAGTGTGGATATAATCCATGGACCTACTCTCATGTTTGGTATCTTGGAGTAGCAGAAGCAGCACAGAGCTGTTTCTCTTTAGAACCCTTAGGAAATCGGCCAACAGAAAGAAGACTTGAATTCTTCGTATATAGCTACCATTAGGGTCATATGTCACTGTTCAAGCACGGAACCTCTTTCCTCATCCTAGCAGTGACCACTAACCAGGTCGTCTGCTACTATTACTAGCATCCTGCTCGGGGATGGCAGACGGGGTTGTGCTAGGTCTTCTTTGGGTGTTGTACTAGATTGTAGTTCCCAACATGTCAAACTTTGATATATGAACAGAATATCTGGGCAAGAATTGAGTTTTGCGACCAGGAGGGAGGGCCCAAACCGCGCTAGCAAGGCCGCGAGAGCGGAGCTTACGCGAGGTTGTTAACATTCGTTCCTCGCAAAGAGGAATGGCAGATATCGTAGAAATATCACAGGGAATTTCTGGGGCTGGGGAAACTGATGTATTTGGAAATGTAGGATATACCGAAAATCGTTAGCCAGCCACCGAGCGAGCGAAACACAGAGCCTCGTTCTGTCTTGCTCGGGAAAGAGGATCAGTCAAGCTCTTTTTAGTGACCGTGTATCAATTGGAGGTTTGAAGAATCGTAAACTGTTGGTAGATTGCATAGAAAAGCCATTGTGAAATAGATGCACGCTGAATCTAGCAGTTCCTTGAATTGGCAAATTTTCTCATAAATGTCATTCTGAAGACTAAAGGTAGGTAATGTAAACATCACGTGTCAGGGACAAGCTCCTCGTACCTACCTACCTACCTACCTTGATCTCCCAATAATTGTCCATCCAAGCATCCAGGTACCCAGCCCCCCCCCCCCCCCCCCCCGGTCGATAAATATCTGTCTTATCTTCAGAGTGGGTAATCAATACTCCACATCGATTCTATCATTCTCAACTTCGTACCTTAGTTAACAAGAGACAAGAGACAACCTAAGGTAGCTGCTGACCTCGGCTCGGAGGCTCGTACCTGTAAAGTGCCAGCAACAGTAAGCCAGAGCCATAGCCAGAGCCAGACAAAGCAATACAGTAATTTACCTAAGGAGCTGAAAAATGGACAAACAATAATCTTCTCTCCTCTCCAGTACGAGTACACATCATCGTCAGGTCAGCCTGGCAATAAAAATGATTCCTTCCCCGGAACCGGAATAAAATTGAATTGAATTGACTCAAAGTTTGAATTTGATTTGGGTTAGGTTAAGTTAGGGTTTGACTTCGGAAAGGAAAAAGTTAAGTCATGTCAAATGAAGGAAGTCAGTCAATCTGAGATAGATATACTTTAACCTAGCTTAGCTCGCCTACCTAGCTCCGGAGTGGATCGAACCTCGGCAGCCACGGGCAGCCAGCCTTATCACATTCAAATTCACATTCAGCTCCAGTTCCAGAAATGTAGCCTGCAGCCTCCCCCCGCCAGAGAAAGACACATACAAAGCAAAGCCGAGCACTAACTAACTAAACTACTGTAACTATTCAGCCCCCCCTTCTAGGACGAATGTAGAAGAATGTTGAGTAGTAGCATAATCCAAGGCGTCAGATCTGCCCTTTTCTATCTCTGTGAGAGCTCAACCGAGCCGCACATGGGTCCGCCCGGACGGACTTCCATCGATAATGGATTGCAATTGGGGGGGGGGGGGGGGGGGGGTAAATCACATGACTCCGCCCTATCCCCCTAAGGGTCTCCCTAAGGGACAAACCGAGCTACCTATTTTCAGCCCAAAACCAAAGCGACGCCTTTCTACAGTAAGACGGAGGACGGACACCACCAACCAATCAGTAAGACAAGACAGCCATTAAACGAGCAGAAACGAGCAGCGACGAGCTAACAGCAAGAAGCCTCGGTCTGGTTAAGCTGTCACATTACTGTAGCTCAGGCATGCGCAATCAATTTCTGGATTACTATACACTATCTCCCAAAAATGCCCCGAACCCGACCGAAGCTCTTTTCTCTACCTACCTCAGCGAAGATAGGGAGGGATGGCGGGTGAAATGAGGTAAGGTAAGGTAAGGTAAGGTAAAATAAAACTCTCACGCCACGCAAAACCCAAACCCAAAACCCAAAACCCTGCCGGCAGGGCGATCACGAATTGGGCTTTTTTTTCTTCTTCTTCTTTTCGATCGGGCGAAATAATAATCCCGCGATTATTAGCTGGGGGAGGCAGGCAGGGAGAATGAGAATGTTCGAGCCAGCCCCGTATTTATTATCGAATAATAGCCGGTTGGGTTGGAAGATGGGGCGGCGGCCGTTGGAGGAGCTCTCGCTGGAGGTTGAGGTGCGAGGGTGCATGAGCCGCGGCACGTTTTGGCATAGGAATAATGGGGGGTCGGGGTCTTGGTGGGGTGTGGTGGGGTTGTGTGTGTGTGTGTTTGTTGGTCGCTCACTCCCGCTCGCTCTTCTTTATCAGACCGAGCTCGAGCTCTGGCTTTCCCTTTCCCATCCCATCCCATCCCATCCCATCCCATCCTCAACAAAAGGGCTGGCAGGCAGGCACGCCGCGGCCAACAACACATCGTGTCGCTGTTTTTTTTTTTTCTTCCCCCTATGCCTATGGGCCCTATGGGTTGACATTTATTTCTCCTTCGGTGTCTCTCTGTCCGTCCGTCCTGGCTCGCTTCATTTCAAAGCTGGAGTATGCCCATACCCATCCTCGCACAGCTGGATCCGAGAAGTTCGAGCCGGAGTTGTAGTTGTAGCTGTAGTTGCACTCATCGCCATCGCCATCGCCATCGCCATCGCTGCCGTCGTCCTCATCCTCATCGTCGTCGTCGCGCAAGCGCAATGGCATGGCACGACCCCTAGCATCCCCCGACCACTACGCCATTCTCGAAGTCAGTCCCACCGCACCACACCCCCTCATCAAAGAGAATTATCGCCGCCTAGCGCTGAAATACCACCCGGATAAGAACCGCGATGATTTAGATCGCGCGACGCGGAGGTTCCAGGAGCTGTCCCGTGCGTGGGAGGTGCTGGGCGATGTGAGGAGGAGGACGGAGTATGATGTCCTTCGTGAGAGGAGGGGTGGGAATGAGAGGTGGTGGGAGAGGGGGTTTAGTCCTTGGGGATCTGGGTCTTTCACTCCTGGGACTAGTGGGAGGAGTTGGCGGACTGGGAGGGGGAGTGGAGATGCTGCTGAGGATGAGGAGGATTTGATTGAGAAGGCTCGAAGGAGGAGGGAGGATATCGATCGAGAAGCTAGCGCGCGCTTTCGGCGCGAGAGTCGCTCTTCGGAAGTCAGTGAGGAGGAAGAGGAAAAGGCTCGGGTGGCGGATGAGGCGATTCGGAAATCCAGAGCGGTTATCTGGAAAGCGGTTGCTTGCCAAGAGTACCGTCAGAGGCTTCGGGTTTGGATGGAGTATCGCGACAGGAATTCGGTGGTGTTGACTCAGATAGCTGAGACGAAGCGGGCTTTGAAGAAAGCAGAGACAGAGTTGGGGAACCAAAATAATGAGACTGAGGCTTATGTGGAAGGAGTGTTTCGAGATGCTATTCGCCGATCAAGGACCACAGGCGCGCTACCTGACGATCACGACTCCGTGGTCCTGGAAAAATTATTCGAGGCCAGACGGGCATATATACTCCGACTGACTCAAAACATCGAGCAGAATCAAAACAAACTTCGGAATTTAACCCGGGAGTTGAACTGGGACGGCCGATCCTACGAAGCAGCAGAGTACGGCTCGAGGCAAGACAGGGTACAAGAAGCACTTGAGATCCTCGGACCCCGAGACCTAAACACCCCATTATTCTGCATCCTCAACCGACGCGGCCTCGCCATCAATCGATGGAACGTCCTAGGGCGAGTGAAAGAAGCATCCAAATCGGCGATACCTGCCCCAAGCGAGGGGCCTTGGCACGACCCAGGAGACTGGCAGCGGGTGCGAGGCGAACATGATTGTGGCCGGTGCGATCAGAAGGCTTTCCATTTCATTGCTGAGTGTGGACCTGCGATGTGTCCTGGTTGTGGGATGGTGGTGTGTAATGATTGCTATCGCGACCTGAAGCTGCTGCAGGAGTATGAGAGGTGGATTCTGAGCGATGATGTGCAGGCGAGGGAGTCGTTGTTTTCTCTTGACTTTGATTCGGCTGCTGGTGATTGGAATTGAGTGTTTAGCTATGATATGATATCCTGTCAATAAAAAAAAAAAAACCCCGACATCTTTCCGTCCCCTTGATGTCAACTTTGAATTGACATTCAAGAATTTCCAAACATCAGAATTCAACACAGACGACTTTGAGATCTGCTGCGGTCCGAAATAAGCTTCTCATTCAATTCAATTTAATTTGGTCCCAGAAACCAAATTGATCCCGTTTGTCATATTTCCTCGGCAGTTTCCATGTCAGTCATGGCTCAAGCCACAGTCAAGCAACCAATAACACCCCCGCTTCTTTCGGATTTATATGCAAGCCTCCATATCCAGCCGCAACCCGCATCCTCCTCTCTTCAATCTTTCATTCGTTAGTATGTCCACTCTCCATCTATTCTGATACTTCATGCTAATGCCAATGCGGAGTTCCGTGGCTGTGTTGTGTTGCCTTGCCGAAACGTTTGACTTATTGTGCTGCTGTGCTCTGGTTTGATTTGCTGCCTGGCTCTGAGCGTTCTGCTGATTTGTGCCTGCTCCGTGTGGATTGGAAGTTGTGGAAATATGAAGACGGGGGAAGCCTTGTCGTAGAAGTACCGTGGTAGGAGCTGTGTGGAGGCTTGTTTTCGGAGATGGGTGGCCTTGTGGTTGGACCCTGAAAGTCACTTCTAGTTTGAAGGATTCGGGCGCTTGATATATTATTCAAATGCTGCCGCCTTCTCCTTCTCTTTCGCTTTTTTTCGTCGTTTTCCTCCTCTCTTTCGTTCCTGACCAGTCCTTGATATACACGGAGAAGTCCTTCGCGATGTTCTCAACACAGCATCTCTATACTCTCGCTTTCCTGTCACCCTTCTTTACATTAGCTCAAGCATACAACCTCGCACCACTCGTACCCCAATCTCTTCGAAATCGCGCAGCATATCAAGGAGGATGGGCTCTCGGTATCCCAGGTGCAGATTGTCCTGCAATCGCACCAGTAGCATGTCCAACCCGATCTGGAACTGTGAATCCAGCCTGCTGTCCTGAAGGCCAACTCTGCGACGGGACAATTTATCCTTACTGTTGTCCAACTGGTATGTTTGTTTCCCGTCCATGTCTTCTCCTCAACCAATTTCCTGACATCCCCTCCCAGGATCCGACTGTTTCTCCACCGTGCAAAACCTCCCGGTCTGCGCCAACCAGACATGGAACATGTACATCCTAACCAGCGACCAATACTTCTGCTGCGAACCAGGACAATATGGAGTCCTCCCCTCTCGCGGTTATGCTGGGATTTGCGTTCCCAATGATCAAGTTGTGGCAAGCTCGTTGATAGCTACTGCTGCAAGTCAGGTTGGAGGCGGGGCATTGACGACTGGTGTGAACACAAACCCTGTGCCAACAAGTGCGACCAGGACTGTGACGAGCACATTGAAGGATGGTGGTGTGACGACGATCACGACGGAGGTTAAGTCAACTGCCACAGCTACCGCGACTGAGGTATCGGATGGTGGGTCTGGATCGAGTAGCAGCGAGTCTACAGGAAGTTCCGGGAGTAAGACAAGCAAGAAATCTAAATCTAAACTCTCAACCGGGGCAACGGTAGGAATTGCGATTGGTGCTGTGGCTGTTCTTCTCCTTCTTGCTCTTCTGCTATGGAAAGTACTTGGTGCGCGGAAGGCGAGAGACAACGCTGTTGTAACGACTGGTCCGGACGGTTATGCCGCTGGGAACGCGCCGGCCTATACGCCACAGGCTCAACAGCAGACTCCTGTGATGGAGTATAAGAGTCCGGTTGCCGTTCAACAGGGGCAAGTTAGTGCTGAAGGAGGAGGCTGGGCGGGAACTCCGAGTTCACCTTCTGGACGAGGCCAGGGTGGATATATGCCGCCTGCATTGACACATGAGCCTGTTGAGGCGCCGAGTAGGTGGGAGAGGAGGGCTGAGATGTGATTGTCGATGTTGGTTTTATGGCGATATCTCTACTGGGGATTATCGAGTAATGCGTTTATGTATGCATCGGCGTGCTTGACACTCAGGTCTATGCTCGTGACGTCTGGGAGTAGCGAGAATTTTCGTCAGGCAGTATTGTATTTAGGCTTCCGTGAGGTGCTTGCCCTTTGGATACATTTTGCTGGAATCTGGTCGTTGTTCTGCCTCCGGTCTTATGCTTCTTCTCTGGTTTACATTCAACTGTACACACATTTTTGGATCTCGTCTCTTTTCTTGTCTTGAATCTTCACGAAAGAAACATGTAAGTTCTGACGGGACAGGTGATGTCTGAAAGCCGAAGCTGGCTCGCTGAAGAGAGACTAGGTAGGCTAGCGTGTCTTCGTCTAATTTACTCAAAGTGGATCCCCACCGAGCTTTGTTTACCTAGACGCCTCCCCGCGCTCCATGTCCACTTCCTTTCCTTTCCTTTGAGAGTACAACTTGGATTTCTGTGACGATCTTCAGCCACAGAACAGCTGCGATGGCGTCGGACATTAAGATGGTCAAGCTCAGCAAAATGGATCTCCCCCAAATCGCGTCCCTCTCACTCAACGAGGCGAAGTCGGTCAACTCGAAAGATGAGGTGGAGAAACCCAAGGTAGTGCTAGTCAACGATATCTGGTACATGGTGTTTGCAAAGGTGAGTCTATTCCTATTGACACAGCGCCATGACACAACAACTTATGTAATTTTTATCGTAGCTCGTCAAGGAGAACCTCATCGTCGCATCTCACCCCAGTCTTGGCCGCCTGCCACACACCAAGGAGTTCTACGATTGGCTTCGCGGGTGCAGACTTGTGTCCAAAGATTTCGACATGATAGTGATGCCATTGGGGTATAGTTTTGTGGACATGAGCGGACCGCTGATCAAGGATCGGCTGCCTAATGTCTCTGGACCTTTACGTGATAGCTTCGTGGTAATGTTGAGCTTTTCCCCTGAATTGGAATTTCCTAACACAAGCACAGGAGTTGATCAAAGATGTCACCACTGTTCTCCAATTGCCACATGTTCATGATTTGGAATTCGAGACCGACGTAAGCCAGTTGATTGAGAGCTGTCAGCGATTGAAGAAAGTGCAGTAAGGACTACACAGCACCATGTGCCGTAATAAAATGGTGCGATACTGACTTCCCAAGATTTAAGAATATGGTCGATTTTAGAGACAACACAGGTCACAACATGTCGTACTTGGCATCGATATGGCTTTCATCATTCCTCAACAACAGAAGGCACCCACAAGGATGTTGCTTTTCGGTCGACTCCAGATGGACTGTAATAGAGCAAACCGCAACTCCATATGATAGTATGTACGCCAAGTCCAAGAATCTAGGTCAATATTAATGAAAAGTGCAGATCTAGCTCTTCCATACCATCCTGCCGCCGGCCGCTCCATTGATCGCCTCGGTATCAACTTCTGGTGCAACCCCTCGCCATTCAGATACCTTTCACCTACAGGACATCGACTACCCGCTATGGAAAGGCTATTTCTCAACAATTATGACTGGAAACACTCATGGAAAGAGTTCGGTCTCATTTGGGACTTCTCGGAACTTTGCATGCTGACTCTTGAAGAAATGGATCTGATTCAATTCTTCATGCAGATCCCAGTGGATTCATGGTGGCAAGTATGCGTCCTCGTCATAGAAGCGCCCAAATTTGACATGACGAATTATCAATCGATGGAAGAGATGCAAGAAATGGCTCGAGCGGTAATGCGGCAGATCTTTAACCATTTCACCAATCTCCGGTCTCTGGAAATTGGCTGCGATGAATTACATAAAGTCTTTCCGATCGATGTTATTGCTGGAACCCTGGAAAATCTCGAAAGCTTGGAGTTGACCGGGGTTTACGATGAGCAGCCCATATCTCTCCCTTCCCTGAAAGAAATACTGTTCGTCGGTAAGAACATCAAGTCCCTAGTCCTAGAGTTTAGCCCCGTAGATGGAGATGTAAGTTTTGGCCAGATCAATCCTTATTTCAATAATTTTGTTTTCATCAAAGCCATGAAATAGCTCACAACTGACTTGATAGGCTTTTGAGATCCTCAAACTTCTAGCACAGACTCCAGGACTCCGTCATATTGATCTGATAATGTCCGCGCACAATCTTGGGGTTGATAAGAGCAAACACAACGCAACAGATCCTGATTACGATGCAGCCGAAAAATTACTGAGATACCTACATTCACATAGACTTGGCGACTCTTTGCAATTTAGACTGTTGGTCCGACATTCAAGCCCACCGCCAGCATGGAAGCCAGCGGACGGGGAGGTCTGGGATTCGTGCAGATCTTACGAATCGAAAATCACTGAGTTCGGGGTATATCAGCAGACCGGAAGTCAACGCATTGGACCAAGAACATCTGAATCATCTCTAGAAACTGTAGATGGTGGCGCTTCCACGAACGAGGTGAACTGAGCCCTTGCACGGCATGGGTGGAAGGGTGACACGATCTTCTTGCTTTGCTCCCATCCCCTTGTAAGACTAGACTCTATCATGCAGCTTTGTTATCAATGGATGGAAATGTCTCTCCCTGAGGCGTCACTGCTAAACTAGTGGAGACAATTGAGAGTGATCCTTTCGCTCCCGTTCCTGCAACGCCGTCTTCGCTTGCTTGAGCACTGCTACCTGATTATTCAGATAGCTTTCTTTTATTCAAGACCGAGTGAGTTCATAATAAACCGATGGGCTAGGTAGCCTCTTTCATGTCACTTAGCCCAGTGCCTGGTACAACTATTGAAACGTATTGCTACGCTAGAATACATCGGGATAAATGTCAACACAGAAGTGCCTCCCCCCTGCCAATACCACAAACGGGGGCAGTCTTACGCTCTCTTTCTTTGTGCGATATCAGTCTTCTAGAAAAATTGTGCTTTGATTACCCCATTAGAATACCCGCCATCTTTTGGACAAAACTGGAAATCATCAGGATCGAGTATCCAGACTTACAATATTATGATATTCGCTTTCCGAAAAAGATCCGTCATTTACTTTGAAGATTCGTCCACTTGCATACTCTCGAGATCAAATGTAAAAGCTGGGAAAGTGTGTTGACTCCAAAAACCTTCCAGGACCAGGAGAAAAACCCGAGGAAGCTTCGAATCATCGATACATAATTCGGCGGGGAATCCTGTTCACTAAAGAGTTTGTGGCGTATCACGCTAATTTGCCGTGTACTTGAAGAACTTGAGTTGGACTTCAGATACAATCTCACCGAGGCGAGTAATATACTTTTGTGATTCCGCAGCCGATCTGTTTTATCTATCTCGAGAGGGGTCTGCAACTCCATGCTACCAAACCCCCATCAGAGAGCGAGTGTACTTCAGATTATCACAGCTGTTCCGAGCCTTCAGAATCTCCGCCTCCGACTGTGGGCGCATGACTTCTCCACCATGAACGAAAGATATGACAGAAGAGACCCGGATTCTTGCAGGCTTAGAGTTAAGAAATCCACAGACCCAGAGTAAAGAGATCCACAGAACCAGACTACGACGATGCGGAACAGATGATGGCTTACATTCACTTCATGAGAGTCGGCCCTCTTTTCGAATCCCTTACTCATCGCGTTTGGGAAGCTCGCGAACCTCCGAATTGGTACGACTTTTGGTACTATCATCAGTCAAAATTATGTTCGCTTGAATCATAAAAGACTTCTAGTCTTGGATATTAATCCATCTTGTGCTTACGAGCAACGGGGAAGCTGGCGAGTCAGAGACTTAACTCAGGTTGTTGACTTGTTTGGAAACAAAGGAAGTTTCGCTTGGCAACACCTTTGATTGATGAACAGAATCAGGAATAGGACTTTGTAGATCGCCAGAAAAAGACGGCAGGACACCTTTTTGTACAGAATCAATAGGGAGAGCTTGGGCTTGAGCTGCACTCAGAACATGGTGAGGCTCGCATTGCGGCAGCATTCGGTGGCTGCGGACTGCTGGGAATGGCCTTGTATCCTCAGCGAACCAGTTTAATGCTCAGTTCTTTTCTCCTATTAATAAATGATGAATGTTAGAGAGTGAATGAACCCTTACTCCACGCTCCATACCTGTTTTCAACCGCCAGGAGGCGACAAACTGGCAAAGAGTCATTGGACACGTGATGTCAACAAACACGCTTAAATTAGCGCTCCAACCCACATTTCCTGCAACCTATTTTCTCTTCAACGAGGCTCGAAATAGACTCAACTTCCGCACATAACAAATTATCATGACGGTAAACATGGCTGAACGGAATATCTCGAAGGAGATGGAGCATCTTGCTCTCGCACCTGCCCCGAAAAGGAAGATCACTCTCGATTCTGACATATGGTACATGGTGTTCGCTCTGGTATGCATCGATCTACTCTTTGAGGATTGAGGAGGCTTACTGACCCGAATCTACAGCTTGTACAAGACTATATGTTTTGGATCACCACTTCTGACAACGAAATGTATGATACATTGGATTTCTACTCTAGTGACGATGATAGCTTCGACACCCCAAAAAGAGATCCCCTCAAGGGCTGGCTCCATGATACTCGATTGGTCTCTCACCAGTTCGATGCTGTCTTAAAGCGCTTTGCGTATTATTATACCGACCTCTCCCAAGCCTCGTTCATACACCGGTTGACTTATGTCACTGCGCCACCGTGCAATGCTGTGAAGGTAAAGTTGCCAGATCTAAATTTTTCTTATCTCCTTTTCAGCAAAGGAAACTGACTGACGATGCAAAGGAAAACATTCGTCGGAACGCCAAACTACTTGAACTTTCTCCCTGTCAATCAGACAACGTGCGTACTACTACCGTCGATTTGTTGAGTACGAGTCGATACCTTGAACGAGTTGTGTAAGTTTGACGGTTACCTGGCAGATGTGTGGTCCGTTAGCTGACTACAGTCTCAGATGGCAGGATGGTGGATCTGGCCGTTGTCTGAACTGGGGAATCCATGTCGGCCAATCGATATCTGAATATCTCAATGCGTTCTTACATAACAGAAAGAGAGACAATCCCCTGCGCAGATGTCGTATGACGATTGCAAAGAGCGAATTTCTTATTGAAGTCATCACCAACCAACAAAACATCCCTGAAGCACACTATCCGCGTTACCAAGACGCTACGCTGGGAAAAGATCGCGCTGATCACCGAATGATTTCAACAAAGAACAGTGCGGCACAAATCCTCGATGTCTTCGAGATCCACAGCTATTGGAAACACACTTGCTTATCCGCTTCCATGTGCCAAAAAACTCCCACCAATGCGCAAGTTGGTTTTACGTGGTTATCATTGGCACTACTCGGTGGAAGACTGTGGAAACGTCTGGGACTTTTCTCAGCTCAGCAATTTGGTCCTCCACAATACCAATTTCTCCAGCATCTTGGCTGACCTACATAGAGAAAAGGTGGATACGATTGAGATCCTGAAGATCATCATACCGCTTCGATCAAGAAACTATGAAAAGGTCGTCCAAACTGTCGAAACCTTCCGAGACTTTGTTGTCTCTCAAAGAGGTCTGAAAGTACTCAGCTTGGAGTGCCCATGGCCAGCAGATCTAGTCACAGTTGACGTGCTTCAACAAATCGGTGATCGCCTTGACAAGCTCCACTTGTACAGTGGTGACTATCAAAACTTTCAGCAAAACTTGGTTTCCAAGTCTTGCATTGACGAGATAGGTCTTCATTGTAAAAGTCTCCTCGAGCTAGGCCTCACCTACACGAGCGAACTCTACAACGTAAGTACTAAGTCTAACTATCATTTGAAGCTTGCCAATCCTTCGCTGTTTCGTGGTCTTTGCTTTTTGAGAGATTTTATATGGATCTTCCGGATTTCTGACAAGTATAGCAGAACACTGAGTTTTTAAACGCGATTGCACGACTAAAGAACGTGGAGGAGGTCAGTTTCCGCGTTTACGGAAAAATTGATTGGAAAGGAGAAACTCCACTCGGATTATCCACTGATGAAGATTACGACAACGCACGTCGTATCATGTTTTATCTTCACTCAATGAATCACAGCAAAAGACCGAGCAAGATTTCGATTATGCAATACTGGCCACCAATGCCGCCCCACTGGCAGCCGGAGAACTTGCATGAGCTTGGTTCCGATGCTCGCGTGGCGGAGTTGATGAGCAATCCCCGGGAATTCGAGAGCTGCTGTGATTCAATCTGGTATATTCGGCATAAGAAGCGAAACTATTACTCTCATACAAATGATACAGGAACCTACGAGCAGTGGGGAAGCAAAAGATATCAGGGGCCTCCGAAAAAGATAGGTTTTGAGACTGAAGATACTGATGGTGGACCAGAAGCTGAAGGAGGCAATTGATTATGCTTTGTTCCTTCCGGAAGCTCCGTCATTGGAGAGGCTCTCCACTCGCCTGCATGTATGTGTATTTAGTGATTTGATAATGAATTGGTCTTTCAGCACTGGCTGCGAATCAAGAAAGTGTTTAATGGGAATGCCGCTGTCGATGCGGAAACTTTTGCATCATCATGTCTTTTTCTCAACCGATTTCTTATCATGAGATATTACACAGTTACTCTAATTTTTCTTGGATAGAGTGCGTTCGGGAACAGCCACCAATACGCCTTCATAGGCTATTCCATCATCGATGCAAAGTGAGGAGAAGTACGCCTGATAGCCTTTTCAACTTTTGGTTGTGTCACTCAATGATGTAGCAGTTGCGCTGGCGCGTGTCTACCTAACTCTACCAATTCTTGCCAAGAAGAAAAGAAACCGAAGGAAACCACAGGCAGAGCATGTTAATGTTTCATCAACGTCTGGGCAACCGTACTCTACCTTGACATGTCCATGACCTCAAGTTTTCGTTCCCTCCATCTATGTCACGTCAACAAACATAATGGATGCCACCAAAATATGTGGTAGCCGGCTCGCGCATCCTCAATCCGTCGTTGGTGAGATTCAAAAAGAATACCCTTGTACCACGCATTTGGTGAATTGTTCTCCAAGATTCCGTTTTAACATGTAGAAGATTGTCTCTACATACACCACACGTCTTAGACTGCCCAACCAGTTCTTAGATACTATTAAGTATGCAACTGCAGCCTATTTCACTTGCCAAAGGGTATCACGTGTACTAGAAGTTGTAATGTCGACGAACTCAGATGATGTGCACCGCGTCGGCGCTATTCTCGTGACGAGGATGTGAATTCAGAAGGTACGGCGTCGATCCATTTGGACATATTCACGCGGACACTGGGCACATCATGTGCTGTGTGACAACAACAGAGGCACTCGTATTTGACGATGATCAGACCACGGAGTATAAGGCGGCGGGTTTTCAGACCACAAAGAGAGGTCGTTTGGAGTCGTTCTCCTCGAGCTGGTAGGTGCGAATCTGACACGACTATGTCTCATGGTCGAGAACTACAAGGGGAACACAGAAGACCTCATTCACCGCAAAAAGCTTTATAGGATTACAGAATTATGCCCCAAGCTGAGAGAGCTAGAAATTGATGTAACTTCAACCAGTCTGAGGTATTGTACTTCTCCATAAATATCCGATGTCTTGTCGTACTAAGAAAAGCACAGGAAGGATTGACGGAGCTTTTCAAAGCATTTTCTCGGATTCACATCTTGACAGTGCTTGATATCCATGCGGGCCAGAGCTTTATCCGCGAAGGGGAAATGCTGGACACAGACGATCCAGAGTTCGACTTTGGATTGATCTGCCTTCAAAGAATTCAAGGTGCCAAACTCGGCAAGGATTTTGAGCATTTGGCTTTACACCTGAGCCGTACGTAACTGTTCAAAGCCGCCACACTGGTGCAGACAAAACAATGGCCCGCGATCCTGGAGTGAGCTTCCTAACAGACAACTGGTAGCAAGGGGCAATCCCGCAAGAATCACTCGGGAAGAAATCAAGAGAGGACACCAGCACGTTTCATTGAAAAACTTGCCACGATAACCTTGTGGTATCACTTTCAAGAACGTTGTGTACATCTAAAGATACTTGTCACAGGCTGAGAATTCCGATTTATAGCAAGAATACAAGACATATCCAAGAATCATGAAAGACTACGACTTAATAGCTTGAAAGCGATAACAAATTTAGGCATCACAAATCAACAGTGCAGCAACAGACATGGTCTCTGTATATCTTCAAATGCAGCTAAATTAATGAAGCCTCAATCAGATGCACCGTAGCAGATAGAACATCAACAGTTCAACCAGCGAAGCTGGCCTTGAGTTTGCGTGCTCCAGATTCGAATTTTATCCGCGGATCTCCTTTGTCAAAGATGACTGTATTCTAAGAAGTGAATTCGTGCAGCAATGTCCTATAACGTCGTAAAGTGAGATGGATGCAACAGTTGTCCCAGGAAGAAATCAGCGGCAGACAGATCCGCACATATGCTCCTCTACTTCACGCCGGATGATATTTTCCGCTAGCGGAGATGTGCTCACCTCGGCATCTTTTGATGGTACTGTAAGGAGGTGAGATCTTGGACTGGGTAAATAGGGAAGGCGCTCAGAGGATGTAGGAGTAAGAGACTAGCATCCCCAGCTAGCGATGGGACATTTCGGGTTTGGTAGTATTGCGGGCGAGTTGAAATCATATTGAAGTTTCAATGTACGACAGGATGCGCTTAAGTCTGCTGTTTAAAGGAAAACAGTTATCACAATATCTTGAACCTCCGCTCCTTGTACTCTCCAGCTTCCTCATCATCGCTGGGACTCTGAGACTCTTTGCATCCGGCCGATGCGTCATTGCCAATGATTTGTCGAAATCCTTCATCCCAACAATAACCACGCCCAACCATCTTCGAAGTTTCTCCTACGTATCGAAAGCCACCCAACCATTCTCTCAGAACCAGAATACAGTCATAACCATGCATATTACATATAATATCTTCTTTCTCTACGTGACCCCGTGAGAGAAGAACTGCGCCTGTTGACGTAGCAATGATCCCCATACAATAGTGATCGAGGATACGCAGGCCGTTAGTTAAAGCCTCGATAGATTGCAGAATCACCAACACAGCCTTCTCTCGCAAATGTGGCGGGTAATTCATCTGGCTAGCTTTTTGCCACAGAAACGGCCTATTTTCCATTCCTAAGAACCTTTCAGCATGCTGGAAGAGGCTGAGTTCGCCGTCTGGTGTCGGGACCATAAGTGTGTCTCTATGCCAGCTCATTCTTGCTCTGCATTCCTGCAAGTCTGCAAGAGCTTCGGGAGAATCGCTGAGAAATGTAGCCAACAAATATTCGTCGTCATTGTCCGTGGTGATTATATAAGAGAGGAAACGGGCTCCGAATTTAGGGCCAACTTGGTTGCGCATGAGCACATGCTTATGCTCTAAAAATGTCAACTGACGCCACAAAAGAGTTATGAAAGCTGCTGGATGGAACAATGCGGCATGCCGGATAGGAGGATGCTCAGGGAACGGTTCTCGTGATATAGCCCAGCTGTATGCTTGCGTTTTGAGTCCTGTTTCTGTTGCATCAGGGCCTCTTGAAAACGAGTATACTGAGTCGTAGAAATAACCACCACAAATTAGACTCTCGCCATTTAGAAGCGTATTACGTTTATCAAGCCTTAGTTCGTTGCGGGTTTCCTGTCGGTAACGATCCATTAAGGCTGCATGTCCCCATTCCGTAGGATTCAAGCCTCCCCAATTAATCTGCCAAGATGGATCCAGAGAAGTCATCGAAGCTTTTCCACCTATTCGATCTGGTTCAGCTAGCATCAGCCATGGAACCGTTGGATGAGCACGATAAGCTTGCTTCGTCAGATCCTTGAATACGACTCTGGGTTGCTGAGTGTAGTTTGGAGTAGGCACAAGCCTTGCTCCATCTTGTACCAGTCCTAGAATACCAAAGATTTGTCTCTCGGATCACTTGATAGTGAATGGCGGCTTAGTAAAAGAGCTCGAAAAAGTCGGGGCTGGTTGTTATGCTGTTCACGCTGTCGAAAACGTTTCAGAGCAATGATCATATCAGTCGCCGCGAAATCTGTTTTGCTAAACTGTAGGCGATGATGATCAAAAAAAAAAGCATCAGTTGTATCCATGTACTTTGGATGGAACCTAGCATCAACTGTACTTGTGGGGCTTTAGATAGCTCCTGTATGATCCAGACGCGTTTCCAAAAGGGGAAATCTAGCAGCTGTTTGAAATGCAAGTCCATAGTTTTAGGACGCGGATCACTTTCAAGCTCTGGTTGCTCTCCCTTGTCCTTAGTCGTAATGGGTAAAGAGCTTGGTCCTACGAAAGATGTTGATACGTTGTTGGCTGACGCTTCTTGCGTAGGGTACATGTGGTCAGATTCTATGCTTACTGACTCCTTATTACGACCTCTGAAGATCCCAGGCGGCCATTCTTCGTCCGTTTTAGATAATTGTGGAAGGCGAAGTGCATTTTCCATAAATGTCGAGCCTGCTACGGATTCGCCACCTACAGCCATCACTCCAGGAAGCTTCAGGGGTCTGTGGAGCTCTTCTTTTACAATCTTATTAGAAACTCTCAAATCTTGGAGAAGAAACTCTTCGGGAGGTTCATGAGCTATTCTCTGCTTGGTATCTTGGGCCAGAAAAGGCTTTGAACGCCGTGAAGCAGGCGGCTCGCGAGAATATTTCGGACTCCCTTTTGACATGGTGACTATGTGTCCTGTTTGGATGGAGGGGTCCCAATCCGATGCAGAAGAGTGGGTAGAAGATAGAGAGTCTGAAGGTACGTCAGGTTGTACAACATGAACTGCATGAGGTTTCGATTTGACTGAAGCTCCACGAGATTTCTTAAATAGTCGACCAAGGGAAGACATGAGCGTCCTAGAGCCAGCATACTTCCTATATTGAGTGGCTTCGTTATCATTATCGGGAATATCTCGCAAAAGGTCGTTTTCTGTTGCTTGAGCCGTCTCTTTTGGCGTGTACATGCGATCATGGCCCTGGATCACCCCTGACATGGTAGGCTGGCCATTTTCAAGCCCCTTGACACTTCGAAAGGCAGAAGACTTGTCTTGCGGCTCAAGGTCACGCTCGTCCATTATTTCCCTCGCCTTTCTCAGCATGGTCTGTAAATCTTTTGAGCGCCGTTCGAGGCGGTCTAGCTTTCGTGCTGTCGATTCCGGGTGCTCCTTGGCTCTGAGTACCGCTGGTATGCCTTCTAAGATCTCCTGTCTTGTCGTAATCCAAGGTTTACAATCAGGTCGCGCACGCACAGTTGCATCGCGATCAAAATAGGTGCGAAAGAATTCGTCTTCAGCTGCATATGGATCGTGTTCTCGATCAGACGAACGCCTGTCTGAGGAGCCGAATTCTGGAGCATTTGAAGACTGGTCTTCGCAATCCGTTGAAACATTGGAAAGGTTTGGGTCGCCTCTTACATGGCTGGCCAGACCAAGAGGCTTGAATCGAGCGACTTGTGCAAGCGGATTTGGGCTTTGATCATGCTCCCAGTCACCCAACCAGGCTAATACTTCTGCACATTTAGAATAGATCAGGCCCATTCTCATGACCTGTAGCCCCCGTTCAAAAATGTCGTTTTGATTGATACATACTGCATCTGCCCATATGACGTCGTAGCCTTGTGCACGCAGTTCTCTCAACGCTGAATAGAGGTTTGTAGTGACGTGAAATGGCTGCCCATCGAGCTCAATAGCTTTGGTGATGTTGGGGTCACCCCAACAATAAGATAGCGCGCGGAACTCAGGTGGCTCTATCAAATTGCTGTGAAATATGCTGCACCGCAAAAGAGTTCTCTCAGAACCAACATCGCTGGAAGCCGGCAAGATGCGAAGAAGGCGGAACTCAAAGGCCTGGAAATCGAGAGGTTCGTATTGCATTGTTTGTAAAAGATCTACTCCCGTCTTGGTAAGATAAAAAGTTAGGCGTATTAAGACTGAGTCTGTGAGTTTGTGAGTTGATATGGACAAGAAGGTCATTTGTGGCGTTTTGTGCCCGAATAGTTAAGGTATTGTTTGTACTACATCGCGGCCTAAGGCATCATAGCCTGTGGCACGCGGTGATAAAACACATCTCCCCCGCGAGTCATCAGGTTCAAAGAATCCCATAGAAATTATAAGCCAGAAACGTACCCTGTCCTTCAAAAATCATGTCACTTTCCGGACAGTTTTACAGAACGGGAAACTCAAGCCTAGACCCGAGCAAATTGCCGTAGACCATGCATGTTCCCGAAATCAAAGCACAAGTTCGGCATAGCCACTTAATATATGATAATATATCTTTATAGTTTTCTTGAAGATGGCATAGGTAGCCGTGCTGTGTTGTATGTATGTATATATATAATTTGGGGAAACGCCAAGCCTGTCAAGTCGATGTGCAAGAGAGAACGAGAACGAGACAGAAAGACTCGGCGGTTCAGCACAAGATGGTTCCAATACAAGCTATGAAAAAAGCTGTGGAGTGACTTGATTTGACGCGCTGCCGAGGGACCGGAGATCCGGATAGGTCGTCTGTCAGAGTTGGTGGCACAGTTTCGGGTCGGTTGGGGAGGGGGATGGCTGATGGGTATTTTCTGTAGACGCATATTTGGCGATGAATGCTATTTGCAAGAATACATTTTGTAAATTGTCCTAGTATACAATACAATATAATATCCTTAAACCCAAGTACATCTTTTTTCGCTACATGATCGAGTATCATTCAGCTTCTGCACTAGGGTATTTCTTGTCTCCCTCTCTCTCGTCTTTCATCTCCCACTTACATCTCGTCTAACGTCTCACCCCACCATTCCGCCCACCCCCCTATTCCGGCTACCTCGCTTATATTCCGTATTTCCCATTTAACACTTACATCAGCAAAAAGATCTGGCTCCAGGCAGCCGCCGGCTGGCCGCCGTAGGCGCTATTTTCGCGATTTCCAGCCTAAGTTGCATGTCGATTAATTTGATAGCTAGCGACCCCTAAAGCGGTATATAGTAATTTTAGCCGGCGCCCCTAGCGCCCTAGGCGCCTTCGACGCTATAGGTGCTTATAAGCCTAATTAGGACTAGCGTATAAAATAAAAGTAGGTCCGTTTTTTTATTTATTATATAAGATATATTAGTAAGCTTAGAAAGCTTAATAATACTAATCCTAAGGATATTAAAGGTACTTATAAAGGTATACCTTATAAGGAGGTATTATTGGGCTTATATCGCCCGATTAGGCAAGGCGGCGACTCACCCCTGCATAGAATTTACCCGAATCGAATTATAAGCTTATTAGCGATTTTTTAGCGTGGATATTTATAGCGTTAAAGGCTTAGCGAGACTAGTTTTAAGGACGTGCGTAGAAAGTGCAGGTCTTTTTAAATTCTCGGTTAAAATCTACGCTAGTCTAACTATTTATAGTTAGTTTAAAATCTAAAAATAAACTTAACTTTTAATTTTTAATTCTAATTAAAAATATTATATCTTTCCTAATTAGGTCTAGCTTATATATAAAAGTGGGTCTTATAAAAGGCGCCTAGGGCGTATAAGGCGGCCTCTTATTTTTTAGGCTGACGTATAGCGGCCTCTTATATTTTAAGGCCGCTTTAGGCGTAAGAGGCCGTCGAACAGCGAAAATAGCGAAAATGGCGGGTGGCACGTGCACCCGGCGCCAGAATTTTTTGCTGATATAATAACTCTATATTACGTTATCTTTTTAATTAGATATTATAGAATATAATTCTTTTTATTATTCCGGTTCTATAGGTATAATTTAGTGTTCTCTAGCTATAATTTAAGCTTCCTTAATAGCACGTGTTATAATAAACTTAGAATTCAGGCTTATTTAAACCTTCCTCTTTTTCCTTAGTCTTAATCGCTTTAATTATACCTCTAACTCTTTAATCCTTATATTTACTTACCCTAATTTATAGTCCTTCTTATTAAATCCTTTTAAAACCTTCCTAAAAAGTAAATAACATGTTAAAAGTTAGTTATATAACTTAGCTATTAAGGAGTATAGTTATAAGTAGATCTCTTTTCTAGCTTTCAGAGTCTATATCTTAATTAACATGCTAGAAACCTTTATAAGTAGTACTAGTATTATGGTAGGGTAGTGTAGTTCTGGGTCGGAAGATAGTTAGCCTATTCCGTAAGGTTATATAGATAGGCGCGATAATATATAATAAATATATTATCTTCTCTCTCTTACTCTTACTACCTGTTTAGTTAGTAGTCCTCTATATCCCTGCTTACTATATACTTTAATAGTACTACCTTACCTCTTTATATTAGTAATCGATATAGGGAACTAGAAGTAAAGCAGAGGAATAATTAAGATATAACTAAGCTAGTAGTAAAGGTAAGAGTTAGAATTTTATCGCTTAGTAACTTAGTTATAGTAATAGATAGATACATAGGAAATAGCTAGAAAAAAGGGGCTTAGGGAGCTCTTATTCAGCAGATAGGATATCAGGAAATAGCAGAATATAAGTAGAGAGAGCTAAGGAGGTATAGAAGGGAAAGTTATTATAATAGGCTTAAAAGACGAGGTTACTATAGTAATAAAGAAAGTTTATATAAGGAAAATAAGTAGGGAATATATAAATATAAAAAGAAAGTAAGTTTAATATAAAAAAGGGGCCTAAAGCAGGGTAAAAAAGAGATATAAGGAAAAGGAGTTAGGGAGGTTAGAGTAGTTAGGGGAGCTAAGTCTAGAGGTTATAAAAAATATAATTACTACGCTCTTACTAGTAACTCTAGTACTTTTAACTCTAGTACTTTTAACTCTAGTAATATTAGGTATACTATATCTTATAAGTAAGTACTAAAGGTTTAAATCGTTTACTAAATTCCCTGATACAACTATATTTCTAGGAGATCCTAAGAACTAAAGAACACTAAGTATAGAAGAAAGTGATATAGTAGAATATATTTAAGTCCGGGAGGAAAGCTATTAAGAATTAAGGACTACGAATTCTAAGATAGTAGAAGTCAGGTATATTTCAGTTATACCGGCCCCGGGTATACTAAGCGCGCTATACTTTAAAGGAGCTAATATTACGGAGTTCTTAGAATAGTATACTAATTAGTACGATAATACCTAATTAAAGGATATAGACTAAATCAAACAGCTTCCCTGATATTATAATCTTACTATTAGTTAGTATATTAAGACGCTACTAGAGTAGATAAGTAAGAATTAGGAAGAGCTAGTAGTCTCTCTTTTAGAGGAGTATAAGGATTAAGATACTTTTTAATAAATAAACTCCCGATTATTCCTTAAGGCTCTGAAGTTAAAACCGCGAACTATAGAAAGTAATATAAAGTAGTTTATTCGATAATTCACTGTAATATCAGCTACCCTAGTAAAAAGGAGCTAGTTAGAAAATTACACTCAGGGAGTATAGTTCTTAAACAAGCTACTAGGGGACGTTTATAGGAAAGTGATATATAAGAATAAGGTTAATATTAATAAGCCGGGTATAATTAAGTTTAATAACTTAGTTAAGATAGCTACTAAGATTTATACGTCTAATAAGATAGTCCGGGAGTTTTCTAATAATCACGTGAAATAAAAGAGCCTTAGTAAATTAGTAGATTTACTTAGCTAAGTACCTGCCGCCCTTAAGGTAAAAGGTTAGCTAGTTCCCCTTATTATTAGCTTAAAGATAGTATCCGTAGAAATAGTAAAGGAGATAACCTAGGTATTTAACGCGCTAGCGCTAACTGCGAGAGTATTATAAGCTCTATAGGTACCTAGGGAAAGATTAGGATTTAGCTTACTTAGCAGGGGAAATCAGTTAGGAGCTTACTTAGTAGGACCCGGTAGTCGAATTAATCTATTTAGACTACTATAAGGGGCTTACTTAGGCTAACTTTAGTATCCGAATAACTCGCTAATTAGAGTATATATAATAGGTACTTATAGGGATCGCTAGAACTAATATTTCTACTATTTAGAAAATAGGTATTTCTATAGGGACTACCTAGACTTCCTAATAGATATAGAAAAGGGGCTCGTGCACGACTATTAGGGCTAGATATATTATAGACACGCGAGTAGCAGGGGGTAGTTAGTTAGGTAGCGTAAGAAGGTCTTAGTAATAGAGGGTATACGAGCTAGTTAGAAGGGAACCTTAATATAGGGAACCGGTGAAGGATAAGCTAAGGGGAGTAGTTTAATAATATAGCTAACGTAAGTGCTATAGCACCTTATAAATAAGGCTAAACCCGCGAAGGTAATAGTAATAAGGGTAGTAACTTAGGATAAGTCGGATATTAAAGAAGATAAAAAGGACTAGGAAGCTATAGGAATATTAAAGGCTAGAAGTAAAAAACTAAAGAGCGGAAAAGATAATAAATAAGTAAACCTTAAGAAAGTATTAAAAGGGCGAGTTAAGAAGGAAAAGGACTTAGTAGCTTTAAAAGTTCTATAACTTAGAAAGTAAAAGTAGAAGGATCTAATTAAAAGGGTATTAAAGAAAGGAGTATAGTAAGGAGAGATTATTAAAGAAATAGAGATAGATAAGAAATAGACTAAGAAATTAAAGAAAGTTAGTCTAAGAGTTACTAGGAAAGTAAAGTAGTACTTAGATATCTTAAAGCAAGAGGCGTAGCCTCTAGAGCTATTAAATAAGGTCCTAGATAATAAACTAAAGGGTATTACTAGTAGGGAAGTACTCGCGTGCTTTAAGCTCTTATAAAAACTACTTTTTAAAAATATAGCTATAGTAAAGTTACCTCAGACCTCCGAGGGGGGAGTTAAGGGTAATTAGATTAACTTAGTATTAATAAAGTCAGCAGGGGTAAAGGAGATATCAGAGGACTCCTAAGTCTTAGTAATTAGAAGCCTGAAGGTTAGAGTCTAACTAAGCTCTTTAACTATAATAGCGCTTATTAATTACGGATTAGAGGCTAATCTAATAACTTCTACGATTACCTTAAAGGCCGGGCTCCCTATTTAACTTAACTTTAATCTTAGAATAATAGGCTACTTAAGGGAGTAGGAGA